GCTGAAAGAAAACTCAAATCAAAACAAATAGTTTGATTCTTCAGAAGAATAATTATTCAAGAATTTCACTTACTAAGTGTAAAGAAATTTGCACGTTGTCTTTACAATGAATCCTAAGAATCCAGATTTTTCAAATAGAACAGCTTCATCTCCTGCACTGTTTAATAGATGTGTTATTGATTGGTTTGGAGATTGGACCAATGAAGCTCTATTTTAGGTAGGTAAAGCATTTACCATGTACATTGATCCTCCTGAAAATGCATTCAGCAAAAAGATTAAGGATGAAACTTAAAGATAACACATTTTAGTGTCCACTCTAGTCTACATCTAAAATACTATCATTGAATTGAATAACAAATTACAGAAGGGAGCTAAGAGATTCAATTATATAACGCCAAGAGACTATTTAGATTTCTTGAAGCATTTCGAGAAATTGCATAATGAAAAGAAATCGTAATTGGAAGATTAATAGTTGCATCTGAATGTTGGTTTAGATAAGTTGAAGGAGACAGAACAACAAGTATTGGAGATGCAGAAAAGCTTGGATCAGAAGAAGATCGAGTTATAGACGAAGGAGAGACAGGCAGGTGAGAAGTTGCAGACAATTATTGAGGAAAAGAAGATAGCTGAGAAGAAGAAGGAAGACAGTACAAGATTATCAAGTGATGCTGAGAAGAAGGCCAAAGAGATGGAAGTAAGGTAGTCTTAGGTCAATAAAGAATTAAATGAAGCATTGCCTGCTTTAGAGAATGCAAAATAATGTGTGAATAGCATTAAGAAGGATGATTTGAATTAGATCAGAGCATTGGGATCACCTCCTGCCTTGGTTAAGTTGACAATGGAAGCTGTTGTTTGTGCAATTAATTCATTGGAGAAGAGTCCAGAATGGAAGGACGTGTAGAAATCAATGGCCAATATGAATTTCATCAATAATGTTATTAACTTCAATACAGAAACAATGCCAGCAAAAGTGAAGAAATTCATCTTAACAAAATATTTGTCAGCACAAGAGTGGAATATTGACAGAATTAACTTTGCATCGAAGGCAGCAGGTCCATTGGCTATGTGGTTGGATTCACAATTGAAATATGCAGATATTTTATAGAAAGTTGATCCACTTAGATAGGAAGTAGCCAAACTATTGTAAGAGAGTGATGAACTGAATATATAGAAGAAGATCTATGATGATGAAGTAGCAGCTGCTGAGGCTAAGATTCACAACTTACAACAGGAGTATTCTGAGTTGATTAGTTAGAAGGAATCAATTAAGTCAGAGATGTTGAAAGTGCAAGAGAAAGTGACAAGGTCGTAGGCATTATTAAGTGATTTGAGTGGAGAAAGAGTGCGTTGGGAGGAGGCATCATAAAACTTTAAAAGTTAATTAGCAACAATGATAGGAGATGTTTTATTGTCATCAGCCTTCCTGTCATATATTGGGTTCTTTGATCATTTCTATAGGAAGGTGGTATTAAACACATGGAAGGATTATCTTTAGGCCTAAGCGAATATCTCTTACAGACAAGATTTATCATTGATTGAATTCTTATCTAGACCTTCAGACAGATTGAATTGGCAATCGCATACATTACCGTCAGATGATTTGTGCATGGAGAATGCCATCATATTATATAGATTCTAGAGATATCCTCTAGTTATTGATCCATCTGGATAGGCGTTGTCTTATATTTCCTCCTTGTACAAAGATAAGAAATTAGCAAGGACATCATTCACAGATGAATCCTTCTTGAAGACTTTGGAAACATGCTTAAGATTTGGTTGTCCATTGTTGGTACAGGATGTAGAAAAGGTTGACCCAATTTTGAATTCAGTTCTGAACAATGAAACATATAAGACAGGAGGAAGAGTCTTAATAAGAGTAGGCAATTAAGAAATTGATTTTTCACAAGGTTTTACCATGTTCATGATTACCAGAGATAGCACTGCCAGATTCACTCCTGATTTATGCAGCAGAGTCACATTTGTCAATTTTACAGTCACTCAAAGTAGTTTGTAGGAACAATGTTTGAATATATTCTTGAGAAATGAATCTCCAGAAACTGAGGAGAAGAGATTAAATTTAATGAAGTTGCAAGGAGAATATATAGTTAAGTTGAGAGAATTGGAAGATCAATTGTTGGATTCACTGAATAATAGTAGAGGATCCATATTGGAAGACGAGAAGGTTATCTAAACATTGGAGAAGTTGAAGAAGGAGGCTGCTGTCATTGTTTAAGAAATGAAATAGGCTGACACTATAATGAATGAAGTCATGAATACAACACATTCATATGTTCCATTGGCTAATACTACTTCTAAGATCTTCTTCAGTTTGACATCTTTGGCCAATATTCATTATTTGTATTAGTTTTCATTGCAATTCTTCATGGATACCATTTACAATGTGTTAAATAAAAATGAATAGTTGCAGAAGATTCCCAAACAAGATTTGATAAAGAGGAGAATTCTAATTTTCAACGAAATGTTCAAAGAAATATACAAACGAATGAATTTCTCTTTGTTATAAGAAGATAAATTGGTGTTTGCAATAACCTTGGCCCAAGTGAAATTGGGAGACAACACCTTGGGATAGGAATTCTTGAATGTATTCAAACCACCAACAGTGATGGAGACAACTTTTTCGAATACATTCTTGTAAGGAAAGTTGAGTATCCAATAATTGAAATAATTAGAAGGAATAACTCAATAGAATTAAACTTTCAATAGACTCATAGACAACCTAAATAAGAATGAAGATCGTTGGCTCAATTTCTTAAATGATGAAGCTCCTGAGAATGACATCCCAACTCAATGGTATAATGAAGTGTAAAGAGATGACATTGTTAAATTAGATTGGATTGATAGTCATCAATTAAAGAGATAATTGGATGATTTGCACATCCTCAGAATATTCAGAGCTGATAGATTCCAAATAATAGCCAGAAAATTGATCAATCAAATTTTGGGAGATGGTTTCATGGATGAACAAACAGTGGATATGAAATTAGTAGTCGAGAAGGAAGCATCAAACAAGATTCCTATCCTATTATGTTCAGCTCCAGGATTTGATCCATCCTTTAAAGTCGAATAACTTAGTAGAGAAATGGGAATCAAATTGACTAGTGTGGCTATAGGAAGTGCTGAAGGTTTTGATCAGGCTGAATAGGCAATTACTCAAAGTGTCAAATCTGGATCTTGGGTGATGTTGAAGAATGTTCATTTAGCTACCAGTTGGCTTAATGATTTGGAGAAGAAATTATTTAGATTGACTCCCAATGTCAATTTCAGAATCTTCTTAACCATGGAATTCAATCCAAAGATACCAACTACTTTGATTAGATAATCATATAAGTTGGTCTTCGAACCACCTGATGGCATCAAGGCATCACTGATTAGAACATTCAAAACCGTCTTGTCTCAACAAAGAACAGACAGATAACCAGTGGAAAGAGCAAGATTACATTTCTTGTTAGCTTGGCTACATGCTGTTATTCTGGAGAGATTGAGATTTACTCCTATTGGATGGAGCAAAACCTATGAATTTAATGAAGCTGATTAAAGATGCTCATTGGATCTCATTGATGAATATGTAGATGCCTTAGGTATTAGATAAAATATTGATCCATCTAAATTACCATGGGATGCCTTTAGAACTATATTGACATAAAACTTATATGGTGGTAAAGTAGATAATGAATATGATCAAAAGATCCTTTAATCCTTGGTTGAACAGTTCTTCACTGAGTAAAGTTTCAATCATAATCATCCTCTATTTTTCACTCTAGAAGGCAAAGAAGCCATCACAGTTCCGGAAGGCAGAACCTATCTAGACTTCATGTAATGGATTGAACAATTACCAAAGACTGAAAGTCCAGAATGGTCAGGTTTACCTTCCAATGTAGAAAGAGTCCAAAGGGATCAATTAACCCAAAAGTTGATCACTAAAGTCTAGAATCTTCAACAAGAAGGTGAAGAAGAAATCACTTAAATTGAAGTTCAAACTGAGAAAACTCAAAAGAAGGATAACAAAAAGTCTGATCAGGTTTAATGGCTCTAAGATCTTCTAGAAAAAGTTGAAAAGTTCAAAGCCATACTCCCCACCAAAATCTCTCCTTTGGAAAGAACAGCCGATTCTATCAATGATCCCTTATTTAGATTCTTAGATAGAGAAATTACAGTGGCCTCTAAATTATTAAAAAGTGTAAGATAAAATATTGAGGAATTAATTTAATTGGCTTAAGGAAAGATCTTAGCCACTAACGTATTAAGATAATTGGCTAAAGATGTTTTCAACAATATTATCCCAGCATAATGGAATAAATACAATGTAATCACTATGCCTTTGAATGATTGGGTTGGGGACTTTAAGAGAAGAATTGATCAATTCGATCTATTAGGAAAAACTAAGGACTTCTAAAAGGGCCAAGTTTGGTTTGGTGGATTGCTATTTCCTGAAGCATATCTTACAGCCACCAGATAATACGTGGCCTAAGCAAATAAATGGTCATTGGAAGAATTAGAACTCTAAATTATACCAGAAGATCAAGGAATTGATGAGGATTCCTTTGTCATTGAAGGAGTATCAATGGAAGGAGGACATTTAGATTCCAAGACTTTATAAGTAAGGATTGTCAATGAAATCTCAGTAGCATTAAAACCAATGACCTTAAAATGGTGCAAAACTGCCCAAAAAGGAGTTGTCGGAGATGATGAAATTGTTTTACCTGTTTATTTGAACAAAACAAGGAAGAATCTTATATTCTCCCTCAAAGTCAAAATGGGTAAACTCAACAGATACACTCTCTATTAGAAAGGTTTGTCATTTATCCTCTTTAATTGAAACATAAAATGAGATATCATACAAAATAAATATATAATTTATCATTCCATCTATTTTTCTAAAAACACACACACCCCCAAATATTTCTAGGGAAAATCCGTCTTTGTATAATTTAAATTATGATGATTCTCTAAAAAAGATAATGTATAATATTTAAGATAAATCAAAAGAATTCTTTTTATTATTGTATTGATTTAGACAGTTCCTTACATTTTGAAATGGTAGTGTTCGCATTTGATTAGCAATTCATTCCTTATTACTATTAAGTATATATTCTTTAGCGTGCCTATGACTTTTCGTACATTGATAATTTACTAACGTAATTGTCTGCCAATTATTTAAGGTCCTATATTAATATAAGGTATTAAATTACATTGAATACTTCTTTATAGATCTATTTGCCGTCTTTTTCGTCCAATTAATCTGTGCTTGCTAACATAGATGGCTACTTTTAGATATATTTCATGTCTGATATTAATTTATCTGATATCATCTTTTTCTATTACTGGTCTTTTAATGATTTAATGTTCTTTAATTTTGAACTAGCCTTTTAGACTTCCATATAATATAGAGATTTGGCTTCTATTAGATTAAATATTGCCATCTTTGTCTATTAGTTTATTTCTTGTTTATGGTCTCGAGAACTCTTGGATCTTAATATTGATCTTTCAGTTTTCAATTACTTTTACTCGTCGCTATTGATTGAAATATTTGTCTCCATGTCCTTACTAAGTTCATTATATGAATAAAAAGACTCTTTCCTTAAAGAACCTTGTATTTGTGTGTCCAAATACTTCATGGATTATCTATCTGACTTTATGTAAGAAAAGCTTTCTTTTTTGATGCTCTTCTTTAAAAAAGATGATTATTATTTAAAATTAGAATGAGGAGATAAGGATTGATTTTAAGTTTGTTTTAAATTAGGATGAATTGTTGTATCATAATATTAAGATAGTGGTTGAGTTTGCTACATCGTTGTTGGACTATTTTATCTTTTATCCTTTCCTTTTAATATAATAGAACATCGCTATTTGATGATGGTAAATTGATGTTTGGTTCTAAAAAATGCTTGATCATTCATTTCCTTTACTTGATATTTCTTATAGAAGTGTTCATCTATATAGTTAGGTTTTTCTTCTGCTTAGATTTCTGGAACATCATACATAAGTGACATAATTTTCTAGATTTCCCCTTGTTCTGAGAGGTGTATCTATAGTTTGAGGTTATGTTGTTTGATAAAGTCCTTTAATAGTTTAGATTGTTCTCCATTATATTAATTATGCTTGTTCAAGTAATACAGTAACTTTAATAGTTCCTAATACTTTGACAAATTATCAGAATATAGATAAGATATGCAAAGCAAAAAAAATATATGAAATAGCATAATCATCTAAATTCATTGTTAACTTTATTACTTATCTTATAGCATACTTTTTGACTTCTTCTTTTGGTAAACTCTTTTCGATCTTATAACTTATTATTTAATTTATATTTTTTTGAATCCTCACCAAACTATCTTGAAATTCAATGCTGGCTAATTCATAACTTTATTTTCAATGAATATAATTACTTCTAATTCTATAATAACATATTCCCCACTATTAAATCAGTCCAAACATCTCTTGATGAATGTTGCCAAATCTAAGAAAAGATAACAATGAAATAAAATATTACTTTAAATTTAAATCCATTGAGTTATTCTAAGATCTGTTTCGAAGCATTGCAGTAAAAATATGCTATATGGTACGATTCTTCTCTCTAAAATTTAATGCTCATATTTTGAGTATACTTGAGCAATTCGTATAAATATAACTATATCATTTTGATATCTACAGATACGTTAATTACATAAATTACTTGGCTTTTTATATTTAAAGTGTGATCTTATCAACTCGTACCATTGTTACAAAAATAACTTTGCCTTACTTATTACAATAAGAGCAGTTTTTTTGTAGAAAGACGCATTTCTGTTGAGATAGCTCTCTAAAATTTTGTTTAAAGAATAAACTTATCTTCTCAAGATTTCCATTTCCTCTAATTTATTCATAATAAGATTGTTATTCTTTACTCTTTCTAACAATTATATATTCTTTCTAGGGCAACCCTTTAAGTAATTGTAAACATTTTACTTTCCTTATAAGCTTAGTGGAATCCTTTAAATAGTTTTCATTAGACATATTATAATATAAAAATTAGAAATAACATTAAAATGTATAGAACCAAATAATCTTATAGTGAGTATGACTCTTCCAACATGAATAATTCAAAAATGATAACGCAGAAATACCAAAATTAACAATATTATAATGACAATAGTGGTAGATTAGGAATAGCTTTACCTGAATTATAAAAATATCAAAAATAGTGCTTGTAACAAACAAATCCAACATAAAGAAGCGAATTCGATAGAGAAATGACGTGGACTAAGAAATAAATTATTAAAGAATAAAAGGTCCAACATAATAGAAGGGTCAGATAGAAATTGGATTCAGATAATTCATTTAGTTAGAATTATAGTGTTGATGATCAAATAAGAATAAGGAGAAAGGCTAATTTATCATCTTACATGTTTGGTGGTTTTGTTCTATAGGATTATAATGAATAAGTTAACAAATTGCACAAATTATTGCTAAAGAAAGTGATCCTCAATAGATGATAAAGTGAAATATTTATTTGTTTTGCTAATTTCAGTTTTATTTTAGTTCACAATCATTTAGATGCTAATGATTAAATTGATCATTGCTTGAATTTTTTTGTTTTGGTTATAAATAATTTTATAAAATTTGATGTAACCTTACTACGATAAAGACACTGACGATGAATGTAAATTTAATAAAAATCCAATCTTAGCTTCCGATAATGCTTCGGTTGAAGGAATGATAAATAGGCCATAGACAGCTCCTCCGAGTCCAATTACAGAACTTGAAGAATTCAAAAGGTTTTTGATTCAATCATATTATAGATAAGACGAATTTATTATTTTGGATAGGGCTTAACGTTACTAAATTAAATTAATTTAAAGAGATTTTCATAAATATGATCTGGATAACCCTGAAGGTTAGCGAAGTTGTAAAAAATACTTAAAAATATTAGAGGAAATGTGCATAGTATTTGTTTACTTTTATATTCTTTCTAGATTTATCAAGTCAAAACTTTATCAAGAGATTACAGAAATACCTTTTCTAAGGCTTATAAGATCTTGTACAAGGAGGATAGATTATGTTATCTTCCAGAAATATTAGATAGTGCACAGGAAGGTTTTTGTTACCTAATTATTTAATAGGTTTTCCATATTTATGGGTCAATTCAGAGAAATTTGTATTTTCACATGATGTGCTTTCCAAAGGATCTAAATTAATAGAACTATTTTATAAAGTTTAACATATAATTAGACTTTCATTCACAAGAACACTAAAAGAAAGTCCTGATTTCTCATCAAAACAATTGAAACAAGATATCGTGAGTATTCTAGAAGATTTCGACTAGATTTGGGTTGATTTTGAAAAAGTAAAGTTTTAAATATATTTTGTAGCTCTATGTGAAAGAATTGATGGACATCGAAGCAAAAGCCAGAAGGTTTATTCTCTTAGCAATAGAAATTGATAAAGAGATGACATCTATTGAGATTAGGGAAAAATTAAGAGGTAAAATCCTAGTAACTAGTGAAAACTATATTTAAAAAAAAGAACAAGTATAGATTTAATTTACAATTACAAGTTCTGTAAAGTAATTGCTTAAATCAATTCAGTTGCCAATGTAGAAGGGAAAGGAAGAGACGACTTAGGTATTAACATACTTTTGGAAGCAGAAGGAATCACAAGAAGAGTGACAAAAGAGCAATCGAGTGCTGTTCGTAATCTAGCTGATAGTATCAAAGCAAAGTATTTCTAAACTTGAAATTAGTTTCTAGAAGTTTCGAGAATAAATGAGAAAATATGAAGGAAATATAGAGATGGTAGACCCCTAATTGAAAAACAATTAAGAACTTGTGGATTTATTAGTAGAATATGAATCATAGTGGGAAAAAGGACTCTATTATTTATTAGACCCTACAAAGTGTTAATAATTGATGTACTTTTCACATATAATTGAAACTACTGCAGAGAAATATTAATAATTTTAAGAGTAATTAGAATGCAGAGATTCTGATATCTTTGTAACAATACCTTGTTTGATTGCCTTGAAATACTTAGAAAATGAGGATAGGAATATTTGCATTTATTTCTTACCGACCCTAAAAGAGGAATCTTCGAAATTATTTCAATACTATGCTTAATTAAAGAATTAATTCTTAGAATGGAGAAATTTACATGCGAAATAATATGAATATTATAACATTTTAGAAAAATAGTTATTAGGAATACCCCTAAATGAGAAAGAACTAATTGCACTATAAAATTTCAAATTAGATAATATTATGTAAAAAATTCGATAAATGTCTATTGAATTATAAAGATATAATGCAATAGAATGGAATTACTTTATTGATGCAGCCATCAACAATAATTGAAAATTTTTAAATTTATATATTTCATTATATTAAGTACAATCTCTTTCATTATCCACTATTTCACAGGAATTATTGACTCCACAATTGCCAATTAAGTAATATTTAAATTTTTAACTTAAAGTTCAAGTTCTACAATTATAAGAAAATAAATAAATTTTATCTTTAAATTTAATAATAACAAATAAATTTATTCATGATTTAAATTCCTTATGCGAAGCATCACTAATCATAAATATAATTTGCTGAAAGCCAAATCACAAATCTAGACAAAAACATTATAAAAGTCTTGTAACTATTCTCTGTAATTGGATAGTTGGAAATGGATATAGAAAACATTAGTAATACATAATAATAAAGAAAGGACTTGAGTTATCAGAAAATTCTCACTTTTACCCTGAAGCCTTATTTCAATATTTAAAATTATACTTGTAACCAATAAAGCCAGAACCAATTCAAGAAAAACCTTAATTTTTTAATTTTACTGTATATATGAAATCATACTTAGGATCTCTAAATATAAGCACCTTTAGTAATCAATGTGATAAATAGTGCAAAGGATGGGATCATCAAATTTGAAAATATCATAGCATTTATGCAAGATAACACTTCAGTGCCTTTGAGTGCTGAGAGTCTGAGGGCAATAGAGAGAGTATTTCACATAAACTAATTTGCTTTTTAAAAGGATAATGTTCTGGACACATTTAATAATGAATACCCGTTGCCTTAGGATGTGATTCCCTTATCCTAAATTCCAATAGTCTAAATTTAAGGTACTTCTAAGCTGCCATTACAATAAAAAGAAAACATTGAAAAAATGAACTCTGGAGATGGGTTTAATTATGCTACATTTCAAAAGATGCTACTTTCAAAGTCTATTCCTTAAGCAAGTTAAAAGGCCTAAAAAAGGAAATTAATCTATGAAACCAATTAAAGATAACAAGTAGACAACAGTATTCTGAAGTTGTTTATAAATCTACTTTAAAATGAAATAGCATTGATTGAAAAAGCTGAATAAATTAGACTAGTGTTGAATACTGATAGTTCATACAATCACGTTACAATGTTCAATATATTTGATTCGCAAGGAAATGGTGAGATCGAGTATCGCTATATTGAATAATTGATGAATAAAGCGCAAATACCATTCAAGCCCTTACACTTTAAGTCTTTAATTAGAAGGGCTAATATTTTAGCAAAAAACGCTTCAGCATCTGAAGCCTTGAATTTTGAAGGTTATAGACTAATAGCAACGGTTCAATGTCCTTATTTCAAGATACCAAAACATGAGGAGGAATAACTTCAACCATAACACTAATATTCGCGAATTTTAGGAGCTGAAGTTAATGGATAAAATTCCTCACAATTATCTATTTCTCGCATCCCTGAGAAAATTAGAAATAACTCTCAAAATTACAGATCAACTCCTTTATTATCTACATACAACAGTGGTAGTCCATATGTTAACGAGACTTTAAAAAAGTAGAGCAAAATATCCACTAATAATTATAATTAGGATGAGGCTATCTATCAAGATAATGTATCAATTGCTTTAATATTTAGATTGTATATGGAACAAAAAAAGAATGGGATGAACTACAACATTCTTTATGTTAGAATAACTTGATTGACTCCAGATCATTAAAATCTTAAATTTTAAGAATATAAAACCCTGAATTATCAATGAACAATTAAAGAATAGGCAGTAGAAATAATACTCCAAGGGAAAATAAGAACTAAATTGAATTGATCTAATAATAGGCGTTAGTGGAAAACGTTGAGAAAATGAGGTAAAATGATATGTCGAAACAACTGTAATATGCTATGGGCGCGAATACAAAAGGATTATACTCGAACTTTGTTAAAATTGAAAGAGATAATAAAATGAAGGAGGATCTTCATTCATTCTATAATCAGGCACCTTGGTACTAAACAGATAATAAAATATCCAAAAATATCGATATCATTAAATTATAGTAAAATCAAATTCAGAAAGTTTCAGGAGTACAAAATAAAATTCATCATGAGAGTTAATAATAAAATGTAAATAATTAAAGTGCCGAGATCAGAAACTAAATGCCTAATAACAATTAACAATCAGGAATTGATTCATAATAACAATAATCAATAATCTAAAAAAACCAATCAAATATTTAATAAATAAATAAATTATCACCAGTATCCCCAAGAATATTTTCAACGTAAAAATTAAATCCTCTTATTGGCAATGACAATTAACAAATAATCATGGATTATAACTATGATATTCCAAAGAGAGTATTTGATCATTAGAATTGATTATATATATTTTTTATTAATTTAAAAATTGATAATTTACAAAAGATAGCTTTTAGGGATTGCTAATTATATTATTTATATTTTTTATTAATTTTTAGCAAAAAATAATGGTATAAAGTTGAGTAATAAAATAGAACAATGAAGATGAAATGGAAAAATAGGCTAGATTGATGGCTGAGAAATATAAAGACGGGCCTAAAAAGAAGGGAGCTTTGGTGAAGAAAACTTAAGAAGTATCTCTTTTTAATAAATTATTTATAGAGAACCTAGTTTGATTCAGCAACACATGAAATGTAAAAATAGGCATAATAGCATCCTCCGAAATGACAATTTGATAATTATTAAAAAATTATCTTATAAAATTAACTCACTTATCGTTTAACTTAGTCTAATCTATCTGAATCCATTTAAATTCTCTTATTTAATATGAGTCTGATTTCCTTTTGAGCCAAAGTGGTATATTATGATCATATTGGTATTTGGTATTTTATATATAATATTTGAATAGGAATTGCCAATATTATTGGATATTCAAAATCAATTATTATTTTCATAATAAGATAAAGCATACAAAATATATTACTAATAGTATTTATGAAAGTAAAAATATTCTTAGGAGAATACGCCTATATATACCGAGGAAATATTGATTTAAGAGAAATGAACGAATATGTGAGAACATTGACAATAAGACCTTTTATAATAAAATGGAAGGATTAAGAAGATGATTTAATTACAATATCTAAAAAATAGGATTTAGTTTATTTTTATCAATTATGGACTCAAAATGAAACAACTCTTAGTCAGTCATTTCGCCTATATGTTCAAGAAATGCCATAGTCAATTCAGAATACTTAAATCGCATAATTATAATCACAATCTCAAATTAACTCTAAGATGATAAGTCCTTCCTAAAAGTATTCTTGTACCAGACAGTATTAAGGAGTGACATAATTCACATTCGGTCAATAGATGAATGATTTACCAAGGAGTTAGGAGTCATAAAGGGAGAGACATTCTTAGTAGATATATTTATAATCAATTAAGGAAATAGATGGTTCCTCCAAGAATATAAGTAATCAAAATCTAGATTAGTTTCAATTTTGGAACTAATAAAATGAATTGGCAACAAAATTTAGGATTCAATAAGATTTTACTAATATTCCATCTTAGGACCCTTCATCATTTGTGAATATGGATATGAAATAGAGTATTAAAGATCAATTTATTGATGTGCAAATGCCAAATGAAGAGGAGGATATCTTGGATAATAAAGATGAGGAAGTGGAAGAGGAAGAAATAATAGATAGCAAAAATATCTATTGTGACTATTGCTCTGATTTAATACAGCCGTAAGATGAAAAAACATTACTGTATGTATGTTAGCTATGTGAGGATTTTCATATTTGCAGATTTTGTTATGATCAAAATTAAGAGCAGGTTCATGTGCATCAATTAAAAGAAAAAAATATTTGATTATTTTGTATTTGTTATTATTTTAAAAAATGATGTAATATTTCATCTATAGGACCAATGAGAAAAGAAAGAAACATTATTTTTGAATAATTTTAACTCTTATTTCTAATTTCTATTGAAAATAATTTTGGTTTTCCTGAGGTTCAAACTATATATATTTGGAACACTCTTTTTAGAACGAGCTGTGAATACTAGTGGTTCTCTGTAAGCTTTCTATGGTTTTTGATACTATAACTGATTTTATAATGGAACTGTGATTATAGAAGGTATGAAAATAGTTTATTTTGGACTTAATTATGTACAATTATATTTAATTACGGACTTTTTTTGGTGCGAAACACATTTTCTTTTATCTATATTCTATATATAGCTTGGCTTTTAGGATAATATCTGATTCTAATTTAGAAGGAGGCTTAAAATTTGGAGATAGTTTTCATATTGGGATTTCATAAATATTTAAATATTTATTTTGAATATACTGGGTCTCATCATATGATTATGTTATTCTATGGCATCATTTTAATAACTAGCTTGGATTATGTTAGTGTTTTATTGAAATAAATTTAGATATTAAATCAATTAATTGATGGAGAGTATTTAAGATTTAAAAAACTTGATGTATAGTCTTTTGCTTATTATTAAGAGGTCACAATTTTAATGCTGGGAATTTTAGTAAATATATGATAAACAATGATATTGCAGATGTCGATTAATTAATCAAGGATTGCCAATTAGAAAACTCAGGGCAAAGATTCAATATCTGGAGACTATTTTTAAGGTAATCAATCATTGAAACTTAGAATATATTCAAAAGAGGATTCATTTACCTAAAAAATCGAAAAGCTAACGAAACTTAGAGAAAATTATAAAGAATTAGAAAATAAACATCTAAAAACTTAGAATACCTAAGCCCAAAACAAAACTGAAGATTCAACAAAAAAAGGACCATTAGGAGGTCCTCTAGGAGGTCCCTTAGGTGGTGGCAAATAAAAATAACAATCCTCTAATGCAATTGATAATGTAGAATTAAGAAATGAAATCCGAAAAGATGTTGAAAGAACTTATCAAGAATTTGAATTCTTCTCTTCAAAACGAGTTTAATAAATACTTACAACAGTATTATTTATTTGGTGTAAAGAGAATAGTGAGATATCATATAGACAAGGAATGAATGAAATCGCTGCTTCATTAATATATATTTATACTAAGGAAGCATTATATAAGGAGGAAGTTGAAAAATACGAAGAAGTAACTCTCATCATAATTATTAGGCAACCGAAGAAGAAATAAACATTCTCTTGTAATTCAACTCTTGGGAATATGCAGAACCTGATATTTACACATTGTTCACTGCTCTAATGAATGATGCTTAACATATGGAGATGTTTAGACCAAATTACACTGAATAACAAAAAATTAAGCTTTAAAGCAAGAAGCCAAGTGCAATTTTGACAAGAGTTGCAAAATTATAAGACATTCTATTGAAGTAAGTGGATTTGCAATTATTTCGACATCTAAAACTTCTTTAAGTTGAATTCTAGATCTTCCTGTTAAAATGGATAAGGTATCATATCTAATATAATTCTTAGATGTATTTTTACAAGAGAATTATCATTAATAGAATCATTTCATGCTTGGGATGCAATCTTTTAGGATTTCTTTATACAATAATGTGACACATTATTCTTTGTAGACTGTATAGCTATTGCAATGATAATTTACTTAAAAAATCAATGTAACTTATTTATCCTCTAACCATTGTAGTAATGGAAAATGAAGAATCAAGTCAATGTTATCAAAGATTCTTGAAATTCCCAAAAATATCCAATCTTTCAAACTTATTAGATACAGCAACCTAAATAAGAAATATATTGATTTCTTAAAAGTCTTCAAATAATTTAGATGACAACGTTGAAGGAACAGAAAAAATAGAAAAACTAATAAGTCCAGCTTTTTTTGTTGCTGATAAAGTAGATACAGATCCAAAGGCCCAATAAGACAAAGTCAAAAGTCGTGAATAACCCTAGCCACCTTAATTAAAGTCACAACCAGTTTCATAGTAAGCAACTTAAAATGAGGAGGAGCAATCTTAATCACCTTAATCATAAATTAATGAAAAACAACCAGTAAAGCAATAGGAGTAACAAACAGTGTTCTTTGATGACAAAATTATGGCATCAAATACAAAGGCTTAAAGATCTTAATTTACTGTCGAAGAGAATGCTTAACAGAAAGAGACAGTCTAGGAAAGTGAAGAGAAATAAAAGCCAATTAAATTGTCAATAAAAGCAGTATAGGACATCTGTACAACTATAGAGGAAGCCTTTAATGTGATTAAAAAAGGCAATGAAAGGTATTCTGATGTTTTTAATTAATTAGTTAGAATCATTAAGAATTGATAATTAGTTTGGCTGAACTTAAATAATATCTGACAAAATAAATAACAGAAGTTGAAGGAAAATAAGGGAACTCACAAGATGATGGTTAAAGAAACAAAAATGGTGGATTTGTAATTAAGAAATAGCTCACAGGTTAACAACTTCCTCAAGAAGATAATGGAATCAAGAGCAAGATGGCAGGTTTCTTCAAAAAATGGTGATGAATGATTTATTAAATTATTAAGTTTTTTATGTATTGTGAATTTAGAATGTTATTATTTTCATAATAATCATTTTGTTTTTGATAGCAATTTTTAAGGATTAACATAAATTTAATAATACGCTTTCTATGTAGAAGACAAGAGAATACTAAATAAATATATTAGAATCTATAATAAATTAATATCATTTTTTTAGTAAAGTCCTCATTTTAATCAAGTCGCTTTGCAGTTCCTCTTAATTTATGCACTAAGTAAACTCTCCTAATTATTATACAATCAGAAACCATTTTTTTTTAGCAATTCTTCTAAGAATGTATTTTTTTTCAACCAAGGCTCATAGATTTATTAAATGCTGGCTTCTTCTAAAGAGATTTTTTTAATTAAAGAATGTATATATTCTGGATCTTAATCAGACTAATCTGCTTAATCTTAATTAATTGATGATTTTGTAATTTGTGATTACTTTTTCTTTTTATCTATCTCTATCCTACACCACGGACATTTGTATTTGAAACTTTTATGTTACAATTGGGATTCGATGTCTGATACTTCGCAATCAATGTGAGTCTAATAAAATCATGATAATTATTATACCCATTTCCCACAACGTTGATTATCACATTGAACCCACTTTTTACCATCCAGGAAGTTCTATTCGTCATCCTTATAAACTTGAGCGCAAAAGTAGCAACACTTCCTTCTCTTGTAAAGTTCATAGCAAGTGCAGCATAATAGGATTGTTGAATCAGAAAACTTGGCCGCTTTTAAATCAAAGGAACTAGGGCAGTATTAATTGAAACATTATCTAACAGGCGGATACTCGCCACTTGTTGACATAATTTCGATTTTAGTTATAATATTTATTACTTCAAATTATCATACCATAATATATTTTGAAGAAATCATTGTATTTTAAATGAAAATTAGATTGAAAAATAAGTGCTTATTCTCTCAATCCAATTCGACAGAAATCTATAATTGGGTTTAATTAATGAAGGCCAATATCATAATCTCAACTTTTTAATTATAATTATCAAAAATTGAAAGAATACACAGGCCAAGGCTAATGCATTAAGTGCAATGATGACGATGAATTTGATTGATTGAGTATCAAGTTCTGATAGAGTTTCTCTACAATAATGAATAATCTCACATACTTGTCTGAATCTGATAACTTGTTTATATTGATGAATTTCTTTATCAATTCTTATGCATAAAAGTGACCATTGGCGCAGAACACTATTCCAATCAATAAAGCTAATGCCTAATTGATAGATGTTCATACTAGGGTTAAGATGATGAAAGCTTAGGTCACTGCAATGTTGCTCCATTCTAATGATTGCTTCAATTTGGCTCTGGTTAGATAATAAGTTTCAGGTTCGCCATCATTCATACTGGCTACCATCTAAAAGTCACTATTAAATCTGAGTTGCAAATTACATCTTGAAATACTCCACTGTTCTGACCACGGCGACGAATAGAAATATGCAAAAGGCAACTGACTAAGAAATGTAGGCCAGATATTTACTTCCAAATATGGAATCTAGGAGGCATAGATGTCTCTGGTTCTGAAAAATGCTATTCTACTAATGTCTAAAGACATTGATCCCAATTAAACTTTCAAACTAAACTCATATGACTTTCTTTGTACTCAACGCTTATGCCAAATGCAACTATGGAGGAAAGAAATCCCACTATGGATACGAGAGGCAATAGGAAACTCATAAAAATAATTAATATGTTTTAAATTCTTTTTTCTATAATCATTCTTAAGTTTTATTCAAAACTATTTTGGGCAGATTTATTGGAGGAACTCCTATGACAATAAATACAAACAATATACTTATGGCAGTAGGCATATACACATCTTGGGATAAGGCTTTGTCTGAAGAAAACATTTTCTTGGTGATGGATCCCAAAGTACTCTTAGGCTTATTGTCAGATTCAGTTGCGAGTAATTTGCTTATGGATTTTAGTGGAGGCAATTTAATTTGTGTTTGATTGTTTTTAGAAATGCTGTTGGTTCTTTATGAATGAAACTATTAATTTTATTATGATTTAGTGATTGCTAATTGTTGCTTTTTGCCATAATAATATTTGAAGGATTACAAGTTATCAGGATCATTAATAATGTTTCTTGAGATATTTTATGAAACAATATTATCTTTGATATAAATTTATTTAGCTTACCAAGTTTCTAATATCAATTTCAAATTGACCTATTCTGTGGATCGACTCTTCTTGTTTTTACTTTTGTTGGGTAAGGTTTCATTGATTGAGGCAAGTTATGAGGGTTCATCATATTGAATGTTTGAAATCAGTTTAGGATTCTAAGATAAATATATTTTCTGGTTTTTTTTAAACACATCGATGATTGTCAATAACTCGTTGATGTCCTACTTATTCTTCTTTGGACTTCTAAAAGTAGATGAAACATTTATCATTTAATTTATTATAAATAAATCTTAAATGAAAAAAGTGTTAACGCTTGTATTCATTATCCCTATCATTAGGATGGAGCCAACCTATCGATTCAGGATTTGAAGGACATTCTGTAAGGGAATTTGGATGTAGTAGTTGAAATTCAAGAACATGTCAAAAGCGTATTAGTTTTAGCGATAAATTAGCTTATACTTTAATCCAGAAACACAGTGGATTTGATTGTGCAAAAGAAAATCCCTATTTATGGAATTAGCACTGGCTTTGGTAAATTCAAAGAAGTAATTATCAAACTATATAATCAGATTTACATTCCCCATTAAGAAATGGTGGATCTGTAGAAGAACTTGATTATCTCTCACGCTTCATGTGTTGGCGAACCATTAAAACCAAACATAGTTTTGGTAATGATGATATTGAGGTTGAATTGTCTCATCAGAGGGTTTTCTGGTGTGAGGATGTCTCTCATAGAGTCTCTACAAAAAGCCATAAATAAGAAATTGATTCCGAAGGTTCCATGTCAAGGTTCAGTCGGGGCATCTGGAGATCTGGCACCGTTATCACATCTTGCTCTGGGACTCATGGGAATTGGTGAAATTTGGAATGAGGGATAATATATAGCTGCTGAGTAGGCTTTAAAAATGCATGATTTTGAACCTCTTGAATTCATGGAGAAGGAAGGATTGGCAATGAACAACGGAACTCAAATGATGGCAGCAATCAACTTAGAAACCTTAATGAGATCACAATACGTTATGAATGCTGCAGATCTAGCTTTGGCACTAACAAGTTATGCTTTGTAGAGTAATGTTAAGTATATTTAATTTAGCCAATTATCATTTCTTAAGAAATTACTCTAAGAGTGATAACAAATCAAAAAATATAGTATTCAGTTTAATTGGAGAAGGATGGGCAGATTAACTTAAAACTAATCCTAAAAGTATTTAGACTGCATTTACTACTCATTAAATCATTAGATAGTCTATTGAAGAGAATCTGAGGATTTTGGAAAGAGAGATTAATTCAACAAGTGATAATCCAATAATTGATGTTGAACGTCAATCAGCAAGATCAGGTGGTAATTTTCATGGAGAATATATGGGAATGCTGGCTGATAATATGTGTATAGCCCTGCAAAGGCTGTGTATATTTAGTGAGGTAATAGTATTGCATTTATAAACAATTAGAGAAGACAAGAAAGGTTGGTAAACTCAGAAATTGGAGATTGTGGATTGCCTATGTTTTTGACATCAAAAGGAGGATTATTGAATGGATATATGATTCCTCAATACACCAGTGCTGCTTTGGTTTCTGAGAATAAAGTACTCAGTCATCCCAGTTGCATAGACACAGTTCCAACATCTGCGAATATAGAAGATCATGTGTCAATGGGAGCCTATAGTGCTAGAAAAGCATTACAAGTTGTTTAAAATGCAGAGTACATTATTGCTATAGAATTGATGTGTGCAGCATAAGGATTAGAATTTGCAAAAGTCTAGTTGCCACCTAAGATTTAAAGTTGTCTCAAATTCATCAGAAATATTATACCTGATGTTAAAACTCAAGTAAATTCTGTAAAAATACTTTAGGATATCTTTATGAGCTAATACATCGAATTGATGGCTAAAAATCTCAGGGATGGCCAGATTAATCAATTAATGGATGAATTATAATTATTATGAAATATACATGTTTGATTAGAATTATGATTTTCCTATAAAACCAATTTGTTATGGCCCAATTCTTAAAAAATAGAGGTGTCATTTTAATAAGAACATATTGTATGGTATCGATTTTAATTAAGAATTCTTAAAATTTAAGGATTGCAGAATATTCTTATTGGAGTATCTTTGTTAATAAGTTATATAAAAAACGATTAATTAGATATAAACTGCGAATAAATGGGTCTAAACAAGAAGGTTTTATTAATTTTATTTTATAATAAATTACTTATAATGGACGATACTCATGAAGAAGAAAATAATAATGCTTACTTGTACATGGGGTTATGGCAAAAGATCACAGTTACTATAAGGATTGTTGTAGAATATATTTACTCGGATATTAAAAAGAAACCACGATCATTCAAGATTGGGTTATTCACAATCTACTTAGTAGTTATGTTTTTAGCATTGATACAGAGTGCCTTTTCACTCAGTCCTCTTATCTTCATACAATTGGCTGAAACGACGGCTGGTGATACTGATTTGGTGTTCACCCCGGTACCCTCGGAGAATAAGACAAAATCAAACACTGACATTGGACCTTAGAATTCCAACTTCTAAGCATCCTAGAACTTAGTAAACGGATTCAGTTTGGTGAATCAGACTGAAATAGTTCGAATCACAAAAGGCATTGGTGAAATATTTGATTCAGCTCCAAGATGGTTGATGATTGGAAATTTGTAAAACCCTAAAGAAAATATAACTAAAATAAGTGATTAAATTCGATCATTCTTTTTATTAATTGATAGTGAGAAGGAAATCAGCATAGGGTTGGGAAGGAGATTGGATACCAACATAATCAATAATAATGAGGTACTTGTCACATCGAGTGGATTAAGAGGTTTGAATGCCACCATTGGAGACATTTTAAATTTGAATATTGATGTCATCTAATTTCTATCAACTTACGTTATTACTGAAAACAATAACAATGACCCAACCACTTTCATAATGGCTGCTTTTGACACCTACTTGAATCGCCCTTTGGAGTTGATTTACGGAGAAAACTTCACAAGGCAAGAATACACTGGGTATTAATTGAAGGACTTGTCTTCAGAATTCATTCTTTTTACAGATATTTTAGATAGCAATCCAGAAATGAAGTAGGATTTAAAGGAAAGCTTTCAAAATCAAATAAACTAATCTGGAATTTCAGGCGATTAAAAGGATATGGCAAATATAGCCTTCGATATCTTATTTAACCAAGAATTAGGATATTTTTCAAGACTCTTGGCTACCTTTATTTAATCATTAGGTGACAATGATGTTATTTCTATTTATATGGTTGAGGAGGTAATGGCTAATATAATTGCAGATTCATTAGATTTCGACATTGAACTGAAGGTCAAGGAAAGTATCAAGTCACCTAAAGGGAAGTGGGCTGATGGCTTGGGTAACATCGTAGTGATGGACTATAGAAATGCAACTATAATTTTAAGGGAAGCATTCATACTCACTTTGAATAATACAATTGAAGATTATAAATAAAATAGTCCAACCAATAGCATTGAAGAAATTGTTGCTTACAATATTCCTGCTGAAGATCTTTTTGGCTATATCAGAAATTTTACTGATGGAATTAAATTGGAACAGTTTTCATTAACTAGCAATTTGATAGTCAAAGACAGAGTCTCCAAATACACTAATTAAGATAACATCGATAATTTTGTTTTGGATGTCTCAAATTCGTTTTTTGATTAAGTAGGGTATGATTATCCTGTTAAGATCACTGTTCCGTTGGCAAGTGCTATTAAATAATACTTGCTTTTGGGAAACTTTGTAGACAACCTAGTAGTTTCAGCAACATTCCTGTTGTTGATGTTATCAATTCTGTTGATTTATTCATTGATGATTGGAGATGTTGAAGAGAAGACTTATGAGTTTGGAATGTTAAGAGCCTTGGGGTTCTAGAAATGGTGGCTAATAATTCTACTATTGTTGTAAGCATTCACCTTTGCCATACCTGGCTTAGTTTTGGGATTGATTACCTGCTATATTCTGAATTCCTTAATTTCTATGTTCATATTTGATTCAGCAGTGCTGATGTCCTCATATGATATAGCAAAATCAGCTATAGGTCTGTCATTTGGTTTAGGCCTGTTCATTCCTTTGGCAAGTAACATCCTGCCTATCTTAAGAGCTCTATCAAAGACACTCCGAGACTCTTTAGACTTATATCATAGAACAATAAACGATATCTTAGTCAATGTGATTAAATTGGAGAAAATGGGAATTTCAATTGATTAATTTTTTTCAGCTGCACTCCTAGTTATTATGGGATTTGTAAGCTATTATTTAATTCCAATGGCATTCATATTCAGTAATATTTAATTAGCACTTGCAGTAATAAATATCATTTTAATTGTAATGATAATTGGATTTACATTATTAGCTAATTTATTTGAAGAACCACTGGAGAAAGGTCTTTTGAAATTGATATTATGCATTTTCAAGAAGGACAAGAATCTAGAGAAAATAATCTTCAAGAATTTGGAAGCTCATTATAGTAGAAATTGGAAAACCACATTGATGTACACAATAGCATTGGCATTCTTAATATTCGCAGGTGCAGGATTCGCATTGTAAACGAGTGTTATCACAGATGTACTATAATCGTTTTTAGGGGCTGACATCAGTGTGCAGGCTCTACAATCTGATAAAAGGGGATTGGATGAATACAATATAAGATTGTTTTTAAATAAGACAATAAAGGAAGACCCATCTCTTATTTATGATTACTCGTTTACTTCCTTGATGTTATCTCAAATCCCTGAAATGCCATAAAGTCACTTTATTTCAACTTTGGCAAAGTTCCCATTCAAGAAGATCTTCTTGGGAGCAGTAGAGCAAAATTATTTAAGTTCGTGTTTAGATGCCTTTTATATTCCAAATGATTATGATTCAAAAGTGAAGTATACAACATTGTCAGACGGAGTGAAAGATGGGGTCTCTGGTATATATGATAGATCAGATGTTCAGGATAGAGAAGCCTTTTATGATCCATTCACTCTGGTAGGATCACAGCAGATCAGGTAACAATGGTATAAAGATCTGAGTTACTAAAAACCCAATTTATAGTATTTATAGACTCAAATATTCTAGTACGACAATCGATAGGGAAATCAACATTGTGGTCCCTTAAGGCTACATCTATGAAGCTGGCATCAATGTTGACACTCCATCCATCTTGTATGTAGACAGGAGACTCTACAGAACCAATGTTAGACACATGGCTACCAAGGTTCCAGGATATTTGTTTTCTAGTTATAGATCAATGGTTGGAAATGGATTGATTAGTATGGAGGATGCTTTATACATAATTAACGATTATTTCCAGTAAACAGTTATTTAATTATTTATTAGAGGTGATATTCGAGAAGGCAATTTAGAGAATGAAAGAGCCAATTTATATTTCTAGTCGCTTCCAAAAAATTTATCTTATGGATTACCTAAGGATAATTTACAAATTAGATTTGGCAGACCCACAAGTGAATAGGAGAGGATAGATTTTTCGAATGCACTCAGAAACTACTTCTTGAACGAATAGACTCTTCTGTTTGATGTCATTACACTAAAGAAAGAGGCTGAAGACACCTTCTACTTCATTACCATCTTTTATGTGTTGGTCGCCATCGTAGCCATGACTCTATCATTCTTCCTCATCTTGGTCTCCTTTGTCAGCAATGTAAAGGATAATTCTTGGGAGTTTGGTGTGTTAAGAGCTGTGGGCTTGAATAAGGTAATATTGAGAGATTTCAATTTAGGCTTAAATCACTAGAGTGTACATATATGAAGCAGTGTCCTTGATTACAGCATCAGGACTGATTGGAACAATCGTTGGTTTGGTTGTTGCAATCACATTAACTTTGTAAATTCTCATGTTCACTGAATTTTCCTTCAAATTCATATTCCCAACTGAAATATTTTTGATAACATTCTTAGGAGGATTTATCACAGCTACAGGGGCTAGTTATTTGGCAGTTTTAGAAATCAGAGACAAGAGCATATCAACAATACTTAAAGGGTTGTATTGATAATAATAATTAAATTATTAATCATCTTGTTTCAATTAATATAAATTATTTATAATCATGGGAGGGTGTCCAACCAAATGCGAAGTTAAATGTGGGGGTGGTTTCAGATACGAAGGAAGCACTCTCGAATTAAACTTTGAATAATAACCAGATATTCTAAGAAATAAAGATCGAAATAGATCAGCTTCAAGTTCTCATTAAGGAGAATCAGCAACCTTACCAGCCACTAATTTTAGAAGAGAACTTGAATACACAGATAACATTCTATAGACTCAATCAGACCCAAAAAATGAATTAATTGCTAGTAATATTGAAGTGGAGTTGCTTCCAGTTTTTGTAATAACGAAACAAATCAATGAGTCAGCGGTTTCCTATAGATAAAATAGATTCATGGAAGATTTAGAAATTGAAGTCAAAGCCAGAATACAAGAAATGTATTTATCATTTAAAACCAATTAGAAACAGACAAGAACAAGAAGAGAGGTAAAGATTAATCATTAAGGAAATTGTTAAGAAACAATTGGAACAAGAAAAATAGAAATCAGAATAAATATCGAAATCTTAAACTAATTAATAATAAGAATATTCATAATAGTTTAATTAAAAATAATAGTTATCACCGAAAAAGAATGCTTCAAAAGAATCCAAAGATTCTTAATTGGCATCATTTTAATCTAGTTCATTATAATTGTCCTCTGAAAAATAATCAAACATACAATCCTCAATTAATAAAACAGACCCTTTGAAATACTCCTCAAAAAACCCACATCAGATGCAGGCATATGAGAAATTGATCAGTAATTATTATTTAGAAGACGGCAGTAATTATAGCAGACATAAAGGGATTCTTAAATAAAACACCTAACTTAAATTTTCACATACATCCAAAAGTTTGCCTAATAAAAGAATGGTTAAATCCAAAGTATTCAAAAAGAAGAGAGTTCATTTCTCTTAAGATACCAATTTTAATTTTGAAAAAAAAAGTGAAGAAAAGAAAGCCTCTAAAACCTGGTGGAAATCTTTATTTTGATCCTTCATTATTTTATTATTGAATGATAATCAATTACTTAAAGTTTAAATTTTACTAATAGACAATATATATAAATATCAATCTTTTGCTGCTCTGTAAATTTTATTGCATGCATCTTCCAACAAACCTAGTAAATTCTCTTAGCTTTCTTCTCTTAACTTCTTTTCTTCCTCTATTTCACTCTTTACTCTTGAAACCAGATCTTTTAGCATCTCAAATATTGCTGATTCGCTCTCCTCTCTAATTATTTTATTTAATATCAATACCTCAATTTCTTTTAATTACCTAATCCTTCATTTAATCTCTTGATTTCATCTCCTGCTCTTCTTAAAGTTCCATTATCACTATCTTCTCTATCTTGTCCTTCTGTCTTCACTAAATCATATAGCTTTGGTAAATCATTCTCTAAAGAAGTAGTGATATTTTCAATTTATTCCTATCTAATTTTACTCTCTGTTTAAATATCTGACTTTAGATAGACAACCTAAAAATGTTATAGATCATTACTTTTTCATCCAAATAGCCTTATAATTTAAGGTTACCATCCTTTCTAATTGAAATTTCTTATTCCAATTTAGTCGTTATACGACTCTCAAAAGCAGCAACTTCTCTCACTCTTTATTCAAACTGAGTTTCAAATGCATTGTTTTCTTCCTCAATCTATTTTTACAATCTCACTATTTCATCTTTTAGAGAATGCTAAAATGAGATTAAATTTATACAAGTTTTCTGTTATATGATGTGATTGTATCTTGGATTCTTTCTTCTACACCAGAGACACGGCCACAAATGACATCAATACGATGAGCCTTAGAACTATCGTGATGTAATTGGATTGAACTGAGTTTTTCAGAGATTTTAGCAAATCGTTCGTTGAATGGTGTATTTGGATTCATTTTATTTATTTTATTAACAAATTTTATTTGTATTATTATGAATAAATAACAGTGTGATTACCATTATAGTGTAAAATTTATCATCGTAGGTAATTCTGGAGTTGGGAAAAGTTGTTTACTCCATCAATTTATTGAAGGTTAGTTTAAAAATAGTATGGATTCAACCATTGGAGTAGAATTCGGATAGAAATTAATCAACTACAAAGACCGAGTAATCAAAATTAATATTTGGGATACTGTAAACTTCTTAATATTATTTAGGCAGGTTAAGAGTCATTTAGGTCAATTACAAGAGCGTATTATAGAGGGTAAAGAAATGAACATTAACATTTAGATCAATCGCATGTCTATTAGTTTACGATGTGACTAAGAAAAAGTCATTCCACCATCTCATTAATTGGTTAAACGAGGTGAAGTAAGATTCATCAGCTGAAATAATGATAGTTGGGAATAAGATTGACTAGTGGGGAAGAGAAGTTTCCTAAGTTGAGGGACAATAACTAGCCTAACAAACTGGCTGTCTATATTTAGAGACATCCGCAAGAACAGGTGAAAATGTTATTCTCGCTTTTGAAACCTTGGTACAAAGAATATATACGAAAATTTAAAATAAGGAGATAGATTTAAATGATCCATTTAATGGAATTAAATTGGGTTCTATGACAGAAGTGAAACCAGTCATTAATCAACCTAAGGGAAATTAGAGTTCATCATGTTGTTGATGAGTTTTTGATGTTTATTTTAACAAATGGTTTATTTTAAGAATTTCGCAAAATATAGAATAAACTAAGCAGCTTAAATCTAAAAATAAACTCATTTATTATCTTAAAATTACAAATAACATATTTTGTTAGATTTGCTATTGTTATTTATTGGATTATCTACAATTCTGATTCCTCCATACTGTTTTATGATGTTATCTTCAAATTATAATATATAAAAAGAGATATAGCATTCATGTCCATTTGGATATAGGTTTTGTGGTTCTTCATTTATTTTGTATTATCTAAGATGTTTGCTTAGTTATAAACACTATTGTTATAATTAAGTTAAACAATAAATATGAGATTCTTACGAGAAATCAATAATGCTTAATTGTATTAAAATTACAAGAATGAATAAGATGGAAATAACTTTTGTAATTTACAAGTCTGAATAAAGATAAAATATGATTACATACATTTTTAATTAATAAACGATATAAAATAATGATATAATGATAATAATTTTATACTTATATCAATCATTTTCTAAACAGCGAAAATCGAGTTTCATGGTATTTACAATTAAATCAAAATTTCTAAATAGTTGATAATATTAAATACTTTGCTATATTACTTGAAGAATGTGACATTTAATGTTCAAATTTTTATTCATATAATTTAAGTATGGTTTCTTTGACTTTCTAGATTTATGAAATCAAAATCTTTTCTTCACCTTAACTGGTTTAATTAGACTTAGTTTATGCTTTAGTGGATGTCTAATTCATTTTAACTTATCTAGTTTTTTCTAATAATGAACTTTATTTCATTTTTTGTTACGATGGAGTTTATGGGACTTATAATATGAGAGATGATTACCATCTGCAACGATTTCTTAGGACATTTTCATATTAATTTATTTCGATTAGACAGCTTTTTTTTATGCAACTTGACTAGGAGTAGGTTGAGGTTGGACCTTAGATGTTTATGGTCTGACATTAGTAGTAGTCTTCTTTTAAATAAGAGCTTGATTTTGTTGAGATATTGTTTATTGTTGCGAATTAGCAAAAATGTTGGCATCTTTAGAATATACTACTGATTTTTTCTTTTCGTTATTCACTTTTAATGATAAAATAGTAAGATACCTTAATCCTTAAGAGTTGATTTGGTAGTACTTGGGACTTTGCCTATAGCTTTGTTTTAAATGGTTGGTTGGACTGAAGAGACCGATTCTAGAAACTGCTATTATTCATCCTCTTCTAAGATTAAATGAGGATATGTGCCAGGCTTGGTCTAAGGACTTTCATGTTCAGGAGATTCCTCTAATATTAGATAATGAATTACGTATGATGCTTCCTGCTATTGTACCTTGATTGAGAGAAACAGAATGAGTTTTTTATTGTTTCCATGAATTTATCAAATTGTCTACGTTTTGATTTTATTGTCTGAGATTCAGGACTTAAATGAGATAACTTTATGAATATACATTTTTCGACAGATTAAGATTATTTTTCACTATTTCTACTACTCTTAACTTCAGGGACGTTGATTCCATTTGTTTACTATCTGTCTGAGGATATATTACGAGTTCTTTATGAAGTCTAGGCTAGCTTCTCTTGAATTTGTTCTAATTCTTCGAATTTCGCTATATATCGATTATTTATCTGAGCAGACATTTTAATTTATTTAATTAGAGTTATAAGTGTTATTATAAACAAATGAGGAACATCACTTATGGAAAATATTCTTGACCTTATCAAAAACCCCTTCACCAGTCTAATCCTAGGATTGGGCTTTTTCCATCTATTGATTATTGAATAATTTAAATACCTTGGCTAACTCCTGGAATATCTCTCTTTGCCTATCATTTAATTTGGTGGGTATTTGTATTTTGAAATTGATAACCTAATCCCCTTTCTAATTTTGATTGGGTGCCAATTTGTTAATTCCCTTACATAATTATAATAGAATATACTAAGCCACTCAATCTCATTTTCTCTCCATCCTAACATCCGGGTTTGACAGAAACCTACTTATCCCCACCCAAAGTCTTAATTTTTATAGTATCTCCTAACACTGCTTAAGCAATAGAAATATAAGCATTGGTAATTAAATCATAGCCATCCCTTTTAAAGTAAGGGTCAGGTTTGACTTAAATTTTAACAATAAGATCTCCTGCTTTTCCTCCATTTTCCCCTACGTTTCCTTTGCCTGTCACTCTTAAATTTTGACCGTCTGCGATTCCCTTTGGTATGTTGATAGTTTCATTTGTGGGCTGTTTCTATATACCCATACCTCTGCATGTAGTGCCTAAATGGATGATATACTATAAATACATGGATTTTTGATGGAGATTCCTGTTCCTCTACATTTAGTGCATGCCATTTGTATAGTCATAGCCCCTTGTCTATAATTGATAGATCCTCTTCCTCCACAATTAGTACATCTTCCAGGGGCAGTTCCAGGTTTGCATTTAGTACCATTACAGGTAGTACATGTTCCTACTTTCTCAAATTAAATTGTCTATTGTGATCCTTGAACACTATCCATAAAAGAAATTTCCATTTGGACATAAATGTCAGCTCCTTTAATTGTTCTTTCAGCTTCTCCTCCCATATTAAAAAAGGATGCAAAATCACCAAAAATGGATTCATCAAATTCATATTCTTATCCTCTGCCTCCTCTTGCTCCTTGTCTAAAGAAACTACTATAGGCAGCAAAAGGGTCCTATGCTCCAGCCTGATCCTGTTCATCTCCAGTCATTCCCACTTAGTCATAGACTCTTCTTTTATTTTCATCAGATAGAGTTTCATATGCACTAGAATTGTAGATGAGAATTTAAACTTATTAATTTCAGCAAACTTCTCTTTGGCATCCTTAGATGGATTTGCATCTGGATGATACTTCTTGGCCAATCCATAATAGGCTTTTTTGATATCATTCTATGAGGCATTCTTAGGTACTCCCAATAATTCTAATTGATTAGATACAGTATTACCATACAAATCTCTCTTGGATGAGAAAGTGAAAAATGGAGTGAATGCAAATCTCCTAAAAACATTTTTGGCAAAAACTTGCATTGACAACCGGAAATAAATTATTATTAAAATCACTAAGTAATCATTTTCATAAATTCATTCAGTTGCTCATGTTTACTAAATACCAATTCTATCTATTGATGTTTCGAAATCACTAGAATCAATGATTATTAAGATTGTTTAACCTCCTTGATTTATCGTAGACATAAGGCTGATTCCTTTTGGCCCAAATCATGAATCATCCTATTAGAATTGTAGAATTCCAAACATTTCATCTTCTAATTACATTTCACAAATTTGCTTGAAAATGCTGAGCATCCACTCTGATTGCTTGATGATTGTTGTCGAAATGTTCTCTTCAATACTTTGAAAATTGATATTTTATCTGCTTTCATTTATTGAGGAGGAGATTTCTCCATTTGAAAATCTGGGAATCGTCTTGCAGAGGACTAATAACTCCAATAATTTCATACATGTAAACTCAATGATTGCTCTATAGATATGTGATGATTATTTGATTGAGGTGATAACAATGGGTTTTTTTGAGACGTTTAAGATGATAAACTAGTTTGTTATTTTAAAGCCAACTTAGTCTTGGAACATAATGGATCAGACGAACGATGGCCCAAAAAACTATAAGCAGAGAGACTTCTATCAGTAGGTTCATTCATAAATAATTATTTTTTGGATCTGAGTACTGAATATTTGTGAGTTGTTCTCTCTTGAGACATATCAATTTATATTGTTCCTATCATGCTGACATCTCTAGAATCGGAGGGAGGAATATTCTCCTTTTTGGTCTTCAAAATAGATTCATTCAATTCTATTAAGTATTTAGTTTACATTTAATCTAATTAGATATAAGTATCTTACTTTCTTAATCTTCCAATTGCTTGAGTTTCTGTCTATAATTTTCAATGTTTTAATTGTAGAGAACTTGTTGCTGCTGATACTATCTCCTATTTTCTTCTATTTGTTACTCTATATTATCATTAACTATGTTTGAATCGAGATTTAAAATGGGTAATTTTTGAGATTGACCTGAGAATATCTTATAATAGTAATCCTATTCAATTTGAATTGAGTATTATAGTTCTTTGATTTAAGATTGCAACTATTGTTCCATCTAATTTACATTGTCTTGGATTTCTTTGATTTAAGCTGGGAATGTGATTTCGAAAAGTGTTTTATTTTACGATTTTAAACATTCTATGTGATTCATTCTATCAAGGATTTGCTGTAATCTTAAGGCTGTTTGATTCTTCTCAAGAACAGGCAGATTAGACTCAAGTCTATTGTATTAGGTTTAGATCATTGATTGTTCATACATTATCTGATGTATTTGTCTCTGTATATCGACAAGATGTGCTCTATTCTTAATTTATTATTTTTGTACTTATGCTATTTCAATTTGGATTCTATTTTGAACTTAGATATTCGTTTAGTTAATTCGTTTGTAAGAAATTAAGAGTACTCTGCAATTTATGCCTAGTCCAAGTATTCTTGAAATACTGTGCTATTGAATACTCTAAACTTATTATCATTTTCTATTGATCGAATGCTCTCAATAAGCACATTCTGATTCGCTTTAGAATTGAGTCCTTTAACAATTTTATCGTTAATTAGTAATACTATGTTGCAAAAAAACTCCAATTATTACTCAGCTTTTGCTTAAGATACAATTGAATTGTAAAGTTGATCGACATTGAACCAAGAAGATTGCAAGCCCTTCATTTGTTTTTCAATTTAAATTGATTTGGTTTGCAACTCCAAACTGTTAATAACTTTTAAGATGTCAGTTTGGATAATTTCCTTTTCTTATCGTTAATTGGCCAATAGTATATAATTGTGTTTTAGTTGACTCAAACTTTTGTTTATTTCAAACAGAGTCTTGACATTGTTGCATTGTGATTTGTTCTGTTGCGAATCTATTATCTATTCTAGTTCTTCATATTCAATTAGGAGAGTATCCATTTACAACACTCTTCCCTCAACATCATTTTGAATCATTTTCTTTTGTTCTTGGAATTGGATAATCTTGGATTCTGTTTGAAAGATCCTCTCAAATTATATTAACTTGGATTCTGAATGCTTTAACAGGATTTATTATTATTGGATAGTTATCTTCTATCCATTTTGTGATGATAGAGGATTCAGAAAGAACCCAACCTTTTTGGTCCAATTGTTATTTAGTAATGCATACTTAAGTTCTTGTATGGTAATCTGTTGATGTTGCTTTTCCAATTGATCTGTTAATAGTTGCTATTTGTTCATGTAGTCTTTGATTATTTATTAGTTTTTGTCATTCAAATCGTTGATAGATTAGATGATGTTGTCTTGCTGGTGTTTTAGGGCTTGCAATTTGTTAACTGAAGTGGAGTTTCTGTTCTTTAATTTCATTAGATTTAAATAATTTTATATACGGTTAATTAAATAAATGGGTACTAAAAGAAAGAGAGTGATAATGCAGGCAGGATCCCTTTTGAATCCGATCTTTAGATACATTTTGAAGATGAATTTCGTTGCCAATCCCACTGATATTCATGGCACAAGGCTACTGAGGTTTATTTAATGAGCATTCCCCTTTTTTAGACACTTGCAATATTAAACTATGAATCTTAATAAGAAATTGCACCAGCCTAACTTTGAATCCACTTACAGAGAGTCAGTCGAATGCATTTCAAGTAAATGGGAAATCAAATTCGGTATGTGCTTCTGATTATTCCAAGTGAATGGGTGGGAGAGAACATTCTACATGAAATACGCAGACATGTCGACTCTGCATCAAACTATAAGGCAATACAATCATTTCATCGAAGGTCAAAGGGCTCTTCAAGGCGAGGATGATGAACCCGATGATACCCTATTATAATATTGAATAAAATATATAGAGAGAATTATCAGTGCGGGATTTATTATATTTCTTTTAATAATCATGACACGAGTGCTTTAGAACTTATAGAAACCATCGATATAGCAAATGCTTACAAGATGCTGAGAGGAGGTCTGAAATCCAAATTGAAGGAATTGGCCTCCATCTTTCCATGCAACAATTGGATCGTCTTATCATCTCCAGCTTTGATCAATTAGAAATTACGAGCTGATGCAATTTTGGCCCGTCTAATTATATAGTCATTTAACATTACCCAAAGAAATTCAACTAATAACAATCCTTCTCCTAATTGTAATGGGGTCTCAATGTAATCAGTTCTAATTAAATAATAATTAAAGCAAACTACCTTCCCATTATTTCGTATCTAGATTCAGAAACACAGTATCAAAATACCTTGGCTCATTTGCCATGATGTTGGTCTCGTACTCTATTTTCATCAACCTCCTTCTCTTCTGACCTATCCAATCAGGAAATTGTAATTAAGCTGACTCTGGATATCCATCATCATAGACAACCATTGAAGTGCCCCAAATGTTCCTTTCCACACATCCCAAATATGAGTCATTATATTTCTAGTATTTCTCACATTTGTTATCATAGATCTATATTTCTGCATGTGCTTCTAATTGTATTCCATATAAATATTGCTATTGATCACTCTATTTTTTTATTATGTAGATATGTGGATATTCTGAATCTTCAGTTTGATCTGGAATGTCAGCATTTCGCAATACTTGAAATTGGGTGTATTCGTTGATGGGTTTGAACACCGCAGCTCTCTCCTTCTCGTATTACTTGTATAATGGATATAAAAATGTGGTGTTTATTTTTAAGGAGAAATTCTTGGCATTGACTCTAATGATATTGGGTTTCTCTATTGACAATTGCTTTAAGTTCTGCGTCACTTCATTCAATATTGGATCGGTGATCTCCTTGAGGATCCCATTGTAAAAGTAGAGTATTTATTTTACTAATCTAAGAATTAAAGAGACACTTACTTGTACATATACATCTGGTACTTGGATTCATAGTGGACTGTGACTAATAGCAACTTCATTATGATTTCCAAAGTGGGTTTCTTGGTTAAGAATTTAAAGGCAAGATCTTACGCAATTTCATCATTAAATAGACAACCGCATATCAAGAGACCGTACAATGATTTCAAATCCTGCGATTGTAGTAGCAACTAGCATTCAGTTGAATTTTCTCGAATTTTAAAGAATTCGAAATAGAGCAAGAGGTCTTACTCTTCTGGTAATCTTATGCCATTGGATCCACATACGGGCATCTTTATCTAAGTAGATAACTTACTTTGATCAAATCTTGCTTCTCTATGTAATTCTATTTCAACAATTTAATTTATTGGACCAGTTGTCTTTCCACAAATACATTGTACTCCTTTTTCATTCCCAATTCCTCATTTTCTATATTTTCTTATTGGAAAACTTACCTATCACATCATCAAACACTATGTCAATCTCGTTGTCTACGTTGTCATCCCTCAATTCCTTCTAGGCCACAAACTAAGACTCACTAAGTACTCATACTTCTGGAGTGATAGTGCATTTCACATAGATTTGCACAAAATTCTCATTAGACAATAGAGGGACTTTGGAACTGGCTGGTTTATCCTCAACGGATTAAGTCATTTAATTGGCACCAAACAAACTCTTTTGAAATCGCTCTTCTCTTTATTGTTGCAATAACTTGAGATCTATTTGTTATTTCATTAATGAATATAAAATAAAAAAATAAAGACAAATATATAATCAAATGTCTTCATTCTCTGTGGTGTTAGACCACGCAGCTATAATTTCGCAATCATCCCATGACATCTCAAATACATGAACCTCCTGTATTAAGTTGGCACTGTTTTTCTTTTCCCTTTGTGGTAGCATTCAACCACTCTGGGTTATTAGACATCCATTCATGAGGCTGGTTTATATAATACATGAGCACTTCGTTCTTATATCGCAAGTATTCTTGAGGATTTTGAGTCTCCCCTCTTAAAATCATTCCAGTTGCTTTAGTGTTCAAATACCATAATAAGTAATATTTAAAAGCCAATTTTCTATTCTTTACAATTTGGCTGTCCTCATTCTATTGAATTAAATGATCTCTTAGTACTCTAAAGCCAGTAATTTGTTCCAATTATCTGTTATAATAAATACTGAATTATTTGCTGTTGTCAACCAGTTCCGATAGATATGAAATGCAATCCTGGTCATTATTCATAGATTTAATGGCATGTCTTAAAATGTTTCTGCAGATATTCTTCTTATAGTCCTTTAAATTTCTTTCTTTTTTTGTTTATTTCTTAATTTTCTTGTTGACTGCTTAACTGTTTTCCTTTTTATTCACTTCTTAATGGGGGACATAGGGTTGATTAACAATGTTGGTTGATATCTATTCAAAATCGATATCGAATGAAAGGGAATCATTTCTAAACAGATTGAGTTTCTGATATTTGGTTTTGTTATTTTCTTCTGCATTCAAGCTGCAGTTATCGAAAGATTCAAAATCGCTTAAGTATTGATGTGACATTTTGATTTGGATATTTTATTTTTTTTTAAATATTTCTTTTAATATTCAAATCATCCATTAATAATCCAAACACTTTATTCTTTAATAATTATTAACTTTCTTGATGAATTCCGATTCAAAAATGATCACTTAAATACCCATTTATTATAAAATAATTATAATTATATTTATTTTAATAACTGAACTCCAAAGCAGCCGCATCAATTCTGATTCCTCCCAATCAATGTTATTTTCTCTCCGATTTTACTCCAAATCCATCTTTTATCTAAAATTAATATTAACTAATTTACAAATAAGAAAATATTATTTATTAGATTGATAATTTAGAAATATTTTTACATGGGATCTTGTTCACTCAAATAGCCACAAATACAATAGAATATCATCGTTGAAAAACAATGCTCCTCTGAGGAATTAAATGAAGAAACCTCCAACATGTGTTAACCACCCTTAATATTAAACAATGAGAATATCAGATTAAATACTGCCTCTGAGGAATGTGATCTCTCCAACAAAATACATCATCTTCAAATCGCATCATTCGAACCCCTAACATTTTAATCTATCAAGCCAATTACAATGCACAGTAAAGATGGTCTAGAAATTTAGATCAATTTATCTATGTCAGGATATGGATTGATTTCATTTAATGATGGCAGCCATTATGAAGGCTATTTCCAAGAAGGATTAATCCATGGCTTCGGTAGATTCACAGACCTTGATAATAACATGTATATTGGTGAATGGGTTTAAAATAAAAAACATGGCTATGGCAAAGAAGTAGTTACAAGTATCTATATGCCCTATGATAGATCAATATACATATCAAGGTTAATTTTTTGACAATCTCAAACACGGAAAAGGTTATGTTCAATATGATGACGGAACTAGTTACGAAGGCTAATTTGATAATAATAATTTGAATGGCTTTGGCATTTATCAAGGGCTAAATGGTTTGAGATATGAAGGCAATTGGCTCAATAATCAAATGGACGGGCAAGGAAAACTAACACTCTCGAATAAATCAGTATACGAAGGCTCTTTTAAATAAAATAAAAAGCATGGCTATGGTGTCTATACTTGGACTGATGGAAAATAATATAAAGGCTACTGGAAGGAAGATGCTCAAGACGGAGATGGAGAAATAATAAAATCAGATGGTTTACCCATAAAAATTAAATTTCAAAACGGCAAAAGAATATCTAATCTAAAAATACTAAGTCCAATCAATTTTGATTGAAATTAAATCTTAGAAGTTTTGTACTGTCTATAATTTTTATATTATTTATTATTTCAATCATACTTCTCAAAAAAGTACAGCTTCAAATTTATTATATAATTTCTGTATTTCAGGCTACTGTTCAACTTTGTATTTTTTTTTACTTAATTGTTATAGTGTTTATTTTGCACATACTTTTAATCTCAAAGATTGCTACTTAAACATTCTTCCATTTTTAGAAGAATATGTGATTAGAATATAATATAAAATATAATGAAAAATTAGTATTATTAAATTTTGATCAAACTTTCAAGACACAATTTTGAATAGTATCATTGCTTAAATCAGTATTTTTAATTATTAGACTGTAATCACTTAGTTTTTGCATTGAATATTTGATACCATCCAATATCATCATAATTTAAATTATTATCAAGTAAATTATGATATTATAAATTTTCACTCTAAATATTCAAAATTTTCATTAATATGGCATCTTAAAGTGAAGAAAAAGATCTAATTGGATCCATTTTAAATGGTATTAATAATTAATAATCCTAGATGATGATGAGATTTCATTAATCTCAACTGTGTCTCAGAAGAGGAAATAATTATCACTCAAATCAAAAGAATATAATCCTGAATAAGACATCAATTAGGATTCTATCCTCACTTCAAATTCTAGCAGAATTTCAACGGGATCAGCATCATAATTGAAATAGCAAATATTTTTTCATACATAAACCTCTATAGAAATGTATTTATTTATATATATAATCCTTTTGCAGACATTCATAATTATCTAATGCTTTAATTTAAGCCTCAGAATAGAAATTCTTTAGTTCATAAGATAAATGTTAATGTATAAAATTTATAATATCTAGTAGCAATTGATCCTCGAGGAAAACTGTAATTGAAATAAAAAGCCAAAAAGGATCTCACAGTTTAACCTATGGAATCTTAACATAAACAATATTAGTTAAGTAGTGTTCAAATTCTTGATGGAAAATTGTTACTTAGCTAAAAGGATCTTGTAAGTATAATTATTAAAAATTGTTAGTAACAAATATGTGGTAATCAATTGGTTAATAGAAAATTATAAAATGTGTTGGATAATAATGATCGAAATCAAAAACAAATCATTTTTTGTTAAATTGAAAAAGATTGTCTTAAAACAGCTAAAGATATGTTTGGTAACTATACAGTTTAAAAAATATTTGATGTTGCAGATTATGAATAAAAGTATAAATTATATTCTCTTTTGATTTGTCACTTGTTGGAATTATCAAAAAATTAATTTGCTTGTAGAGTTGTTTCGAAGACGATCTAATTCATCAAGTAACCATTTATCTATTCTAAGAGATTCTCAAGAATTAATTGAGTCATTAATTAAAACACTTTATCCACATATAAATTAACTTTTAAATGATGTCAATGGCAATTTTGTATTACTTTCATGTTTTGAAATATTAGAAAAATCGAAATTACTTTTCATTATTCCCTAAATTGAATAATCTGTAATTTATGTTATTATTTTAGATTATCCCTCTCTCGAAGTCGACTTATGGTTGTAGATTAATTCAAAAAGTCTTAGAACTTTACCCTTTAGAAATAACCTAAAGAATTCTAGATCTATTAATTTCTTTCTCCTATTAATTATGCTTTTAGGAATTTGGAAACTATATCATCTAATCACTTCTTAGAAGTGGACCATAAAAGGAAAAATCTTAAATTTGCCAAACTATTAAGGAAAATTTCGAATAACTAAGTTGTAATAAGTTTGGTAGCAATACTGTTGAAAAATATCTTGATCTTCTTGGACCTTCTTAAATTATTAAGAACTTATGTAAAATATCAAATGACCAGTACTTTATTGATTAATGCTAGTTTTGTATTTTATAACTTATCCATCCATCCTTTTGGAAATTATGTTATGAAAAAGGTTCTAATAAGTGATGATCCATCAGTCGATTATCTAAAATCACTATTCAAACAGAATCCAGATCTTATATTCTAAATAAAAAACTCTGAATTCGGATAAAGAGTTGGTTAAATTTTGGATACTTTATGAGTGCCTATAACTTGAAGTAGGAACTTGCTTATGAGTTTATTCTATAAAAATAAATATTAAATACACAAGTCTAATTCTAAAGATATTTTATTATATATATATATTTTAATTTTAATCTAAAGTTTATTTGTCCTTTAAGATTACCCAAAGAATTCCATTTTCTTAGTAAATTCCAAATATGAAAAAGTTTGGATTATTAATCATTATATAGATAGTTTACTATAGATAGAACTTACTATAATCAATTACTTTTGCTATTTGAAAATTTAACTTTTCCTTTTATACATTTAAAATTAAACAAATAAATATATAAAATATTAAATACTTTTATAAATGTTTATAAACTCTTTATAAACTTATTTTGTCAAGTTAGGAATAGTTTTTAATGTTAGTAGAATAGTTGAAATTGAAATCAATTTGATACTAATATTAATACACATATAAGTCATTAAAAAACTTTAAAAATAATGTCTCATTATTTATTCCTTAATTTTTTAAGAAGAGTATTAACAAAAATAATAATTTTTCTAGTTTGTCTGAAATTCAATCTAGGATCACAGGCAGTAGTGTATTTTTTAGGATTGATATCTTCATCATTTTCTATACATTCAGTCACATCATAAGGTGTGCATTCTAAATGTAATCCTGCAGGAACTTCATTCTATTGTTCCAGTATGGTAAAAAATTGCTAGATTTCATACATGATGTCTTCTATTTTTCTGATTTTACGTCCACTTTTATCCTAATTATTTCCATGCATAGGATCCAAGAAGAATGAAATATTCAATTTTTCCTCTTATTTCCAATCAATGATATCCTTCAACTTATCTAACTTATTCTTTCCTAATCTAATAATAGCAAATGCCCTTCCATCTTCATTTTTTGGATTAATCAGCTTAAACACATTAATAAACTCTGTCTTATTTATTGTTTATCCAATCTATATAGATTTTAAGAATTACCTTAATTCCTACAGGATTATAAATGCCCTTAATAAAATTTGAATGAGCATGATCATGCAATCTTGTCCTGTCTCCTATCCATGGAAAATGAGTATTTGACAAATAATACTACTTATCTTCATTTTATTTCACAAAAGCTGATTCATACCCAAGATGTAAACATTCATGTGATACCCAAATTTATTAACCCTCATACTGCTTTAGACTCTCTATTCCCTTTTTGGTATAGTGTGCACCCAATAATAAACGTGAGGGATCAGGATCTCTCTCGTCTCTGCTCAATGAATTAATTAAATCACCCCTATAATTTAATGTGCCATCCTTTTCTAATAATTATGATCTTGGTTTTGCAAATTATCCACAAGTCCTTCCAATAACTATTGCATCCAAGATTTAACCCATTCGCTATGATTATTTTATTTTATACATCATAAAAGCTAAATTTCTCTTTCCAATGTTCCTCTGTACATTCATCAAACACTTCTGCACAATCTCCCAATTACAGTACAAATTTCTCACCTTTACTCACCTTAATCATTTAACTTTTAAAAGCATTAATATCCTCAAAATTTAGGATTTCTGGAAGTTTTTTTATTTTTTGAAGAGTATCTTAACTAATTTCTAAAATATCATTACTATAGTTGAACATCTGAATATATCGGCAATTATACAGCCGAATAATTTTTCCAACTATCTAAACTCCATTCTTTCTCTTAATTCATAAATAAATTTTAATTTTGGTTCACAATCAATCACTTTTACATAAATATTGTATATACCAATTTTCTTTTACAATTTTAGATTGTATAGCATTGAAGAAACTCTATGTTTTTTTAAATATTTAGAATATAGGACTAATAGAATTGTATTCTTCTCATATATATCAATTTATGAATTAAAAGAATAAATAGTTGTTTCAAGGATATTGCACTCATTTTAGAAATTACAAAAAAATATAGTTCAATATATAGAATTATTATTTCGCATTTATTATTAAAATTCTGAAGAATTACAATTTTTATGTATTCGTTAAATAAATTCATTTTAAACTTCTTTTTCTAAATCTTATTTCCCAATTATGCTTACTTTAGTATATAACTCTACTTGATTTATTACTGTCTACTAAAACCTATACTTCATAACTTAATAAATAAAAAAAGAATAACGATTGTTCAATTAATAGGTTATTTATTCTATATATTAAAAATTACAGTCTAAATATCTAAGTTATTTAATAAGTTTAAAACTGAGGATTTCTAATTTAAAAGAACACAAATAGTTTAACTTTTTAGGATACACAAAAATAAAAATACGTTACTTTATATGATTATGAAAAAGGTTGGTTTTCAAACTAAAAGTACAAGCGAGAAAGTAATCTTTTACTAATTAATTAAAATTTAGATTAATGAAATAATTTAACCAACATTAGACTGAAACCTAGACTAATATAGGAAGAGAAAATATTAAAAAAAACTCAGATGTTTGATTCTCTATTGCAATAACAAAAATAAATTTATCAGCAAAGGTAAATATAGAATCAGAGTTCTATCAACACTCATGAGAACTCAAAACTTAGTTCACAAACAAAAGAAACTCATTATATTTATGTCAAAAAATAGTAAGCAAAAAATGGTTACTAAAAAAGAATAAATAACAAGATAAACTCCCTCTCTCTGAGATGCCTGATTTTGATATTAAATCAAAAGTTTAGACTTAAATTCTTTGTAAATTATTAAAAATACAAAATTATTAAATCTAATTTTTAATTAATAATATTAAGAATTATCATAATATGCATTAAATATATTGTTTTTTATTATCTATAGAGACGATACTACGTATTAAGAAATAAAAATATTAGGTTATATTTTACTAAATATCTTAAGGTATTCTCTCTTGGATTGGCTTATTCCAAAAGATTGATTAGAGTCAATTAAGATCGAATGTTACTTTTAGATGCCATATTATTTTGATTGGATGATTTAACTAAATATTACTCATTATATATAATATAATTGATCCAATCCTCTTCCATATTCATCCCAATCTAATCCATAGCCAATAATAAACTTATCTTCTATTTCTGTACATAGATAATCAGGTTAGATATTTATTTTTTATTTTCCTAATATTTAATATTCATTTTACCAGTCTTAAGAAAACAGGCACATAATTTAACACTTGCAGGCTCTAACTTTTTCATCTCTTCTATGACTGCTGTTATAGTCAATCCTGTTTCAATTATGTCCTCAATTATTATGACATGACGACCTTTGATATCATTTTTCAATCCACTTAAAGCCTTTACAATTCCAGTTGACTATTTACCTAGACTATATAAATCATAATATACCTTCATAACTAGATAATTTAATAAAATCAATCTAAAATTTAAGTTATGGATCAACAGCTCTAATCAAATCTGCCATAAACATGAATGCCCCATTTAAAACTCCAATAAAAATTGGATGTTTTTCTTAATAGTCAGCAGAAATCTAATTTGCAATTTTTACAACCATATGATTGAGTTGTTCTTTGGAGAAATATAATTAGAGTTCCTTGCCTTTGATAACTAAATTCATAAATTATTTATTTAATTAATATGAAATTTGATAAAGCAATCGAATTCTAAAATATTTATTTTTAGAATAATTTTCTTCTAAAATTCGTTGTTCTAATATTCGATTAATCTTATCCAATAAATATCTATTCTTTTAGAATAGACTAAATCTTCTTATTTGATATAAAAGGGATCTTATTAAATGTCCTTTAAAAAAGAGGATTGATATTATGTAAAGAATTCGCTTTAATGTATTATAATTGTTCTAATTGATTTTTCAGTTGTTTTGTGTTAGCATAATAAGTTAATTAGACATTGATAAATTAATTCGTAAATAGATAGATATTATAAAATTATCATAAGGTATTATTAAAAAGAACTAAATGTAATCAAACTACAATTTTATAATGTTCTGCTGAATGATTGCTTCCTCTTGATTTATTTATGTACTAAGATAATGGATATTTGATAGGGGATTTAGATGTAGGCTAATTTTCACCTCTTGAATGTGATATTCTAGCAATGGCATACAATTTATCTGTGGAGACAGAATAGTTAAACTAAAGTTCTTTAATTTTGCTGAGCAATAAATGCCTATTAAATTCATCTGTCATTTACTAATTTGAGTTAAAGTCTTACTTGTTATTTAACATTTTATTACAAAGATGTTTTATTTGTTAAAGATTATTAACTAGCAAGATTAGAAACTGCTATTTTTGGACTGGCAACACTATCTAACTAAGCTATTTTGGATAACACATTGGTGCCTTATTAATGATTGATTTAAGTCTTTACTATTTTTCGATACTGATGAGGAGACAATCCTAGGAGAGGAAGCTGCTGTAATATTTCTAGCAATATATCTTTAACTTGAACTCTATCTTTCATTCTTTTCTACTTTCAAATCCTCATAATTTATCCTATTTATCAATGTATAAATCTTTCCATAATCTAATGGTTATGTTTATAACAAGCATAAAAATTATTCCCAACTTTCAGACAAATAGGCTTATTAATTCTATGGATATTGTGCCAGATTTATTCTAAAGAATTAATCAAATAAAGCAAAAAGTGAGTCCATTTTAAATAATTTAACGATTAAAAATTACAGAATATAAATATCTATGTTTATATTTTAAATAACCCAAAGAGTAATAAAAAATATATTATTATTTCCAAAAATATTGATCATTGATGTGGTTGGGATTTAGTCTGAAGTAATTTGCTACTTTGTAATAAGGAGTTTAGTTCTGATTAATCCTATATAGTTTATGGCTTTTGATTTTGTTAGTTTTTTTAAGATTATTCTTCGTCTTCCAATTCTTACAGTTTCTTTTTCAGCTAGGAAACAGTACTTATCATATAATCAAATGAAATTTTTGATTAATCCTAGGTAGAACGAGAGGATCTTGATTAAGTGGAATGGTTCAAAGACATATGCAATCCTTATCGATTTTGATAAATCTGAAATATAATTGGATTATACCTTTTAGGTGGTTGGAGCCTTTTTTGGTTTAGCTTCCTTTTTCATAAATTTATTAAAGAACTAGGGCATTGCTTCTAAAGTAGTCTGATGCGGTTAAGGTGGTGTATTTAATGCAGTTGATCTTTATTAGGTATTGGCAGTTTTTGCAACACTAGCCTTGCCACCAACTGTGATTGTTCTTTATTCCATTACAGGAGGCAAGGATGAATGAAAGTTTTATGTAAAATTACTTTTATTGATGTCAAGCAAGGTATTTTGCAACAGAATATTATTGGCTTATTGATCTTCCACTTTTTTTTTTAGATTTTGAGCAGCTGTCTTACTAATGTAATTAGATTGAATATTTATACACTTTTCTTTCAAATTGAGTAAGATTACAACATTCAGTATATTTGAGATAACAATCCAAACAAACTTAAGTTTTGAGTTGTCTCCAACTTGGATTAAACTTTAATTGTTTGTATTTGTCTTCAGATAACTTTCCCCATACTTTCAGGATTAAAGCAGGGACACTTTTAAAATTCAATTTGCAATCTTCTTATTCTTCATCTAGATATCGACATAATTCTTAAATTTCAGCATGGACTTAATCAGAAGTCTTCTAATTATTTACAAGTTTATATTTCTCAACCAATATTTCTTATTGACTTTGTGTACCTGATATTTATTAATTTGATTGTTATTCAAAATAATTGGACAATTAATAATCTATTTATACTTTAAATTGAAATACCTTTATGAATAAATTATTTTGATCTAGTCTTAATATGTTAGTTCAACTTGAGTAATTCGCTTTTTTTATCATTTTTCATTTTAATCTTCTACAAATCTTCCGGAAGCCTTGTGAATTCATTGCTTACTAATGCCTAATAATATAAATTTATCATTGTTACTCTTTCAAAACTTTCAATTATTTATTCAAATTATAATTAGTAGAGTTCTTATGAAAATAAATCACAATTTGAACAAACGCTCTCTAATTAATACAATAATTCTTCAATTTGTCCTTCACTATTGTATTTAACGACTTTTTAAACATTCTCTGTTCCAGTGATGACAGGTTCAAGATCTCTCCTTATTATTTTAAAAAGAGGAGAGTCTGTTCTATGTTTATCTGGATGTGTAGAAAACTTATCTTTAACTTTGATGCCAGTGCAAAACATCAACCAAATTCTATTCTCTTGATCTACTTTGAAGTATAACACCATTCTAATAATTTATATGTTTCCCCCTGAGACTTCTTGAACATGCTTAACAATATTCACGCATAATTATTCTAAGTCTGAGCTTAATAATGGTGAACTTATGGAATCTGAAACAGATAAATATTCAGGACCATCAAAAGTACTAACTCTTTCATACAATGGTTTTTTTAAATCATTCATATTGTTGATGTTTGTTTTTCTATTAATTAGACAGAATTGAGGAGACCATGTTACTTTAATCATTGAATTGTGATCACTCTTTGGATATATAAATCTAAAAATATCAGCTGAAATTTCTACTTCTGAAGAATTGAATTTAGTTCCTTTTCTCTCTAATATAAGAATTTACCAAAGTTCTCTTTGTCAAAATATTCGAAGTTGATTATTTCTTATTATTTTGATTGGGCCTAAATAGTTGTTAATCAATATTACTTGACTAGTTAATAGAACAGCAACTGTATTATCTTATAAAAATGCTTACTCAACCTATTCAATAAACACTCTTTCCTTTGTTTTCCTTATGATTTGGCCATTCTAAGCAGTAAAATACCCTAAAGTATAGATTGTTGATTACTAAAGTAAGGTTGTGCCCATCTGTATATGACAGTGTCTGCTAGAAAGACTCCATTGCAACTGTGACCAGAATTTGGGTTCTTTTTCCAAAGATGGAAGAAGAGCCACTCAGTACAAGTTCCAAGTTTCATGACTTTATTTAATATTAATTATTAGTCAATATAAATTATATTGTTAACAAATTATTTTTATTGTTCAAAGTGTGTTGAGTTGAATGATAGATTTGATAATTTATAAAATATATCATAAAAATAAGTTTTGCTTTAGTTCTTCTTACAACTAATTTTGGAATGTTTCATTCTATTTGATAAATACATCTATCATCTTACTTAGACTGCGCATTTAAATTAACTAAACTTTGAACTACTGATGGCTAACCTTTATATTCGATTGAATGCTGCTGGTGTTTAATAGTAATCATCACTAAATATATCAAATTCACTTCTACTTATATACTTTTGAAGGAGTCTGATCTAACTATTGCATCGAAAACATTTGTCTTGATTCTATTTGGACTGGTTGCACATTACTCAAATTTTTGTTCTCCTTCTCTTTCTCAATCTCCTTCATTTAATTTTTCTTATATATCAAATATTTTCTGTGCATTCTATTTCTTCTAGGATGTTTGCTGATGTACTTGCTTCTGATTTCAAACTTCATATATTCTTATTATACATTATTATTCAAATTGCTTCGAGTTCTAAGGGATGTGTTTTGACTTGGTTTTATTGCTGGCTCATCAATCTCATCTTCCTCATCTTCTGTGTCTGTGATCAAGCTTACATACTTTTTATTTAAAAATATTATTTCAATTGCTTTCCTTTCATAAGGGTTCACAAATTAATCTAAAAAAGTATGCCTACCTTCTTTAATTCAAATTTAAAACCCTTTTTATTAAAATTGTTATCTTATTTTCTATAACTTTTCTCTAAATTCACTCATTCTCTTCTTCATTCCAGAGTTCCAATGATTCTTTATTGCATTATCAGTTCTTCCTTCTAAATGCTTAGCAATTTCTGCCCATTCATTACTAATAGCTTCATGATACAAAAATAAAATCCATTCTTCCTCATATTCCCAAGGTGACTTTTTTATCAAAGGATTCAAATGATTATGCCAACTATATTACTCAACATTGCATACCGTTCCCTACATTGTTTTCCAATTCTACCTTATAACTTAGATGCTATAAATGTCCATTTATGTGGCCCATATTATTCAACTAATTGCATAACCTAAGCATCCTCATAATCACTCCATGGTTCTACATCTATAAAATCATATACTTTTTTTTATTTTTTCAACCTTTTTTCTCATTCAAAATTATAATTATTTGCAATATATTTATAAAATTAACGATTATAAAATTCATTGTTGTCAATAAAATCTAATATATTCTAAAAAATCATGCTCTATGACTCTAATCACTATAACTCTTTTCTGTTCTTATTTATCTATTATCAGTTATTTAATTACAAAATATGGTTTAATTATTTGTTAAAAATACGATAAATAATTCATAAATTCGTTTTTTAATAACTTGGGATCATGCTTCGACAATTAGTTTATTTGAATCCATAAGATTCCCATTTTCAAAATATAAACTTAGCTAATATATCTTTACGATATAATTACAAAAATTTATTATTATTCCAGAACAAACCATTTTACAATAATTATTCGTATATACTAAGCTATTTGAGTTAGAAAAGTGATTCATTAATTGAACTATAATTCTATATTATTAGACCATTAAATATGAACTCTTCTATGAAGATATAATGGCTATTTTTAATTCTTTCTATGACTTATTCTCAGAACTATCCATATGAGTTAATATAGATTTTAATTTATTCTTTTAATAAAATATCAATTCTCATTATGACTTTCAATCATTTTCATCTTAAGAATCGGTTTCTCCTTTTTCTTAAGAAAAAGTAAATAGTATAGGTTAAAGAACTATTTTGAAACCGCTCCTTTTCTTGAAGAATTCCATTTTATCAATCTCTTATAATTGCTATTCGAAGGAAGGCTTAGGGTCATTTAACTACACTTGTCTGCCGGTTTGTATATGGCATCCCATTAATAAATTTAATTATTTTAAGTTTCAATCTTTTGGAATTTGGAAGTCATTATACAACCAAATTAATCAATGGATACATATGAAACAATTGAATTATTCATATTTCTTTATATATAGTTATTTTTGGCTCTAATAATTTTAATGTTAATTTTATTATTTAATTGTCGTTATGAGTTGCGATGACAATTAGCTTGATGCATCCAGCATATCTATAATTAAAAAATTCCTAAATTCAGAACTTCTTGATGAATCTGATTTTGAATTAGAACAAACTAATTAAAAGAACAAAAAACCTTAATAGTTCAACCTAAATTAAATGCTTGAATAAAGGAAAGGGAAAAATTGTTAAATGAAATAATATGAATCCTAAGAAAATCGAGACCTAAATTATCTGGTTAATGAATTAAGATTAGAGTAACAGAACTTTTAGGCTGAATTAGAACATTTACAACGCTAATTTATATAAGAAATAAACTTAGTAATGCAAAAGGTTTTTGATTAGAATAAATTGTACTATAAACAATAAGAATATCAATTGAATTTAATCCAACAGAAGAGACAAAAATTACAAGTTTAGTCTCCTTAACAATCATATTCATTTTTGTATCAAATGAACCCAAATTTATAGTAATACTAGAAATTTAATAAAGAAATTAAAAATAGTTTAGTAAAATTATTACACAATATCAAAACAACAAAAATCTATTCAGAAACATTCAATCTGCAGGATTAATAGTATGATTCCCAAACCTCAAGATCTCCTCTCGCTTAATTAAACAAACTATTTTCTAGACAAGGGTCCCTTGAAAAAAAATAACCATTTACTAACAGAATCACCAATACGAATATGAAACTCAATTTAGTGATGCCAATGAAAAGAGACACACAATCCTTTTGGAATCAACCAAGTGAAAGAAAATGTAGTATGACTTCCAAATTAAGTTCGAGTCCATATGAGAAAAGGGATAAATGCTTAGTCCAACAAGCTTTATACAAATAGTCTTCAGATTTCTTAAAATTTAGATGCTGATATTGAATCATAACTTTACTATTATATTTATTATATGATTAGTCAAGATTAATTTTGACTCTAGATATCATATTAAAAATTTACAATTAAAATGTAATTCAGTTTAAACCAAACCTTAACAGAAAAGAAAAGCCTTGTAAATTATTTTACCTATTTTATTTAAAATACTGGATAAGGGTTTTTTTTGCAAAGTCAATTTCTCTGTGTTGTAAATTTAAAAATGTATATATGGTATATTATAGACAATGATAATTACATTCACGAAATCATTATTATTTTTAATTAAATTTGCATGTAATCAAATAATCCGTAAATCAATTCACGCCAAACCTAAATCAAATTACCAACCTAATTAGAAGAATAAAATTTAGGCAATCCTTCTGAAGTTCCTTATGCCATTACAAAGAATCCCATAGTTTAGAGAAGAGAATCAAAAAGGAAAACCAGTGCTTGATTAAATTATGCATGTTACATCTTGGCAATCTTTATAAATCTATTTTACTCAATAATTCTTAATTTCTACTGATTCTTTGAGGGCAGATCTTTATAACGATCATAATTGTAACAATTAGAAACCAATAAACGGCATTTTATATTTCCATAAAGTCCTCTTGCTATTTTCTCACAATAACTATCAGACCAAGAATATTATAGAAAAATGAGAGTGAGTTTACAATAAAAATGCATGAACAAACTCAAAAACAAAAAAGCATCCAAAGCATCTAAAATTGTAATTTATATTTTTGACTAAATAATCATAAATTATATTCAGTTTTGGGAAACTTAAAAGTTTTTTGTACAGAAAATCTAAATTTGACTAGGAATACAATAACTAACAAATTTTTATAGTATTAATTCATATAAAAATTGGAAATTATGTAAAAATAATTGAATATTACTTGGATCGAATTGACAAAATACTATTTATAAATATTTAATTCAAATAATTCATCTTTTCTAATTTGTTTATAAAATAATAATAACATAATATTAAGGTAATATATTATAAATATACTATAAATTTATCCTCTATTTCTAGTACAGAATTGTGAAAATTTAGCAAAGATGACTTGCTTTTATGTAGCATACATCAGTTTAATCACCTGATTTTATTTATTTATAATATTAATTTTATTAGAAAGTTTTATTAGATTAATCTAATATTATTTCCTTAGTAATATGGACAAGCCGCCAATCAATTCTCGATAATTTTCAAGACAAAAAAGCTAGCCTCTCATAAAACCAATTACACCTTAAGTTTATAGAAATATTTATATAATTTAGAACAACTTTCGAATCAACAATCATAATCAATTTTAAAACAAACATAAGTTACAAAGAACCTCCAATAATTTTTTTAATAATAGTCAGGAGTGCTTAAAGAATGAAAATTAGAATGTAAGTCAAAAGAAATTGGGATAGGATTACAAATAGTTTTATTTTGAGAAGGAAGACCAAGAGGAAGAAGTTTCATTCAAATAATTATGCTTAGAAATGAGTAAATTTTTATGAGCTTCAAAATATGTTATTGAACCTGTATTTGGAGAATCTAATTGTTATAAATATTATATCATAATTTTTATTGTAGTTATGAATAAATCACCAAGTAGCAGTCCCAAGCATTCATAATCTAACAATCCAAGGTTTAATAAATATAGAAACCTTATAAAGAATTCTAACTTCCAATTGACTCATATTTAAAAAGAAGTAGATGACTTGTTAATTGCTTCTCCCATAACATCTTTCTCTGCTCCAAGAGGTAAGAAATTCAAGGCTTCTTTTCGTAAATTTCTGGCTGGAAATATAGATACAAAATAATTGATTGATCATAGCAATTTTCCAACAACAATAGAAAACATGAATGACAAATTTGAGTATGTCAAATCACATAAGGAATCTGTTTGTTCTTTCAAAGATTCAGTAGTCAATAAAGAACATTTACAAATTAACTTATTGGAAGATAAATTAGCCAAATTGAAGAATACCAACAATAAAACCTAGGCTGAAAATAAGAGAGAAAGACTTTACGAATTATCATTGCAAGTAAAGAAGGACAAAAAAAAGATGTCAAAATAGGAGAACGCTCTATTAAAATGGAAGAAAATTAAAGATGTTAGTAAATATATATAAGATAGGTAATACAAAATAATATACAACTCAGAAGAATGATTATAGATGAAAAAAGAAAGTAAACCAAATTTTTAGATAACTTAGAAATTGCTTTTCATAAATCCTCCGATTTCTACATACAGAATTTAAGATTTCATTAATTACGTACGATGACAGTACTCAAAGAAAAAAAACTTTCCCATTCCAATCACTAAAATCTAAGTCCAAGACATTATCATTTTTTGTTAAGTTTATAATTTAAAGACAACTCCGATGATTTTTTATTTAATCGTTTCACAACAATTTCTGAGCATGTTTAAAACCTTATGAAAAGCAATGATTAAATTTATGATCGAGTACTAAATCTCTATCTAAATAAAAAGGAAATCTATCTGCAATGGGTTAAAGAATAAAAAGAAAGGAAAAGAATCAACAGGAAATAAAGTAAATAATAATGTTCCAACGATATACAAACAAGCCCATCAAATTTATTAGGCTTAAATAAACAAAAACCTATGCAGAGAGTAGAAAATCCATTTTAACACACATAAAGAGTTAAGGATTATCAAAACAAATTGATAGAATAAGTCAATGATATTGAATAAATAGATTAAGACTCAAAAAGTCAATTAAAATAATTATTACAAAAGAGTAACAAAAAGAAGAATACTGAGGGTGTTATTAAACATAATAGATTTCTATCCTATCCTACTAATTCCAATAGCGATTAAATTGATGATTTCTAAGATAACATATCTAATGCTTCTATCACAGAAGCTTTATTGGACCAACTATATTCGGGAGCAAATACTTTACAATAGAAAATCAACAACAACAAAGGTTTGACATTTTAAAGGAAGGTTCGAGATTATTTGAGATTGGAAGAAATTAAATTATAAACTATTCGCGCTAATAATTTAAAACTAATTCCTAAATAACATGACTAAATTAAATGATTATTATATTTAAGTATGACTGATGACTTATTGATACTAAATCTCCTCTGAATTTCAGAAAAGTAGTTGATTTTGTAACATAGAATTCTGAATACGAGCCTTAAAGAATTCTAGTTGGAGTTACAGGTGGTTCAGCAGCTGATAAGACCACTTTATGTGAAACTATAAAAAGTGAGATACAATTTGATTCTGATGTCGATATGACAATCTTATCCTATGAATCTTTATATAAGGAAGTTGACAAAACAAAAATCGATATTTTTGATCATCCAAACTCCATTGATTACATTTCAAGTAATTTCTACATTATTATCTGGCAAACTATCTAAATACCTAATTACTCATTTGTAACCGATGAAAGAGAGAATGAAGATGGAATCATTTTGCGTGCTCAAGTTATTGTATTTGAAGGCATGTTAGCGTTGTATGATGAAAGAATTAGAAATGTATGACATATAAAATATTCATACATTTTAATGGAACTTTTAAACTCTAAATCATATAGATGATATCAGATTGTTTAGAAGAATTATCAGAGATGTTTATGAGAGAGGAAGAATATAGAAAGCATCCTATTTTAATATAGTTAATTTGTTAAACGTTCTTTTGAGAATTTCATTTAACCATTTATGAGCTATGCCAATCTTATTATTCCAGGTCATAGATCAAATCAAGTATCCGTGGCTTTTATTGTGAACCATCTCAAAAACATGGCCAAAATAGAATGGATTAATATTTTTCACATATCAAAGCAAGACTAATATTAATTGGACATTTAAGAGATTGAAAATCTTAATCAATGCATTCTTAGTAGGTAAACTGGATAAATTAAAAATTTTATTATTGATTCAACAGGAATAAGAACCTGATACCATGTTTAGCAAGATAGAATTTATAATAAATTGAAAGAGTTTGCCAATAAAAACAAAAAAATAACCGAATAAATTAAGATGATGACTATTGTTAATCTATTTATTAATTGGATTTTGTTAATAAATTATAGAATATACATTTACTAATTCTCTTAATCAATCATTCAAAAGTTTAGTATTTCGATTTTCATTTTTTTTATTTCTGGAGAACTTTTAAACATGTATTCATTCTCATTCATATAGTCTCATGACCAAAAATAATAATGGCTTTATTTATAATTTTAGTTTAATGATTAGTTCAAATTTTGAAATCTTTTTAGGTTGGATTCTTGTTAAATAATATTTTGAATATAACATTAAAAATAGATAGCTTAAGAGAGAAATCTTAAAATTTTTGATCAGAAAAACTAATACTATGCACACAATGAAGAAGAATTCAATAATAAAATCTAAAGAACTGTATTCATAGTATGGTTTTCTGCTTGGAGATGCATTACAAAATTTACAATATAGAAAGATTTCATTTAAGAAGAAGAGTCAAAATTATAAATGAAATAAATAGATTTTCTTTATTTCATTTAAATACTAATTTATTCAATTAAATCAAGAGCGTAAAATTCTAGATTAGACTCCTTTTCATAATTAATGAATTTATTCTTAAGTTCTTCATATTTCTATTTAATGCATAGTTTTTATAAATTATATTTTAAATAGATGACTAAAATATTATTTGAATAAACTTTCTAAGTAATCAAGATTTATTTAATTTTTTCACTTTATTTCATCATTTCTCTGATACAATTTTTTCTTGCTTTGAATAACATTTTACGAATAATTTATATATTTAATAATAATATGTGTCTTATTTAATATTTTAATGAATTCATGTATTAAATCAATAGGCAATTCAAAAATACTTCAGATAATGCTAATTGCTGATAGCTTACTTATTCATATACAATCCTATTTAATTTCAAACTATAATTATTTGATAATAGCACTATCACTAACATGCTTTCATGGAATTGTTTTAACATCTGAACATTTTTTAAAGGGCAAAAATAAATTATTTAATGTACTTTTTAACGCATTTAAAGGAGTAGCTCAAATCATCGTTCACTATTTATTGGAGTAAAACTGGTTAATTTTTGCTGGAATATAATTAGTTTGCCTTATTAAACAGGATGCTCTACATGTAAATTATGTTTCTTCTATTTTTTTCATTACTTAAATATTTTGCGTAGCCTTTAGCAAAAAAGATTTCATTATTATAGGGGTTATTAGAACTGTATTTAATTATTTGTTTATAAATCAAATTTTTAGGATTGAAAAGCAAAATAAATTAATTTAATTAGAAAACCTTCTTAAACATATATAGCATGATGAATTTTGTTTGCTGGATAGCAATTTCAATCCTATATTTTAATAATAATTTTTTAATGAATTAAAAGGAGAACATGTAGTTGGAGGATAGGAATTCAATAATTAGACAAGAATAATAACTCCTAGAGATAACACTACTAATTTAATCAGGGATATTGCATCAAATTTTGAAGATGAAATGAAACAAACCTTGTCTATTTAAGAGATTCTGTATCATCTTAAAAAGAGCAAAGTTCATTTGAAAAAAAAGTTATATTATTAATTGAACAACCAAAACTATAATATCTCCATAGAGAATATTCTTTTGGATGATTATAACTCCATTGTTATGATTTAAAAAAATAAACAATTTGATAATTCACAATCTAGCAATAAAGTCAATTTTATGATTAAAACTGTTCGAAAGGTTTCTCATGATATGAGAAATCCTTTGAATGCAATAATTAATATGTAAATGTGTTTAAAAGATTATATTGATTAAGAATTAGTTTTAAAATATCTTAAACCTTCTCTAAATTCTTGCCATTTGTTACTTAATCTTATTAATGACATCTTAGATTAAGCTTAAGTTGAGAATAAAAAGTTAAAATTAGTTTACAAAAAATTCAATCTGGAAAAGTTAATTTGCAAAACTATTTCAATATTTGATTCACTAAAGGATAAGAAAGATATTAATATTACATTTAACTATGACTCAAAATTACCAATATTGGTAAATTCTGATAAGTTTCGAATCAGATAAATCATTATGAATTTACTTAGCAATGCTATTAAATACACAAGACCAAGTGGGGAAGTCTATATTGATTGCACAGAAAGTTCTCAGAAAAAGAATTTCATCAGAATTAGTATCTAAGACACAGGTTATGGAATCAAACCAGAAAATTTGTAATACTTATTTAAAGAGTATTCTAAAATTGAAGATGGTGAAAATTAAAATTTAAATCCTTTCGGCGTAGGCTTAGGATTGATGATCAGTAATGAATTAGCAAAACTATTATCTAATAATGGCATTTAAGTTTAATCGGAATTTGGAAGAGGGTCCAAGTTTTATTTTGAAATAGAAAACAAATAACTTCCGCCTGAAGATATTTCAGAATCGTAATTGTTAATAAATCATCAAAATGGTTTGCCTTCTTTGGATGTACATTTTTTTACTGGGCTTAATTCATAAAAATCTCCAACAATTTCATTAGCTTTGCCTCAGGTTGAAAGTAGCAAGAAAATCATTTTAAAAAAGTCCTAGAAAACTATTACTCTGATGAATAATTCTGTCAATAACTTAACAAAGAATAAAGGAAAAAGTGATGAAAAAAGCATTGCAAGAAAATCTTCATTGTCTGCAAAACAAGTGGAGGCTTTAATTTAGAAATGGTATAGAAGTACCAATTATAAACCTCCAGTTTTAATTGTAGATGATGATGAAATCAACATTCTCGTTTTACAGTACTTATTAGAATAAATGGATATAAGTTCGGATTCAGCTATGAATGGAATGACTTGTCTGTAGAAATTCGTAGAGAGATAGAATGAAGGTATCTCCTATCAATTGGTATTTTTGGATATCAATATGCCTGTCATGGATGGGTATGAGTTGGCCAAAAAATTGATTTAAATTGATCCTCTTATTATACTAATTGCTTGTTCGGGTGATGCATCCGATTAAAATTAATTAGAACATTGTAAATAATCTGGAATACTTGGTTGTATTCTTAAACCAATCCTCAAAAATAATTTAAAAGAATTACTAGTCAAACTATCTGAAGGAATCAAACATGATAGTTAATAATTTTCATATTATTGCTGATTACAATATTTTATATATATAATGTTGGCCAAACAAATATTCTTAGCAAGGGCATAAAATAAACCCCAATAAACAGGGAAAATTGAATTCCCTACACTTTTAGATTTGGCAATAGAGTAAGTGGCCCTAAATTTTGATCTCTATTCATAGTTGCCTGGTATTCCAGAAAAAATAAGATATCAAGTATTCCATCTTAATAATCAATAGATTATATCAAAAGCACCAAAAACTTTGCCTGTAACAATCACTTACAATAGCATAGAAGACGAAAATTATTGGAAATAAGCATGTGAAACAAAGTGGAAAGGCACTCACAGAACAATTAATATCTGCAAACATAGTTACAGTTATAAAATTGCATATATGGAAAATTTCCTCGAAGAATACCTAAAATCGATAAAAGTAAGACTTGAATTCAAAAATAGAGTTTAGATTCTTAAGAAGAAAAAGATGAATTATAAGCAATATTAAAAGCAGTTAATAATTGGGTTTATTCCCTTAATATTTCATAAACTTAATGCAATATTGATATCGGGTTTTTATGCCAATACTTGCCATGCCTATAGAATTTGACAGTTATATATGGAGTTAAAGTATTATTATATAATAATCAATTTAGACCACTGGAATAGATCAAACTAGAAAAGAGATCTTAGGCATGAAATTAAGTTAAGCAGCTGAATTAGGAGAAGCAATCTCTAAGCATTGTCGAAACCTTGTATACATTTTCAATTCTATTAGTAATCTTTATCTTTACCCTCTAATTTAATTGATGATGACCTTCTGAGATTGTTGATGACAGGAATAAATCTAGATATCTCTATCATAGAGTTGAATTTATCTCATAATAAAATAGGAGACTAAGGGTATATTGATTTTATATCTTCAAGAGTAATAAGAATTGCAAAGTATTTGATGAGATCAGAAATCCTGCTCAAATTGGATTTATCCAACAATGCTATTGGATTAGTTGGATCTAAAAATTTAGCATATGCTCTTTTATTCAATAAGTCCCTTGAACATTTGAATCTATCGTTAAATTCTTTTAATGATATTGCTGGAGCCAACTTCTTTAGCAAACTTAGTTAAAATAAAAGCATCCAGCATTTGAATTTATCTGCAAATTAAATGGGAAGCTTAACTGCTGAGATGATTGAAGTCTATTTATCAGATTCTTCATGCACGCTTTAATCTTTGAATATAAGCAATAATAATTTTAGTGAAAATAATGATAATAAAGACAAAAATATCTTTGAAAAACTCAAGACTGGTTTAACAAAAAACACAAGTTTGATTCATTTTGATATTTCTCATTCTAAATTTAAAAGAAGTATATGATTTGTTTTAATTAAGTTAATGCGGAAAAGGAATTGTAAGATATAATTGTTCAAAGCAGATTAAAATAGAAAAAAATCCCATTTATTTCAAAGGAAGAGTTCGAATAACAATAAGCTTAGAATAGATTAAGTAATGAAATTTTATATCATAGAAAAGGAAAAACTAGAAAAAGCAAAAACAAAATAAGTAGAAGAAGTAATCTCACCATAATGAAATAAATGCATAAATATACAACAGATATCTAATTTTACATTTTAATATTATCTATATGTCATTTTTTTACAATTCCTTCAATAGAAAGCATTTTTCATTTCTGATCCTCTCTACGACTTTTATCAAGTAGTTTAAGCTTTCTATATAGAATTTGTGTAATGCATATTTCTCAAGCCAATTCTCCTTTTCAATATTTTTGCAAATCTTTTAATATTAGGACCTTGTTGTTGATGAATAATGTTGCTTGTAGGAGTTTCGATTCCAGGAATTTAATGTTTCTTTTTTATGACGATGGAAACTTTCCATAAAAGGAAGTCTATAAGACATAATCAAAAAGCTTTTATTAATGCTTCTAGACATCATTTTATTGATAGGTATTAATTTATACTTATTTTTCTACTCAATATAAAACTATAAGCTATCTTATATAATCTCTTTTTAAATATTTTAAATAAAAACTCTTATCATTAATTCATATTCTTCTACTAATTATTTAATATTCAAAAATTTTAATCTGTAATAATAATTAAAGATTTTGTAAAATGCTTATTCTATTTGATTAGTTTACTTAGTTTTTTATAATAAAGAAATAGAAATCTTTACTTTTCTTTAAAAAGTATTGTAAATTGCATTTGAATTTTAGTTTTTACATATATTTTTATGTTCCTAAGTTGAAATTTTATTAATAAGCCCCTATTTAGCACAATCTCTATTGATTTAATAAATATTCATAAAAAATCCCTCTACCATTAGCAAATCTGAGAAGAGAATAAATTGATTTTTTAGAATACTCTCATAATTAGGTTTTTTTTAAAATGCTAATCTCCTTCTTTCGAAAATCTTTAATTTATTTCAGTGATTTATTTATTATTTTGAAATAATTGCTCCATTTCTCATTTGTCTGCTATTCCTCTTAGCTTATATCATAAAAAGGCAAAAACAGTGTAAATTCTATTTATAATTGTATCTTTCTGGTCATATTCTTAATTTCTTTTGAAATATTACCGACTTAATCAGATAGATTAAATCAAGTTATTCGATAATTTCCTTGTTGATCGAATTCATTATTTTTTTTTTTAATTAATTTCTTCAATGAGTTAATAAGAAATTGAATGTAGTACAGATTGTAAAGCTATTGGGCTAAATCCTGAAAAAAATGAGAAAACTCAAAATAGAATAACTATTGATTAGATACCAAATGTATTAAATATTTATTTGATCTTGCTTAGAAAGGATTATCAAATTGCTATTGCTAACTTTCAAAAGATCAAAAATCAAAAAAATGCCAAAGTATGGGAAAATGTAAATATAATTTGGCAAATGAGGAAAATCAATTGTTAGACATTACACTATACAAATTTTTTAACGAAATAAGCAATAGCCACTCTAGTATTGAAGCTATTGCATATAAAAAAATAATTCATTGCATACGAGATTTTAATTCAATGAAAGAATAAAATGCTGAGTTGAAATTGAAGCTTAAATTAATCAATAAAAGCTTAGAATCAGATGAATAATTCCAAGATTAAGAACCAATAGAAGAAAGTTATCCCAAACTTGCAGCAGAATTAAAGGACTCTCCTTAAGATTTTAAGAATAATTATTTTATAAGATTTGCCATTTCGCTATAAGAATAGATAGATTAGGTATAATTGTAAAAATATGCTAGATTCTGGATGGGGAGGAGACTTTTTTTTTTTTTTTTTTTAAATAAGGACTGGATTGTTCAATATAAAAATCTATTTAGTTTTTATAAAGAGCAAACTAAAGAGAAATTGAGTATTGGGAAGAAACTTCTGGATGTACAAGTGTTTCTAAATTAAAAAGCGATTCTTATAAAATAAGTTTAATCTCTATCCAAAAAAAAATATTGGATTTTGAACCTCTAAAGAAAGAAAATCTATAACTTATAAACTTTTATTTAGATGAATGCTAAGATCAAGCATACAAACAAATAAATACAAGCAATATAAATTATAACATTCCAATTGAACATTCTTTGGAATCGTTGAAAGTAGCTTTGAAGTTTTTTGTAAAAGAAAAACTTAAAGATTTCAAACCGCATATCATCATTTTTTTTTTTGAAATTTCTAACACCCTAGTCAAAGATCCTTAAGTATTTTATAAATTGGTTAAATCATTTCACAAAATAACCTCAGGAAGATTAATAATTGTTCCTTAAATTGATCCATAATTTTAATTTAACAAAAGTGAGATAATTTAGTTATACATTAATTGCACTAATAATTGTTTTTTAGGATGTTTAAGAAATTAAAATATGCAAAAATTAGATTAAAATAGCATCATAAAATATTATGAGCAATTATACACTTTTTTTGTTGAAGGAAATAGCTAATAAAAAAAATAATATTATCGAAATTAATTAATATCACTCTAATTTCAGAGATAAAAAATAATTGACAAACAATCTAGATAAAACCTATAAAAGGAGTTCCCTCTTATTGACAAAGAAGGAAATTTAGTTCTTTTGGATTTGGGTTAAGAATTTGATTTTACTAACACTTAGTATTTTGTAGAATATGATAATAACAAAAGTGCAGAACATGATGATAACAACAGTGCAGAATATGATGGATATATAATATTTGTGCAAAGCAAAAGAATTTAATTAGTTTTTTTCTCAGAACAAAGTCAATCTAAAAACTCAAAATTATCAATTCTCAAAATTTATCAATTTACTTTACCCCAAAATTTAAACGGTGTCTATTTCTATGATTCAGAATAAAAAGTATTAATTTATTTCTTTGGTTACACTGAAACAGCTGAATTTAGTAGTGAAATTTAATTTCTTGAGATTTCAAATTAAATGGCTGAATGGCAAATAGTGAAATATTAATCATAAAAAAAAAGAGTAGATGATGGCTCCTATTATAACCCTTAATAAATTATCAACCTTATTAAATGCAGATCATAATTCTCTGTTACTAAAAATAGAATTGACGGCTACAGTTGCAAGGATAAAAATTCTTATGTTTGCATAGGGGGCACTTATTATAGTGATAAGTACAATTATGGCTGCATTATCTAGGAAGTAGTTATTGAATTTAACTAAAAAGTTTATTCTACTAATATCGTAGACAAATCAAAAATAGATAAATTTTATAAAGAATGTCCCAACCCATTATTAATTAGACTGAACGATGCTTTTGTTTTATATTTTGAAAAAAATGGAAGCTTCAACGTCAATAACAGTAATCCTTCTATAGTAAAATTATGTTTTTGGAAATCCAGGTAGCATTTAATTCAAAATTAAAAAATTAATTTTAAAGATTCTAAATCTTTACATTGGTTTTTGCAACTCCATCAGTCTTTATCCTCTAATCATAAAAACATCAGAATGTGTCAAGGAGAGCTATAAGTCGAAAATTTGTCACAATTTAGAATACTCATAGAGGAATAGTCAAATTTAAAACAATTGTTACCTATGGAAAACAAAATTATACTCAGGAAATTCTTTATTTTAACAGTAACATTTTTTTCATAGAGAAATGAAATTCATATAGAGTGCAAATAATTTTAAGTGAATTCTCATTTCTTTTTGAAATCAATACAAGATTTGTAAAGGGAGGAAAAATAAGAGTTATATTAAAATGTAAAAATTTTGAAAAATTTAGTCTATAGAAAATTTAAAAAATACCTTCATCTTCCATTACAAAGAATATGATCATTAATATCTCTTGTGCTATATTGATGAGACCAAAAATGTAGTGTTTAAAAGATTTGTATTTTATGATCTTAAGACATAAGATAATGATGATTTTAGAGATTACTAAGAACTTATCTATTAAGATTGGGCATTCTCTAAAATATATTTAATTAGAAAATAAATAACATTGAATGACTGTCAATTAAGAATTTATGAATGGTAATAAATTATTTAATTATTAGTCACCACATACATTTTTCAGATATTAAAGACACCTCAGATGATATATTACATCAAGTTCCTATTCATTAAATTTATCTGATTTCCGATTTTAAGAGTACCTATTAATTAATTGGGTTTCATGTTGAAATAAAAAACGACGAGAGTTTTGAAGGAATAGTATTAACAAATAAAAATTATTATCAAATAGTAAATCAAAAAAAAACCATTACTCATACACAAACAAAACTTAACAAACCTTTAAATGTTAATACATAATAGAAATTTCTTTTTCTAAGATTCAAATCCTCATATTACCTTTTTTATAAGAGATTATAATTCCAACAAGCAAGCGTAAAAAATGTCTCCCAAAATATAATTGAAATCAAATATTTGTTTTTGGATTCAACTTTTTCAGTTTTATCTGGAAATACATTATTATGTTCATTAAATGATCCTTTACCAATTTTTGGGCCTTTAGATGGCTTAATAAATACAATCAAATCATAAGAGAATCTGATGGAAATTTAAGTTTTGATTAACTCAAACACTATGATTTTTAAATCATCCATAATATGTCGAGTTAATTAGGAAACAAATAAACTGGACCAGCTTAATGTGAATTCATAAACACCTTCTAAGAACGAAGGATTCAATATGTTTCCTTCAATCTAATCAAATAGAAAGAAAGGAGATTACATAGTTAAATAGTCGAAGGATCATTCTAAAATTTGCTGCGAATGAATGACTAAAATTACACTTATTATCTCTTGAAATTTAAATAATTTATTTTATTCTCTTAATGTTTTTCTTTAATGACTAGAATATTATTTTTATAATGAGATATTTTAAAATTTAAGTATTTAATTTAGTTTTATCTGACACAAACTATAAACCAACTGGATCATTTGTATGTAAATTAGTTATCCTTTTTCTATTGAATTTTATAGTGATGGTTAAATATATTTCAAGTTTCAAACTAAAATACTGTTGAAGAGCTATTTTTGTAAATAAATTCATCAACCAGGAAGTATTAACAAATTAATATCATGATATATTTTGTATAATTATAACTAAATAATATAATCATAAGTAAATCTTTAAATCTAATTTATTTCTATATACATCAATATATTCTATAAAATAAATTGCATCATCGATAACTACCAAAAAGAACCTTCAAATTTTAAATATGTAACACTCTAAATGGTGAACAAGAATGCTTGATCAATCACTAAATTAATTCATCTAAAATATATTATTCTTGTTGATTTACTAAAGTCTTAATAAAGTAATAAAATACCTAAACCTAAAAAGTATATTCTTGAAAGATGTCTCAATAAAAGATAAATCACTTCTTACTTAGAATTAGAGTTCTTTCTGAAAAATACAATAAATTAGATGATTCTCGATTATTAAAGCAATTGCTAATATATTGCTACTTTATCCATGCTTTGATAACTTATCAATATTGAAAAATAAATCATTCTGGATCATTGTGTTTCATCTTATAAACAATAGGGGAAAATATTTCTGTAAATCTATAGCAATTTCAAAAAATATATATAATTAACTCAAATTTCTTAACTATTTACTTAAGTTGGCGTTACTAACTCCTCTAAATTATGCTCAGATTATTAAAAATTAAATCCTGCTTACTCTCTCATATTAATGGACTGCTGTTAATCATTTCCTGATGAATTTTTATCATTTTCGTTATCACTGTCATCATTAAATTAAAAAGCAATATCAGCAATCAACTATTTTTTTTTATTCTGTTTGTTCTTTCTATTTGGAGTATTGGATTATTTCTATGTCTTAACTTAACTTTATTGTTTATGTATTTGAGATTAATGAGAGTCTGGTATTGCTTCTTAATCACCCAAATTGATATGCTAATTATTTTAAATTGCTTCTTGACTTTTAATTTGAACTTGCGTTTTTTTACCAAAGAAGAATTTTTTCAGAATTATTCCAATCAAAGCCAAAAACAAAATGAATCCAACAAAAATTAAAATAGTTAATCCCATAATATTTATTATAATGTAAATGATTTTGACTATTTCTATTTTTTAGTAATCTTCAAAGGGAATACAGCTCCTAACTTAACCTTTACATTAGTTGGCTCTTTGGAAATTCTATAACATTTTCAGCTTCATTTTTACTAAGAATCTCAAAATTTTCTAAAACAGTAGGTCTTTTCATTATTTTTTCTTATTCTTAAATAAAACTTTAATGAAGATAATAGAATCTTAATTTAACTATGACTTTTTAGTACCTCTTCTATTTTTTAAACAAATTTTTTCAAAAATAAATAAGAGATTCTATTAATAATTATAAAGACTGATGGATTAAAAGCTAATTAATTAGTGATGCTAATATTTTTTTTATTTGATAAAGACTAAAGCATCAAAAATGAGTAAAATTTATCCATATCATACATTTTGCGAAAATTAATTAAATATATTAATAATAAATATTTACATGAACAGAGCAAGTCGCCATTCTCCGCGCTATCAAAATTTAAATGATAATAAAAAATAAATATAGCAACTTAATGAATTGGCAATAAGCTAGTCCCATAGAATTAATGAATTTGAAAGAAAACTATAAAGCATGCTAAAAAAATTAAATGATTCTCAAAGTTTTCAAGTGGATTAAAATTCTAATCAAATTTCTGAGCTAGAGGATGAAAAGGAAGATTCGTAGCTGAATTTATTTCTTCCAGATTGTATTCTTAAGAAAACTGATTGCGGGCAAATATTGGATCAAAAAGAAAATTAGGATTAATTAATGAAAGTTATGAAGAATAATGAGGAGTAGTAGTTCAGGGCTGTAGGTTAAAAACCACACTATGAGGAAAAATAAGAAATAAATTGTTAAAATTCAAATGAAGATAAAGTCTAGCATCAATGCTTATAATAAAATTAAAATAATGAGTGTTAAGAATTCTTTAAAGCGGAAATTTAGATGAATGAATTGAGTTTTTAAAATTAATATGAAAATTTGGAAGAGTTCAATGAAAACCTACTTTATTAAGCAGAAAGCAAGCCATAAAGTGATGAAAAATAAATGAGCCAAGAATATAGAGATATTAATAATTAGAATAATTAAACTAATGAAATAAAAAATTAAGTTTAGCTTAATTAAGTTGATAAAATTTAATAAAATATAATAAATGAAAACTAGGGATCGTAGAATAAAATTTAAAAGTTTCTTCTTAAAACAACAAAGTTATTATAGGATAAAGACTAAAAAATTATTAAACTTTTAAACTAGGAGCTAACTCAAGATAATAACTTCTAAAATATAGTGGAAGATGAAATAGAAAAATTAAATGCTCAATTTAGTAGAATTTCTTAAAAATAGGGATAATAACTTAAAAATTTGTAAATGCAATTGCAAAATATAATGTAAGAAAAAGTTGATTAAATTATGGAAATGGTAAGCTAAACTTTCAGAATTAATCATTAGAACAATGATGAAGACTTAATAGATAATTTGGTTGGTAGAAAGGGATCTATTAATTATTAACAGTTAGAAGAATATAAGGTATAATAGTATGAATTATAATATGAACTGGAAGTTTCAAGTCAAAAGAATGATGCTCAGATTAAATAGGAACCTAGTAATAATTGGGATCAGAATAGTAATATTAGTGATATTGTAAACAAATCTATACACAAGATAAATGATCAATCTCTCTCATAAAATGATGAAAAAGATAATAATATTTAAAACTTTTTAAATTCTATCGCTAGTCTTTAATAATAAAATATTTAGTAGGGAGATGGGCTTATATTTAATCAAAAACATAGAAAATCTATTTCAGACTAATTCAATAATCAAAAGGAAAATATCATTTAATAAAAAGAAGTTAATATGCAAGATGCAGAATAAGATAAATATAATGGTGCTAATTAAACATTTAATGAAATAAATTAATCAATGAATAAAAGCGAGTAACTATAATTGGAAATTTTAATAAATGAGAAATAGAGTTTAGTCAATAATTTTTTAATAGATCTTGAAGAAAGAAATAAAATAGAAAATCAATTTGAATAAGATGAAAAAATGCATAATTTAATTGTAAAAATTAAGGAAATACAAAAACATTAAATAAATTATAATTTTGTGGATTATATTAATAAAAAGCTAAGAAAATTTATATAATCTGAGAATAAAGAAATAATAAATTTATAGGATAATATATAATAAAATTAGAATTTAGAATAATTGAATAAGGACAACAAATTAGAATATAACATGTAACATATAGAAATGAATAATTAGAAAAAAGAAAATAAATAGGAAAAGGCTGAAATACGATTTGAAAAAAGAAAAAATAAATATGAAATTTAATAAGTAAAAAAATATTAATAGGATGAATAAATTTAAAGTATTTAAGATGAAGTTTCTTAATAAGAATTATAACCATCTTAGCTAGTAATATTTAATAATAAGTAAGACCCTTAAAAAGAAAAATAACTATAACTTGATTAATTAGTGAAAAATAAAGAAGGAGAAATATTAGAAAAAAAAGAGGTAATTGAAAATTTGAAATAACAAAACACAAAATAGTAAAAAGTATATCTAAATGAACCTGATGATTAAAAATAATAGTAACAAAAATAGAATAATAATTAACTAATTTATAAATCATAAGAAGAACCATTAATAAATGATAAATAAAATGAAAAATGGAAAAAAGAATTTTCTTAATAATAATAATAATAATCTTAACATGTTGATGAACAATAAATATAACAACCTTAAAACAATAATGAAATTTTTTCTAAATTATAAGAACAATTATAATAAAAGGATAAATTAATTAAAAATTTGAGATAATAAAATTCCAAATAATAATAATAACCATCTTAACATGCTGACTAACAATAAATATTACAACCTTAAAACAATAATGAAGTAGTTTCGAAATTATAAGAACAATTATAAGATAAGGATAAATTAATTGAAAATTTGAGAGAAGAACTTTCTTCATAATAATAATAACCATCTTTACATGGTGACTAACAATAAATATTACAACCTTAAAACAATAATGAAATTGTTTCTAAATTATAAGATCAATTATAAGAAAAGGATAAATAAATTGAAACTTTGAAATAAGAACTTTCTTCATAATAATAATAACCATCTTTACATGGTGACTAACAATAAATATTACAACCTTAAAACAATAATGAAATTGTTTCTAAATTATAAGATCAATTATAAGAAAAGGATAAATAAATTGAAACTTTGAAATAAGAACTTTCTTCATAATAATAATAACCATCTTTACATGGTGACTAACAATAAATATTACAACCTTAAAACAATAATGAAATTGTTTCTAAATTATAAGATCAATTATTAGAAAAGGATAAATAAATTGAAACTTTGAAATAAGAACTTTCTTCATAATAATAATAACCATCTTTACATGGTGACTAACAATAAATATTACAACCTTAAAACAATAATGAAATTGTTTCTAAATTATAAGATCAATTATAAGAAAAGGATAAATAAATTGAAACTTTGAAATAAGAACTTTCTTCATAATAATAATAACCATCTTTACATGGTGACTAACAATAAATATTACAACCTTAAAACAATAATGAAATTGTTTCTAAATTATAAGATCAATTATAAGAAAAGGATAAATAAATTGAAACTTTGAAATAAGAACTTTCTTCATAATAATAATAACCATCTTTACATGGTGACTAACAATAAATATTACAACCTTAAAACAATAATGAAATTGTTTCTAAATTATAAGATCAATTATAAGAAAAGGATAAATAAATTGAAACTTTGAAATAAGAACTTTCTTCATAATAATAATAACCATCTTTACATGGTGACTAACAATAAATATTACAACCTTAAAACAATAATGAAATTGTTTCTAAATTATAAGATCAATTATAAGAAAAGGATAAATAAATTGAAACTTTGAAATAAGAACTTTCTTCATAATAATAATAACCATCTTTACATGGTGACTAACAATAAATATTACAACCTTAAAACAATAATGAAATTGTTTCTAAATTATAAGATCAATTATAAGAAAAGGATAAATAAATTGAAACTTTGAAATAAGAACTTTCTTCATAATAATAATAACCATCTTTACATGGTGACTAACAATAAATATTACAACCTTAAAACAATAATGAAGTAGTTTCTAAATTATAAGATCAATTATAAGATAAGGATAAATAAATTGAAACTTTGAAATAAGAACTTTCTTCATAATAATAATAACCATCTTAACATGCTGACTAACAATAAATATTACAACCTTAAGACAATAATGAAGTAGTTTCTAAATTATAAGAACAATTATAAGATAAGGATAAATTAATTGAAAATTTGAGATAAGAACTTTCTTCATAATAATAATAACCATCTTTACATGGTGACTAACAATAAATATTACAACCTTAAAACAATAATGAAATTGTTTCTAAATTATAAGATCAATTATTAGAAAAGGATAAATAAATTGAAACTTTGAAATACGAACTTTCTAAATACTACTTATAACCATCATAAGGTGTTGATGAACAATAATTATTAATACCTTTAAACAATAATGAATTAGTTTTGAAAGTAAAGGAAGAATTATAAGAATAGGATCAATAACTTTAAGATTTGAAATAATACAATCCTTTTTAGTATTCTTCTTTACCAGAGAATACTGAATTATTATTAGAATCTGATTAGAAGAATGAACAATCTCATCCTTTTGAAAATTAAAAGTAAAAGGAAGATATCTAGATATTTGATTAATAAACTAAAGTTTAATATTTAGAAAATAGTGGTACAAATTAGAATTTTTAATTATTAAATTCTGACCTAACAATATTAAATTAAAAGCGTCAATTTTAAGATTCATAACTTGTAGAAATGAAAGAATAAATTCGCAAATAATAATTGGACTTAAACTATCAGCAATTAAATAATAAAAATTTAATAAAAACAAATATTTAAAATGAATAAAAAATTAATTAATTAGACATTTAAATTAAGAACTTATAAGAACAGATATAAGATTAAGAATCTTAAATTAATGAAATGAAAACGACTAACATTAAAACAAACTAAGAAATTGAAATTAAGTAGACTGAAAATACTAAACTAATAAAAACTAATAAAGAAAATGAGCTGAAAGTAACTTAATTTGAAAATGAGAATAAGAAATTAAAAGAATAGATCTAAGATTTAGAATCTTAAATGAATGAAATGAGAGATACTAACTCGTAAATAAAGGAAGAAATAGAGAATAAGCATACTGAAAATACTAAACTAATAAAAACTAATAAAGAAAATGAGCAGAAAATAAGTTAATTTGAAAATGAGAATAAGAAATTAAAAGAATAGATCTAAGATTTAGAATCTTAAATGAATGAAATGAGAGATACTAACTCATAAATAAAGGAAGAAATAGAGAATAAGCATACTGAAAATACTAAACTAATAAAAACTAATAAAGAAAATGAGCAGAAAATAAGTTAATTTGAAAATGAGAATAAGAAATTAAAAGAATAGATCTAAGATTTAGAATCTTAAATGAATGAAATGAGAGATACTAACTCATAAATAAAGGAAGAAATAGAGAATAAGCATACTGAAAATACTAAACTAATAAAAACTAATAAAGAAAATGAGCAGAAAATAAGTTAATTTGAAAATGAGAATAAGAAATTAAAAGAATAGATCTAAGATTTAGAATCTTAAATGAATGAAATGAGAGATACTAACTCATAAATAAAGGAAGAAATAGAGAATAAGCATACTGAAAATACTAAACTAATAAAAACTAATAAAGAAAATGAGCAGAAAATAAGTTAATTTGAAAATGAGAATAAGAAATTAAAAGAATAGATCTAAGATTTAGAATCTTAAATGAATGAAATGAGAGATACTAACTCATAAATAAAGGAAGAAATAGAGAATAAGCATACTGAAAATACTAAACTAATAAAAACTAATAAAGAAAATGAGCAGAAAATAAGTTAATTTGAAAATGAGAATAAGAAATTAAAAGAATAGATCTAAGATTTAGAATCTTAAATGAATGAAATGAGAGATACTAACTCATAAATAAAGGAAGAAATAGAGAATAAGCATACTGAAAATACTAAACTAATAAAAACTAATAAAGAAAATGAGCAGAAAATAAGTTAATTTGAAAATGAGAATAAGAAATTAAAAGAATAGATCTAAGATTTAGAATCTTAAATGAATGAAATGAGAGATACTAACTCATAAATAAAGGAAGAAATAGAGAATAAGCATACTGAAAATACTAAACTAATAAAAACTAATAAAGAAAATGAGCAGAAAATAAGTTAATTTGAAAATGAGAATAAGAAATTAAAAGAATAGATCTAAGATTTAGAATCTTAAATGAATGAAATGAGAGATACTAACTCATAAATAAAGGAAGAAATAGAGAATAAGCATACTGAAAATACTAAACTAATAAAAACTAATAAAGAAAATGAGCAGAAAATAAGTTAATTTGAAAATGAGAATAAGAAATTAAAAGAATAGATCTAAGATTTAGAATCTTAAATGAATGAAATGAGAGATACTAACTCATAAATAAAGGAAGAAATAGAGAATAAGCATACTGAAAATACTAAACTAATAAAAACTAATAAAGAAAATGAGCAGAAAATAAGTTAATTTGAAAATGAGAATAAGAAATTAAAAGAATAGATCTAAGATTTAGAATCTTAAATGAATGAAATGAGAGATACTAACTCATAAATAAAGGAAGAAATAGAGAATAAGCATACTGAAAATACTAAACTAATAAAAACTAATAAAGAAAATGAGCAGAAAATAAGTTAATTTGAAAATGAGAATAAGAAATTAAAAGAATAGATCTAAGATTTAGAATCTTAAATGAATGAAATGAGAGATACTAACTCATAAATAAAGGAAGAAATAGAGAATAAGCATACTGAAAATACTAAACTAATAAAAACTAATAAAGAAAATGAGCAGAAAATAAGTTAATTTGAAAATGAGAATAAGAAATTAAAAGAATAGATCTAAGATTTAGAATCTTAAATGAATGAAATGAGAGATACTAACTCATAAATAAAGGAAGAAATAGAGAATAAGCATACTGAAAATACTAAACTAATAAAAACTAATAAAGAAAATGAGCAGAAAATAAGTTAATTTGAAAATGAGAATAAGAAATTAAAAGAATAGATCTAAGATTTAGAATCTTAAATGAATGAAATGAAAGCGACAAACATTAAAACAAACTCAGAAATTGAAATTAAGTAGACTGAAAATACTAAACTAATAAAAACTAATAAGGACAATGAGCAGAAAATAACTTAATATGAAAATGAGAATAAGAAATTCAAAGAACATATCTAAGATTTATAATCTTAAATGAATGAAATGAGAGATACTAACTCGTAAATAAAGGAAGAAATAGAGAATAAGCATACTGAAAATACTAAACTAATAAAAACTAATAAGGACAATGAGCAGAAAGTAACTTAATTTGAAAATGAGAATAAGAAATTAAAAGAACAAATCTAAGATTTAGAAACTTCAATGAATGAAATGAAAGCAATAAACATATAACTTAATTCTTAGTTAGAATTTAAGCAATCTGAAAATGTAAAATTAATCCAAATTAATATTTAGAATGAGTAGAAAGGAATCTTATAAGAAATTGAGAACAACAATTTAAAAGTCAAAAATGAAGAATTTTCTTCGCAAATTTAATAAATGACTAGTCTCAACGAAACACTTTTGTAAAATATAGAACTTTTGAAATCTCAAACATCAAAATTTTAACCTCTTAATTATTAAAATTAATTTAATAATTAATAATCAATTACAAGTTCTCAATTGACATCAAGTTAGTTAAATTTATAAACATCTCCACCTGATACCTTAAATTAAGATATGTTGTCATTTAACTTCAACTAATAAATACCATAAGAAAATACTTTAGATCTTTAATGTTAACTTAAATAAACCCATTAAAATGAGTCCCAATCAAAATAATAATTGCATAGCATTGATAAATATTAAGAGCCAACCATTAGTGATATACAATTTTAATTATAACAAAAAGACGAAATTATCTTTTCTTTGGAATCAGTAGTTAAATTTTAAGAACAATAATTAATGTAACTTAATACACTTTTAGTTAATGCAGAGGAAGCTCTATCTAAAATTTTTTGATTTATAATATCAAACTTATTTATTAAAAATTAATTCATCAAGCACCTGGCGTCTAAGGCATCAAAATTCCTGGTTTTACAAAAAGAATGAAGGAGACCAACGCGGAAATAAACATAGGAAGTAGAATCATGCAAGCTTATTTGCAAATCATTCCCCATGGTATTCCTATTCCTTTAAAAAAAGCCCCTAGTCCTCTACCTTCAGTAGGTTTCTTTAAAAAAGGGTCTATATTTGGCTCTTCTTAACCTTCTCCAACTGGTTTAGCCTCTGCCATACTCTTCTATAAAATTGTCATTTATAACATGACTGTTCCTTTTTCAGCATCTGGCTCTTTGGCAGAACTTAACTTAATTTAAGTAGGTGCCATTTCATAAATTGCTTAAGTTTTCATAACTGTTAATACTCTGTTAATATAATTTATAATACCTCTTAAGACTGATGGTTGCTTCTCCAATTATAGGACTGGCACCAAAAACAGAGAAATCATGAACACTAATTTTCATTCTAGGAAATTAACAAGGTGTCTTGAAATTGAATTTCATTCTCCAATTAAACTCCCCATTACCATCAGTACTACCCATATGTGTATCTGTTTCCTTTCCGATTTCTGATCCAGTTCCAGTAGCTGATGAATCCATTACGCATCTAACAAAGATATCAACAGCTTTTTTAACTGGGTTTAATGGTATATTGAAAGTTTCCCAAACAATTAATCTAACTTCATATTCTTAAGGAAGCCTTTCAACTAGTAACGCTGGAGGAATTAGACGAGAAACTTCTAAAGGGAGAACTTCAACAAACATTTCTAATTAACCCTAAGAAACTAGTTTATCTGGATGTCTCAATTATTAGTATTCTACAGGAATTTCTAGAGTGGTTATGGATTCTATTTTTTAGGTAAGATTAGCTATTTCAGCTTAGTAACTTAATTTAATATCATCAGCATTGTCAGTATATTTTAATCTTTCTAAATCATTTAAAAAATAATCTTTATAAGCTTCACAAGAAAGTCTTGATTTTAGCTTTTTTTCCCCCATCAGTCTATCCTCAATATCAATTTTAACTGCACCGATAAGTTTATTCGTTAAGCCTCCTTTATTAAATACCCTAATATGAAGAAAGCAATCTTGAGGAAGAATTGCATCTAATTCAAATGACCTTAGAAATGTTGGATTAAGAGTATTGGGGATAAATTTATCAGGGTCTGATACTTTTTTAACGAATTCTCCAGGATCGGCACCAGGTTCTCCTACTTCAATTTCAAGATAAGGATTTGCAGAATTTCTTGATTATTCTCCTGCCATATAATGATAAGCGTCTATATTTTCTGATTAGGCTGCTAAACTCAAACCTCTATAGATATAAACCCTAACTTTGCATCTAAATTGTTGCTATTTTAAATAATCATGAAAAACTGGATCAAAAAAATCAAATGGGTAATCTGCTGATCTTAATCTTTTGACATACTCAGCTTTTTCAACTAATTCAGATTTTTTGGTTTTCTTATCTTCATTTTGTTGAGACTGTTTGACAGTTTATTTAAAAGTACTCACATTTATTAATTTGACATCTGCCTTTAAGATGGCACTTGTTTCTTAACCTAATCCAGATCCGTTTTTATTTAACTCGTATATTTTATATCTTTAGAATGGAAGGCCCTTTTAAATCTCTGTATCATATTGTCCTTTGATTATTGAACGACCATAATCAATGCCATCATCTGATAGCTCGATTGCTCTTTCTGTAAAATAGGCTTATAAATCTTATACTTTAAAGATCTGTTCTAAAATAGCCTTCTTCAAATATTATTTATTTAATTCAGTATTTAAAGGTTTTGGTAAACTCTTTAATAATTTTGTAAGTTTTGCCTATTTCTCCTTTTTGATCAATTATTCTCGTATTACGTCTTCATCATCAAGGATTAATACGATTTCATCTTGTACATAAGCATTCTCTATTCCTCTGGTTCTCATTCGTTTCTTTATCACATCACTTGATTTTTCAAGTGCTTAAGCCAAAACTTCAGCTTATTATTTTGTAGATTACTTTGACTTTGTTGATTATTTCTCCTTAGTGCTTGGCTTTATTGATTTTTTAGTGAATATTGTTTTTGGTTCTTCTTATTCCTCTTGTTCTTATTCTTCTGTTTATTCTTCTTATACTTAAGGAGTTATCTCTGGAGGCGGAACATTAGAGCTCAGCATACCACTTTCAAGTGTTGCATAATAATATGCATTTAGTTTATGCTAAGTTTTTTGATCCAATCCTGGATAGTGATTATATAAGGGAACAGAAAAGTAATATTTTTGAGCTAACCCTTCCTTGCTATATATTTCTACATTTAATTATGGCATCAAAAGTGGATTTTCAGGTAACTGTATATCTAAAATAAGTAGTGACAAGAAATTTGGATCTGTATATCCAGGACTGAATCTGGTTTCCTCCTCATCTCCTTGTAGGTACGAATCCACTTTTACAACTGAATCTTAATTTGGATTAGATATTCTAGCAATTAGTTGAGCTTTTCTAAGCTTTCTGGGTAATTATCTGATAGCATAGACCGGAAAAAGTAATTTATACTCTTTAAATTGAGTGAAGATTTCAGCAACACTAATTTTAGGATCGATTTTATCATTTTTTTTTTTCCTTTATAATGTTACTCCAAGAATAATTCTTCCTTTTGACTTTCCATTATGAAGTATATGAAATATCTAATATATTGGTTCTATTTAATCCTCTTCAGAGACTCTGCAGTTGATCGCTGATACATTAGCTTATCCAATAGGTCTATTGTTAAGGAAATATTTACTCTTTATTATTGAAAAAGGATATCACTAAATTTGATACAAATTCTAAATTTTATTCCATACTAACTGGAATTCTAATACATTGATTCCAAATTGGATTCTTGCTATTTTTATTTTATTCAGATTTATAAACCTAATTAGCAATTCTAATTTCATAACTTAATGAAATTTCATCATTAACTTTGTCAGGACAGAAGTCAAAACCACAATAAAGGTAAATCTTACAAATATATGGCAGAACCATATTTTTTTTCACAATAATTTTTGGAATCTAAGAAATAATATTTATCTATCCAAAGAGTATATTCATCAAAACATAACTATGAACTCCCTCTTATTCTCCTTTTAATTTTAAATCCTTAAATTCATACCATTATGGTTTGTCATTCGTCAATTCTGGGCTTGTCGCAGGTATTCTAATATAAGCAACTCTTTTCTTTTCTTTATTCATTAATTCGATAAATAAGTCTGTTTATTCGCTTGGATTTTTTGGAACTTCTACTTCCCATGCTTTTAGAATGACTTTATTTCTCCAAACAAACTGCCCAGGAGACTTACAGTCAGCCTCTGAAGAATCAAAATACTCTTTTCCAACTCTTACTCTAATGAAGATAAATTCATCAAGATCCTTTGCTTGGTTCACTTCGTAGGTATCCAATCGTAACATGTATTTTTCAATTGAAGGCTCTCGGTAAATACCTAATGGCTATACAAGCTTTTCAGGTTTTTCGGATGGTGTTAAATTTAAGGACAAGAGAACTCTACCCATATAGCAAGTTCCTCTTGGATTTTTTTTGTATCCAAGAACATTTGATTCGTAGGTTGATGGTCGTTCATTCATAGGAATCCCGTATAGCGAAAACCATCTAAATGGCAAAACTCCTCCTTTACTTTACAAATACGTCATATTAAAAAAGTCATTTTCAGACGGGAACTCGGGTATCTAACCTATAAAAGTATCTGCCATACAAACTCTTTTATCCCAAACTCTAATAATAATTTTATCATTTTATAATGGGAAATTAATTGGAAACATCATTCTGACTCTATATTATGGTTTTTATTAGTTTTTCAAAACGCTTGTAATTTAGGTTATACCATTAGCTCTAACTGAGATAAAACTATCAATTGTTGTCCCATTAAGAATAGGTAGATCTTCAGCTTTCACAATGTTAACCATTAATTGAGCAAGTTTAGTGTATGGCATTGGTTTGCACACCATTGCAATTTTCTTTTAATTTTCCCTCCTTTATTATAGTTGTTCGCCTGTTAACTGATCATCTGGAACACCCCCAAAAGGATCTGGTTCATCTTCTACATTATTTTCATTAGCATCATGAACAGGAGGAGCATCATTCTATCCAATTATATAAGCAGAGATCAAAATATATCCTTAAACTTTATTTACTTCTTTTGGATGTGTAAGTCTTAGCCATGAGTTGTAAATTTCGTGAGATGGATTTCTATAAAGAGTTGCTAAACCAATTGAATGAATTCCAATTAATTCATTTTGAAAAAATTAGTTCTAATCAAAGACTTCTATTTTGGCTTCAAAATTTTCAAAATCAACATCTGACATCTTTAAACCTTCAAAAGTGAAATTCTATAAATTTCAATATAACCATTACCTAATTAAACACTGCAGTAGTGGCTTTCATTTTGGCAGTGCTCACCTATGTAGGAAGGTTACCTACAGTAATTTTAACGAATGGATCAGATGAACCGGAAGAATCTTTGGCCACTAAATCTCTTGCTTCGATCACGGAAATCTGAACCAAATACTCATTTTTTTTCATTTTATAATTTTTTTCAATACTAATATAATCAAAAATCATTTATAAGAATAAATATATGAAATAAGTTTGAATTAGCATATTTAAATATCCTTTCAGATTGCAACATAGTTTTGAGTCATATTGATAAAAATTGCACTCAACATTAAAATAAATAAATAGAATAATAAACGCATTTCAATTATTTAAGTTGTTATGAATTTTTATAGTAATAGCACTTAAATTGAGTATCCATCTTTATTTGTTTATAAAATGATGATTTAGATCGGTTTTACTTTATTAATTGATTTTCTCAAATGGATTTATTTATATAGAGTGATTTTATTATATTAAATAATTATTAAGTGTTTAGATGGATCTAAATAGAGACATTAAGTATTCAACTTTGAAGGTTTCTGACTAAGTTCAATTCGGAGGAATTATGACAAAGGACGAGTGTAGAGCATTGGCTAGAAAAATCATGACAATATATGATGGGGATGGAAACGGCACATTAGATTCTTTTGAAGTTGGTTACATTCAATCAGATTGTTATAGGGCAATGAATAAAGGATTCAATCCAACTCCAACAGATATTGCTGCTTTTTCCAGAATCATCGATAGTATCGACAATACCCAATTATTTTAGGACGCTAATGTGGCATGGTGACTGATAAAGATATTGAAGCTTTATGTATAAAATACTTTGGAGGTAATTTCGATAGAAGTGAAAGAAGCGAAAGGGTGGTACCTGAATAAACAATAAGTTAACCAAAGACCTATGAGACTAGCTAGTTTAATAGATAAGTATCTAGCAACCAGAATAGCAAAGTCATAACAGTCTAATAATAAACTACTGTCACAAATTAAGTATCATCCATCCCTAGTTCCCCTCCTATCAAAAATACATACAGCACAGTTGTATAGGAGAGGTTGGAAGTGGCAAGAAGAATCTTTAGAATGTTGGATACAGAAAAAAATGGATTTATTACAGAGAAGCATGTAAGTTTGAAAGCGAATAATTTAGGTTCCTTCATTGCTCCAGGAAACATATAAATTAATGGGAATGTCAATTGAACCAACACAAGAGGATGTAGAATTATGGATGGAAATGGCTGATGAGGATAGAGATGGAAAGGTGTTTCTAAAGGATTATGAAGCATTAGTAATAAGAAGTCTAAAATAATAAGGAATTGTTTTAGAATGATTCATATAAATCAAAATTTAATAGTTAACTTTATTAAAGATAAAAAGAGGAGGTGTTTAACTCCTCTTAAATCACCTAAGATTGATTTTCAAATTTATTGTTTAATGAATCGATTTATTGTATTGATAAATAGTTCCTATATATATTAGAATCATTTAGGAGTCATAAATCTAATAAATTCATCATAACTAAATTTGCCATCTTTATCCAAATCAGCTTTGAGGAATAGATCATCTAAATCGTTATCTGGTAATTTCTGTTAGCCTAATTTTACTAAGCCTAATTGTATGTCTGTTTTAGATAGAAATCCATCCTTATCTAAATCAAGTAAATTGAAAGCTTAATTCAATTCTTCATTTGTTTCTTCTTCTCTCATTCTCTTACCCATCAACCCAATAAATTCATCAAAATCTACTTCTCCATTTCCATCAACATCTACTTCTTCTATCATTTCTTTCAATTACTGAGGAGTAGGATTCTCTCCACATTCTTTCATTAGATTACCTATTTCATTTGTTGAAATAGTTCCTCCCCCATCCTTATCGAACATAGCAAAGAGCTCTTTAAATTACTTGATTTACTCTTGATTAAAATTATAAGTATTCATTAATATTTTTATAATTTTGCTGGGCACACAAACAAAGGCTGATTTCGATACTATTAGCTTGTAACTGATTTTGCTTAAAAAGGCAAAATTATTTGATTTATGCATTGGAGATCCTCCTGCTTTCTCTTTTTGCATTCTTATCGATCCACTGATTGAGTTAAATCAGGCATTTCTCGAAAAGAAGATTAATACATTGTTTTCATTGGAATTGATAGGTTTCTAATGATTTTATAAATTATGCATACACTTTTAATACTTAATCCATCTAATTTTACTAAAAAATAGCAGGCTGTGGTTCTATCTTCAATCTCTAATAAACCTTCTAATTCTGAGTTTCCAATTGTCTTATTTTTAAAGGACCCGTATGTCTCTCATAAGGTCTCTTGAATAACACATTCTTTTATTTAGGCTTATCTGCAAAGAACTCTTAATATCTGGTGCTCCCTTCAAATGATGAATGATAAGCCACTCTAGAATTAGATGATCGAACTGGAGTTCCAGTTAAACTGAATCCTCTATATTACCTTTAATTGCTTGTAACAAACTAGTTTGGCAAACCTTACATTTACCGATAGGAGTTCTCAAAAGTCTCGTAAAAACTTCGACTTACAGTAATTGGAGTATCTCTTACGCTTACCTTAGGTGTTAACGATCTTTTTCGATAAGATGTAGACAATTGAAATCTTGGATTCTTGCATTAACAATTTCCACATTAACAAAGTGCACACACACACATGTTTAAATTATGTTTAAAGTAATCGAAATTATGTTTCACTGTTTTTTCATCAATCTGATATCCAAATTTTTAGGCTTCTAGCATAACATCTTCAATGCTCATCTGTATTATAATATATTTTATAATAACGTAATAATTATTAAACATTTTCACTCTGATGTCATTAGCTATAATGGGTATTAAGAGATAGAAAAGCTAATTTATATAAATTTAAGTACCCACTGATAAATTATAGTATTTATATTGGATAAGTAATTGAGTAAATCTTTATTGTTTGAACAAAAAATAAAAAAGATCCTTCAAACAAACCTAATATAATTGGTTGTTTGGGGAATCCTTTGAATTTGTTGGTTTAATTCAGGATGTGCAGAATTATGAGTAATGTAATTTAAGGAAAGATTTGATAACTTTTATTTTATAGAGTGAATATAAAAAAAAGAATTAAGAATTTTTGTATTAGAAGAGATTTAAAAAACTTTTTTGAGGCATTCTTTTGCAATTTCTTTACTGCACTATAGTTAGTAAATGTTTTAATACTCAAATTCTTCAACTTTGATTGAATAAGTTCCAATAAAGTAATTTAATTAAATATTATTGTAGTTACTAAATATAATATATGTTAATCATTATAAATAAATTAAATTAGTAACAGGTTTTAGAATGAAAATTGTAATTTTATTTGCAGTTAATTATTTAATCAAATTTATCATAAAAGGGAACTTTGCATAATAGAAATGTTAGATTTTGTAAAAATAGGAGAATTATATTGATAATTAAACACTATGATAGGCTAAATTGATTTAAACAATCTGTTAATTATTGAATTAAATCAGACCTATTATATTATTTTGGATTATTTGCAATGAACATGAAATGAACTAAAAAATAATTAATGCAGCAAAATGCCCTTCTTCTTTCTCAGAAACACTAAGGTAGAAACTGGGGTACTAATAGTTATTAAGATACAGAATATTTTAATTCTAATATTACCAAAAATATATAGAATCACTTATATATAGACTTAAAATAATGAAACGAAAATCTAAGATGCTAATTTTCTTTTTTATTTGGAAAATGATATAATAGCATTGTAGTTGAAATTAATAAGCTTTATCATTTTTTGCCTGTTTATTTTATTATTCATAATATTAAATTGTTTTGCTGGATTAGAATCTTAATTTCAATTCAAAGGTGCTCTACAAATGAAATTAGAACTTTAATTCATAATAATGTATTTTGAAAAAGTAAATAAATTTTTAAATAAATAATCTACAGAGAAGCTTTAGATATTGTTCAGAATAGGATATGAAATACAATAAGATGAGAAAAAAGAGAAGAGAGATAATAATTTTAATATCAATAATAATTATTGATTCTTTAATTATTTCTGTTTAGTAAAGGCTATGGTAACTCGATATATTTATTCTTAAAATAACTTTATTAGTTTTATTGAATTTAATCCTCTACAAAGCGTCTATTTTTGGACATTTAATCATCAAAATTATTGATTGGTAAATATGTTAGATTATTGGACTTTTTTTGTTACCCTTACATAAAATTCTACATTCCACTTATGCTCAAACTCATGCTTTCACTGGAAGGGATTTATTTAAATTTACTATTGTCTTTTGGATAAATTGTTTCTCGAAATTAATTGATTTCAAATTACCTGTCCTTCTATTAGGTGGAGTCTGCCAATTATCGTCTTGTTCCATCACTACACTTTTATTTAACTCATCTTAATCACTATCCATATATGATTCAACTTGTTCGAGGTTTTTGATGACTGATCTTCTTGTTCCACTTTTCTATTATTGATGTTCATATAACATTTAAACCAACCTAAACACTTATTCATATTCCACATTATTGTCATTTAAATAATCATAATGTTCAAGGTAAAGTTGCTCAGTGATTAAATCTGGAGTTGGCAAATAAACCAATGAATTGAGTTCAATTCGATATCTAAATTATTCAGATTGAGAGACCTTCGAAGTTTTTTATCCTTTAAATTGTAGCGATAGATAACAAATAAACTTGGTGGATTGTGTTTAATAGCTAATTTGAGTACCATTTTTTTTTATATCATATTAATAACATAAAATTTTCATATGAGTTTTTGTTTTGAGAAATTTATTTAAATTTACTTACCATCTAAATCCATTCCATTGTTATTAGCCAAAACAGTTATAGCCACTTCTGTGCTTGGGTACTTGAGAATGGCCATGTACTTCGTAGCATTAGTGACTAATTTTGATTATCTGATGTGTCCATAATCTTAAAGGTATTGTTACAATACTGGTATTTGACATGAATTTTTTGTTAAGTTAGAGACTTAAATAGTATCACAAGGAGGTGCCAAAGTATAGGTACTATCAGGTTTGATTCTATGTGTTTCTTCGCCTCCCTAAAAGTACTCTTCTTGGGTTTTGATATCCTAAGTAAATTCTCCAGGTTTAGTTGGTTAAGCCTTAAGTGAAATTTCTTCATAATTCGAAAAAAATATCTCAATATGAGTGAAATAATTACTTTAATGGATTGCCCATAAAACATAATATCATTTAGGGATTCCTTAGCAATAGCAGCATGATCTTAAGTAACATATTAGATAAGAGCACTAGATCTCTCCTTTAAGTAAATCATTTTATCAATGTTGCCATAAATACTAAATAAGTTATAGAGCATTTGAGAAGTGACAACTTTTTTGTCGAACCATCTAGCATAGATTACTCTTGATTTTCTCACGGCTAGAGTATTAAAATTGGTTTACTTTGTAAAAATTTGGGATTGATGTATTCTTCTATTTTGTCTGCACTTTATTGCATTTTATCTAATTATTATTTTTCAACTTATTGTAAAGTCTGACTCTTGGATACTGGCATTCTGATGATTTTATTTTTGAATTAATCTAAGTTGGAAGCTGAAGTTGGTTAGGAAGAGGTTTAGGATAGATTCGATGGTTATTATTAGGATTAAAATTATTATTATTATTGAGATTTGTCATTATTTTGAAAAGCATTTTAGAAATTATTAATTTATTTGTTGTCTGAGTTCTAATCAAAGTATTTGAGGAATTCATTTTATTCTTCATCTTCATTTTCATCATCATCGTCACAATTCTCAGAACCAACGATTTCATCATCTGATTCTCTTAAACCCAAACCTTAGAAATTCAAATCATCATCTTCGACCTTTTACTCTTAACTATTGAATAAACTTTCTGTATTGTTTTCTCTATAACTTTAGATAAATTCTATTTAATCAGTTTTTTTCTTCTGATCTGCTGGCAAGGTCAGTTTCTTTCGATTAGATTACTTTGATTAGATACTGACTGATTATGTTTCTTCTTATTTGTTAACACCCTATAAGAAGTTTTGATATTAATCTGTGAGGTGTTGGAAGTTTGCTTAACATTCATATATTTAATTCAACAACTACTATTGCTTTTCTATTTAAGACTATAAGTCAGATGAAGAAATCATGGTTGTTTAGAATCCTTCAGCACTTACTTACTATAGTTATCCCATCAATGAATTTATTTATTGTATCTATTAGGACATTTGATGCTGAAATTGCATTTATGATTATAGAAACTATATTGGGATAGGCTGTTGTGGTGGCTTAGGTGCTGGCTGCTATTGTTTACGTAATAAGGTGTAATCTACATAAATTTAAGAATATACCAACACCCCCAGTATTATTTTCTTAAAATGTTATGTATGTTAGCTTACTAGCATACACATTCATTGTTAATTATGCATCATCGCAAAAAAGCTTATCATTCATAGCTTATCTGGCCTTTATCGCAGACTCTGGATTATCAAATTCGACAAATGTTTTCCATGTCAATGATCTTTCAAATATGAGCATCTATATATGTGAAAGCATTCTTACTCTTTAGATGGTGCCGAACTGGCTAAAGACTTTGAAATACTTGTCATGTCCAAGAGTTTTATTAGCTTTGTTGGTAATCACAACTAAAATCACGTTGGTGGTGTCTTAATTCATTAATTAATTAATAAAGTGTTTTCATGTTTTATAAAAAATTAAATAAGATCGTTTTCACTTTGTCTTAATAAAACTATTAGATTTCATTCCGGATCCACAATCTCTTCTCAAACCCTCAACTAATTAGTTCTTGAGAACTCGAGATTCCTGTAATGAATTCTACAATTTCACTTCCAAACTATTATTTTATTCAGCCATTTATTCCAATTACTTCTGCATCCTGCTAATCTCCAATCGCAAACCTACAATAATTAATACAAAGATACCTTCAGCTCTACTTTATTCCCTTTCTGCTCTCTCTGTTTGTTTTTCACAATTATTAGTTGTTCTCGTAAATTTATCTTTCCAATTTTCTAACTCCTTTTATCTATCCGACAATTTATGTTCTAATGTCTATTTCTCCTTTAACAATTGATCCTCTACTATTCTCTATTGATCTTACTGATTGTGTAATTATTAATTTTCATTAACTAAACCTATTATTGTTTAATTATAATGTTACTTGCAATCCTACTTTCTAGTTGTTTTATTTCGTTTTATTATCTTTGCAATTACTATTTAAGTTTTTGTTATTCTAAAGCTGCTTGTTTCATTTAATCTTGATATGGCTTTTACGCATCATTAAATAATCTCTATTGCATTTGTAATTCTTTTTTCATTTATTCCTAAGTTTCTCTAATTTCTTGAGCTGATTCTAATTTGATCAATGATACTTCATTCTCCTTTTCGTATTATGCCTATTTCACTTGATCCAGTAATGAACTAATTCTCTAATCCTTCTCCTTTACTTCTTAATTCAATTGTTCATTTTTATCTTACAATTTTCTTATCTTCATTTCTAATTCACATGTTTATTTAGTTGAATCAACATGAAATTTGATATTTTCTAAACTTCTTTCTCTGAATCTGGGTAACTCTTTCAATTTCTGTTGCAATTCATCTATTTTAGTTTCATTTAATTATTAAACAGATTGTAATTTCTCATTTGCCTTTTCTAATTCTGCAATTCTAGCTTTATTTGCAATCTCATCCTTTTTCATCTTCTATTATAATAAGAATTGTTATTCCGTCAATTAATTATTCTTTTTGTTCAATTGCTCAAATTCTTATTAAATATTTTCTGCCTCTCCTTAGAGTGACTTATATTGTTACAACTTTAGTTTCTAGACTTCACCTTGTAGATTATTTATAGTTTATCTAGCTGATTTCAATTCTTCAATTATAGGCAAAGTGGAATTTTTCATATTTTAATTCACCTTCTAATTTAGATCGACCTTGATAACCTCCAATGTATCCATCTTATTTTACACCTCCACTTGATGCTACTATTTCAATTTCTCGATTTTTTACTCATTCATTTCATTCTGTTTTTCCAAGAATTCTCTATATTTCTCTTCCTATTGTTTTATTAAACTCTTAAACTCCTCAATTCTGTTACTATCCTTTTGAATTGTGTTTTATAAATTATTATTTTATTCTAACAGCATAGAAACCTTATTTTACAATTCCTATATTTTTAATTGTTATTCATTATTAGAATGTGTGAGAGTCTCAATTTACTTGCCTCTTTTCCTTGCTAAATGTCCAAGTGATGCATCTGTTGACCATTGCTTCTCAGAAACAATTAATTTTTCTCTGAGGTCATTTATAATTGCTTCCTTTTCCTTCAATTGCTCTTAAAGTTACAACTATAAATTTGATATCTAAATTACATCAAAGTCTTACTTGAATAGCCTTCTATTGTATATCATCGTTCATTCTCTTTTCAACTTAATAACGATCACGTACTTATTGCTCAAGAGTCTGTATAGTCTTATTTTAATCTCCATTGATAATCTTTTAATCCTATTTGAGCTTCTCTAAGACCTTCACTACTTTCTCATTTTCTTCCAACAACATTCCTATTTATTGATCTTTCTTTTCACTCGATTATCCTAACTAATTGATATCATTCAGAGCATCTTAAAACTGCCTACTTACTTTGGCAGCCTCCATAGTAGCATCATTCAATTAAGCTTGCTATCTCTATATAATGATCTCGGATTGTTTGATTTTATACTCCAATTCTTGGATTTTCTTCTCCTATAGTTTCTTAGCTGCTTATTCTCTGGATAGTTCAGATACCTCTTGCATAGTACGTGAAGGACTAGCATGGTAAGCCAACTAACTACCATCATTTTTAAAATGGTGACTCATCGTTATAACTGTAGAATTAATAATATTTGTAATTGGTTAGTTAATCGTGTTCAAACAACAATATTTCAATACAAATAATAATAGATCTCTGTTTAGATTTACGATTTTCTCTATAATTTCTATACCTATAACATCTAAGATATATGATAAAAAGTGTAATAAATGTTAACATGATATTCCATTATGTAGAATTCGTTATTAACTCTAAATTAATTTTTATGATTAAACCAATTTATAATACACTGTTCATTCAAAAATTGTAGAATTAATTATAATAAAAATGCTAAAATATCAACCAGATCTACAGAATTTCAATCGTTTTCAACATCAAATTCATTAAACTAGCAAGTCTAACAACTTTTAGATGCATATTCACTTGATCTAAAATTTGGTTGAATTGCCTTTCTCTCAAAATGATATAGTCACCCTCTTGCTCCAAGCACTAAATAACCTAGCAGTTAATTATTATAAGTAATGCTCTTGTCTACTAATTGCTTAGATTTGATTTATTTGCTAATAAGATCTTTAAGTTCATGAGAAATCATTTACTGAAAAATGATCAATTACAGTGTAATTAGTTTAGACAGAAAGTGATTAAGTTTATTGTCCAAATAAACATGGCAAAGATGAAATTACAATTAGGATCATATGGTAAAGCTTTTCTTCTTGCTGAATAAGCTATGAGTGCATTAGAAAAAGACCTCATTGATAGATTGAAACAAAGAGACTCAAAAATTGAAGATGCCATGCTACTCATCAATGGCTATCTGATTTTAGCTAAATCCTACGAGTTTTCCTCAGAATTTGATATTTAGTACATACAAAGCAAAAGCGTTTGGGCACAGAAAAACTAATAAGATTAATTTTGTAAATTCTATTTAAATGCAAAATAATTGGCAATTAAATATTTAGGAACCAACAATAAACTCATCTAAAAATTACAATATTCGTGTTCTCATCGTGTCTAAAAACCCAAAACTCCTCAACTAATGCCATAAGTAATTTCAAGACAATAGTTGAATCAATTAATTTAATTATTGAAATTGGTCAAAGGCAGAGTCACAATAGTCATACAACCTGAAAAACCTCTAGTCAGAAGATGCTTAAAGGGATCAATAGACACACATAAAACCACATCGACACAGAACAGTCAAGTCGATATGTCCAAACCATACATTAAGCAATTTAGAGTGAGATGTAAATAAAACAGTCACCATGAGATTAATTCTTCAGATGAAACCACAAAAGAGAAAATGCAGAATTGTGATACCCCAATTTCTCAATATAAATAATTAGAAACTATTATTCAAAAAAAGGTTGAAGAGTAATTGACTATGAAATTGAATGCAAAATAATTGAATAATCTTGAAGAATAAAAGAAATTGTAGGAGTAGAATTAATAGATATCTAATTTATATGATTAAATTCAATAACTTAAGGAGTAACTCAAATAAAAAGAGGTGTTACAAGAGTAACAAAAAGTGCAAATTGAACTCTTACAAGCTCATAATAAATAGCAGTCATTGAAGAATGTGAAGTCCATTTAGAGTCCTATCAAAAAGAATAATTTTATATAGGAATTTTAAATTTCAAGTGAATAAAAATAATCCCTAGTTTAAAGTGCCATTCAAATCAAAAGAGCTGAAATCAACGAATTTAATACTGAATAAACCCCTATCAAATTGGTAAACTCAATTATTGGGGAATTCTAAACTCCTGGAAATAAGAGTTCCATTGCTGAATTTTAAACCAACAAAAAAAGCACTCCTCCATTTAGTTTTAGTTTCCACAAACATTAATAGCAATCAATAGATGTGCCATTAACTCCCCCTCCTAATGTTACTTAAGATAACACTCTTGATCAATCCCAACAGTGGCCATCTCAAAAGTTATAACACATCAGCATAATTGAATTCGAGGAATCTATGAATTTTTCAATCACTTATTGTAAACGAAAATATTTATATTAGAATCCAATTCGGAGCATTATTCCATTTAGTTATAACCAAATGAAATCTATATGATTTAAGTAGAGAGTGAATTATCCTTTACAGTTGAAATCTCACTTGTTACTAATAAAGCAAATCCAAAGTTAGAGGACTTTTGCATTTTGATTTAAGTTAACATAAATTCTTAAAGAATCAGTGAATTAATAGAAATAAGTTCTTTAGCTGACATGCTATAACACACAGTAAATAATATTTGTATTCCTTATCCTCTGAAATATATAACTTCCTATAAGCTTTTTATTTAATACCTTTTGATTCCCTTCATTTAAGTATAAATGGAAAACAAATAATACAAGATTGCCTTGTTTTCAATTCCTCAAGGTCTGTTTAGCAATTGGTAATGCATTAATCTATATGGTGATCAATGCGAATGGTCTATGTTTTTTATAGAAAATTATAAATTCAAAGTGGTAATCTTTCAGAATAAAATCAATATCTTAGACTTCGAGATATTCTTAGATTAAGTGTCATTTGAAGAGTATTTTGAGTTTTTGAATTTTGACTAGAATAGTTAATAGGAGATGTAAAATATATTGAATTCAATGAAGAAGATTTAATCATCATCTCATAACTATTTCAAACTTCCAAATGTTAAAATAAGAGATAAAGATAAATTAATAAATTTTATCAACAATTGTCTAATCTAAGTTGAAACATTGATTAACGAATAGAAATAAAAGGATGTTAAGCATTATTTAAAGGAGAATGTTATTGCACTCAATTTAGATGTCATTGAAAAATGTAAAATAAGGGCATCATTAGTTTAAAAGATTAATGGTAGGATTGACCTAATATTAAAGAACTTCTATTAAACTCATCTGTCTCAAGATTAACTCGGATTTGCTGGCGGTTCCATTTAAATTACAGATGAATTTATTTAGGATAAATTTCATATTGACTTTTTCACATTAAATGAAAGTGAGAAGTAATTCATTCTTAAGAAAATCAGTAATTATTTCAAATTGCATGTTTACAATAGTTTGTAAGATGGTAATGATCTGGATTGGAAAAATGAGAATCCAATACAATAAATAGACTAAAACTTCGGTGGAACTCATAAAATTATGATAGTAGATCAATATAGAACTCCTATTAACTTTACTTTGATAGGAATTCATGATAGGCCAGAATTCGTTAGGGTGGACATGTTTGACACTGAAAAGGTTCAATAAAATGGGCTCTTGTTCTTTATTAATGAGGATCAATGGAGAAGGAGAGAGATTCAACCATCTGTGAAGAAAAGCAAATAGTCAAAATACAATAAAGAATTCGCAATAGCTGAAAAATATTATTTGAACCAAGTGTTGTAGGAGGGAGGGTGGAGAGTAATTGAAAAATTGATAATAGCAAAGAATTCGATCTAAATAAATCAAGAGGGAAAAATACATCGGTTAGAATAATTTTTGAATTGGAAATCAATTTATGAAAATTGATTATAATTAATATATGTATATATGTAGTATTTGTAATTGCTTTCTTGCTTATAAATAAGATGAAATTTACAAGTACCCTTTGAGGGAAGGAGAATAATTGAAGTATTTATTGAGAGTTAATTAGTTTTTTGACATTTAAGATGATAGAGAATTGCAAAGAAGATCAATTCAAAAAATATGATTTATTTAGTCATCTATATTGTAAATTCTGCGATTAAGAGATAGGAATGAGAATAGGAAAGGATTTCTCTATTTATAAATGCCAACTTTAGGAGTCTTTGGGATCTATAAATATTGGAGTATATTCATTGAAACAAGAACTCCTGCAAAAGATATCACAAATACTTGACAAAACTTGTTATTAGTGTCATCTCTAACCATTACTCAAGAAAGAATTAACTAATGTATAAATAATTCCCAATGTAAATGCAGCAATCATAATACATTAAGTAGAATCCCGAGTATTGCTATTAGGGAAAAATGGCTTATACAATGATTTAGCATTGAAGTTGTGGAAGTAAACATCTGGAAATGTGTTGTTGATTTTGTATGACAAAGAGGAAACTAATTAAGAAGAATTAATACACAATTTAGCTACTCAAGGAGAGTAGCCATAGATTGCTGAATTGTTTCAATCTTAGAATTTAGTATTTTTCACTAAGCTTCTAAATTTGAATTCAATGTTATCGAAGTTTTTTGCAAAATCATATAATCAATGTTACCCAGTTGATATTGTAAAGAAGGAAGAGGATGTCACAAATGAAAAGTGTCTTCTCTTGACATACTATTACTAAAGATATAAATAAATAGATCATCCAACTCAAGATGATAAATTGACACTGTCTTTAATAAAATAGTCTCGTAAGTAGTTAAAATTTGAATGTAAAGTTTAATGAATTAGTTTATATAATAATAATAATAAAAGAAAATATTAGGAATAATTAATTTTAAAAAGAATATTTATTATTGCATGATTTTTATCTTTTATCTATACATATATGCATTATTATTTACATAAATTGGTTGTGCCTTTGTTATTTATTATCATTATTAATTAAAATGTTACTTGAGAGCATTAAAGTAATTAGAATTAATTATTATAGGTTGCCATTCGAATAAGGCCTTTAAACACCAGAGATCTTGAGATTTCCGATAAGAGTACCCTCAAAGTTACAGATCAAGAGACCTTAGTAGCAATTCCTCCGGTCGAGGCAGAAGTTAAGTAGGTCAAAAAGAGCTATAAATTCAACTGGGTTTTTGACTAAATAGCCACTCAAAAGGATTTATTCGAAAAGACCCTAGAATATTAGGTGCTTTCTGTGTTGGATGGAATGAATGTTACTCTTTTTAGTTACGGTGCTTCTGGAACAGGAAAGTCACATACGTAATTATTTTGAGTATTTTAAGACTTATGAAAATGAACGATGATTATGGATTATTGATACGGGCCCTAAATCAACTCTTTTAAACGATACACAACAGAAAAAGGAAGATTCAGATGAAATTTTCATACATAGAAATCCAATAGGAGTAACTCTATGATCTACTAAACAATATGAACGGAAACCTCGACATTAGAGACGATGTAGAGAAAGGCGTAGTAATAAATGGAATGCGAGAAATTGATGTTACGAGTACTTAAGAGGTGATCAACTTGATTTAATATGGAAAACGACAAAAATCAACCAAGTAACATGAAGTTCTAATATTTACTATCTATATACAGGATATGGTTGGTTAAAACAATGAAATTTAGATTTCTAAATTTATAGTCGCCGATCTAGCTTGGCTTGACAAAAGTGGATAAAAGTCTGCATCAATATAGGTTCTTAATGGCTGTATTTCATTACTAAGTGAGGCTTAGACTAAAAAGATTTAGCCATTCATTCCCTATAGAAATAGCAAATTGACAAAAATACTCAAAGATTCTTTCGGTGGGAATTCCAAGACTTTAATTATTGGGTGTGTCTCTCCTTCAGTGGCTAATTATGAGGAAACCATCTAAACCCTAGAGTATTGCTCGATGGCTGCTGGGATCTTTAATTAAGGGACAATCAAGACCATATAATAGAGTAACCAGCATGAAGATATTAAATCAATTTACGATTAATTAATAAATGAGAATGCAGAGCTGAAGAAACAATTAAATCACAAATCCAACTAAAAACCATTAAATAATGAAAAGGAGTAAACCAAATTGTATGAAGAGAATATAATTGAACACTTTAACAACGAATAAGATATTAATTAATCTATTTTCAAGTACCAATGGGAAATAGAGTAGATTAAATTCAATGTGAACGAAAACTAAGAAAACCTATAGCGTGTTGATGGAATAGACAGAAATTCAGCAGATAAGTTAAGGTTCTAAATTGAATAGGATCTTAAATAATTACACAATTATTAGGAATAACTAGTTAAATTTTAAAAATAAGCAAGCAATTTCTCCATCCAAAGAAGAGCTTTAGAGGAGGTATTAGTATCTATTTAAATTTAGAATGTCAATTAAAGTAATTTATCGAATTCTTATAAACTATACTTAACAAATTTGATTGAAAAACATGTTCTAAGAGTAGAAGTATTCGAAATTAAACTTAAAGAATAAATAAATGAATTACATAGGTCCTAACACGAGAGAATTATGGCGATTTAAAGAAGTTAGATTACTTTGAGGGATCGAATCATTGCTGATCAGAGGAAACATTTAATATCACATGGCAAAAACAGGTCAGTTTAACATTATTCTCAAATTGACACCACAACTGAAGTCATTGATGGAACCAAGGCCAAGCTCAAGCACTATCCATTGCCAAAAGTTAAAGGTATTTTATACATTGTTATCATCTAGACCATTATTTTAATAAGCAAGCCTATTTGTAAAGAAAAGAATCCCCAAAATCAATTTTCAGTCCAAGACTCCAAACACCGTTGCAACTGAAAGAAAAGAAACCGTATGTTCCAAAAACACCTCACACAAAAATACTTGATAATCTTTCCACACCAATTATACCTAAATCAAATCCTTTGGCAAAAGCACCTCCTTCAAAATTGATTGATTCCTAATTCATGGTAGCCTTGCCTTTAATAACAACCAATAGAAATTTATCTAAATTTGTTTATGACTGGAGAGGAAGTGGTTATAAGTTTGTAGAAGACCAAAAAAATATACCTTCATAAAGAGAACTTAAGAAGGTTATATCATCAAAATAATACACCTAGTAAAGTCTTGACAAATCATTTTTCACTACTTCAAGTAGAAGTAAATAAATATCATAATTATTAGGCACTTCTGCAAAAAGAGTGTCATTTAAGCAAAGTCTTTTACTACCTGGTAAAGTGCACGAGTCCCCTTATGTTAAAGGATTTATTAATAAAGAAATTCAAAGAAAGATGAAATTAAAATAATTGAATTAAAAAATGATGAAAGCTACTAAAAATAAATGATTTATCTTATATATCTTGTTTATATCTTATATGCATTATTCAGAGTGGATACTATTGTAGGATTCGAGATTAATAAAATATAAGATAATAAGAATTATTATAAATAGTAAATTTAGCGTTTTGATTGCTCAGAAGTAGCCTCATTATACGTTATATATCTACAAGATTGAAAACAAATAGTTCTTTAAAATATACTCAATACTAAAATAATGAATCATTTTCAAAATTTGATTTATTTAATGTCCAGACTCCATTTCCATTATGAGGTATATTGTTTTTTTAATTTAAACTAAAAAATAACAAACTCTAGTATCTATAGCTATTATTTTAATTAATAAAGTATTATCAATAGGCTAAAGTTGATTCTTAGTTTAATTATTGATCAATAGAAAGTAAAATAATATTAGTTTATGAATAAAATTATATTGCTCAAATAAAGCAATTAAACAACATCTATAATATACTTTCTATAATCAATAAGTAAATGTGAACCTATTTATGAGAAGTGCATAATAAAGTAGATGGCTTTTTCATTTAATTGACACATTCATATAAATAATCATAAGTCGTCTTCTTTGTAGGCTGATGTTATCACTTTGATTTCTTCTTCAATTACTGTAATTTCATTAAGCAACTCTTCATATTACTTGGGAGTAAGATTCCTTGGAATTAAATTAATGTTAATTACTTTCCCTATTCAGTGTCTAAAAAGGCAATAATGTGATCGACCTATTGAATCATTTCTTATAATTTCTCATAATCTTATTTAAATTGTATTCTTTCCCTCCATGACTTGATTTCATCAAAGCCTTGCTATGACGAGGCTACGGCAATTGTAATTAAAACGATAAATACAATAATAATTTTCATTTGATAATTTAAATAGTTATCAATAAATATGAAAAATATGAAATAATGAAAAGGCTTGGTTACCAGGATTTAATTGGAGTTCAAGTTTCTAGTTTTATTGTTTTGAGAATCAATTTTTGTATAAACTATAATATTCTAAAAATAATATAATTAAAATGAGTGGCATATAAATCAAAGGCCCACAAAATATTTTGAGAAAAAACAAAACAGAACCTGATAAATTGAGTAGATTTCATTCCAGTGATATGAGAGGTACTTTGTAGATTCTTATTTAGGACCATTTAAGTACGAACCTTTATAAAACATCTCTCACCCTATACAACCTGAGGATGATGTTTCTGTGAGAGATCCCACTTTAAGGACAGTGGATAAATCAAAGCTTTCGCAATCCCTATATTAAAATAACTCTATACGATCGAAGACTCCTATTAGCGAGCCAGATGAGAGTCCGTTTATGTTGACATTTCCATAGAAGTAACTGGAAACCACACGAAAAAGAAGCAAAAGCAAACTAATTACGTATTTTATAGAGAGGATCAGAAAAAGATTTAAAATAGATAGTAAAGCCAAATAATTTTAATATTTGTTCGATTAAGAAACCAATTCAAAAGATTATAATTGTAAACTATATAAAATTTAAATAGAGGGACTTTGTTACCTTCCTCATGGATCTTACAAGTGTGGAACTTGACATTTTATTTAATTTTGAATTTGATGATTGTCTATGTACCTTTGTCAACCTCTTTGATCCTAAAGGATTTGAATTACGTTTTCTTGGTATTCAAGTGTCTGGATGTGGGAATGCAATTGTGCAGTTCTTTCACAGAGAATGGACAATTCATTACTAATTTCAAGTTGATTTCAATGAGATACAACAAATAATTGTTGTTGCATGACTCAGTATAATATCCAAGTTATTGCTTAGATCACTATTATAGGATTGACCTTCTTGAATACCTTATCATCAAATTTTAAATTCTATGTACTAACAGCAGTGCTTTTGAGTTTAATCAAGCGATTTTATGAGATTGAGATACACTTGAAATTTGAATTCAATTTATTTCATCCTATAGTTTTGGTGATAAATTCAATAATTAAGATGATTCTAATCTTCCATGTGATCACTTGCTATCAATATGGATTATTCGACCAATATCATGAATAATTTGCCTCGTACTTATCCTCTCTTAATGTGATTGTATCAATCTATGCTTTCAATTCCAACTATGTACCTGATGAATAGGAGGAATTACTATTCAATTGTTTAATCAATTTTAGTGCCATCATTATGTTTGCTTACTTTTTGACCCAATTTATGTATTTATTCAAGAGCAATAGAATATCCGAACAACTCAGTGAATTTCTGGCAATAAATAAATTAGATTCAAATTTAAAATTCAAAATTACTAACCATATCTTTAATCAACCAAAATTCTATCACAATTAATTCATATCCAAATTATCAGGGAAACTGCTCCAAGAATTTAATTACATCCAGAGATCCTAATTACTTACTAAATATTTTAAATTCTATAATCAACACACAATAAACACACTCATCAATTATTGTGAAGACATGATATGTTAACCTAACTAAGTCATAGTAACTGAATCAGAACACGATGATTGTTCCTTGTATTTTATCCTGGAAGGTAATTTTAAAGTAGTCAATAAGATGGGAGTTCAATTATAAATATTGGGAGTATTTGAAATTATTATTAATAGTCAACCCAAACTTTTGGTGAAATTTCCTTTTACACTCAATTGCCCAGATCTGCAACTGTAATAAGTGAAGGCGTCTGCAGATTGCTAAGAATCAGAAGGGAAGTCTTCCTTAAATTGTTAACATTTAGTGACAAAGTACAAGTTTCGCCTATTCAATAAGCAATACTTCTATAATCTTAAAGATCGCATATTGATTCATAAGGACATGCCGTGTTTATGTTTCTGTTGCCAACAAAGTGATCATTTAGTGACTAAGTGTCCTTTATTGACCTATAGACCAGACAAGGAGAAAGTAATAAAGACCTACATCTACCCTATGAAAAACCTCAGGAAAAAATGTAATACTCTGTTCTTCGTTTTTAGTTGACAGAAAGTTAAACCGAGAAATTAAGGCTCTTGATTTCTTGAAGGATGCAGAGGCCAACCAGGATTATTTGTTGTAGTTGTATTCGGATAACCACTTTCAATCCTCCAATCAGTTTAGTTAATCCAATCTACCATATGATGATGTATATATTAAAGATTCCTATGCTTCTGCATAGAGTTTTAGTAGAGTAAGCAGAGAGAAATCGTTGTTGAAGAGCACATCATTACTAAAGGAGAAATCTATATATGAACAACAGTAGTCTTTGATTAATGATGTGTAAGATATATATGGTTTTATCTCGAAGTTTTTTGGAAACTGCAGACAATCAGTATATTGTACATTAAGGAGAGTTGGACGATGATAAGTTTGTCAGCTTGGTGAGAAAAGACTAACAAAAGAATACTTTTGCCACTGCTGGCTTTGGCAATCTGGGACAGCAATCAATTAAGGATCAAAAATCATTGAATGTCATTATCGAAAATGAGAGTTCAGAAAACTCTCCTTCCCTAGAGAATGTGTTAGAATAAAGCAATTAACTTCAAAGAAATAAAGATCCCAAATTGACCTTCAATTACAATTTTGATAATCAAATGAGTGAATTACAGAATAAATACTAATAGTATTAGAGGAATGTCTCAGAATCTATTAATAATTCTGTTCTTAGACAAGAAAACAGACAAACTTCTATCAGATAGAACTCTTCCAGATCCCAAACATATAGTCCTCTTACATCCAACAATATTACTGCTAATTCATATCGCTCACAAATCAAATAAAATGAAAACACTCAAACTCCTTCAGGAAAACCGAGGAGATCCTCCAATTCCAATTACACTGTCAGATCCATCTCTGGAATCAATAGGCAATATACTGATAGTCCAGAATTGCAAAGCAGAAAAGGAACCAATAGGAAAAAATCAACAAGGACTGGAACCAAAGTATCCGTTGCGCCTTCTCAATTCTAACCTTTTAGTGGATTTGATGTAAACTTTCCTATTAAATTATTCAAGAATCCTGTCCAAACTGAGTTTGGGGACAACGATTTTGAGAAACTCTACTTATTTGAAGTATATCTCCCTTATAACAATTATGATATTGTCATTTACAAGTATACTCTAATAACCATCATTTTAGGTTCAATCAGTACAACAAATAAAAAAGATTAAAGAAACTATCGAAATACTTTTTATCCTTCAAACTAGCCGTATAAATTTAGAGATTGAAAGCAAAGTAATAGTATATAAATTACGAATTAGACAAAGTAAATAATGATGTTGATGATGATATTCAGATTATTTATTGATAATTGTATCTTTTATTTATATTTGATTTCCTATGCTAAATTCTATAATAATGTATTGTTCAATTTTTATCTTAAACCCCTAAAAATAAATAAAATTAATTCATGTTTATTCTATCAATTTATCTCAAGAACTTTCACTAATTTATCATTTTCCCATTAAGCAATCTAAACTTAACCTTTCTCATTCTTACTCTTCCCTATACCATGTCTTTTATTGTTTTTGAATTGACCATCATAAAAACTCTCGTCATTGCATATAAATATTCCTTTTCCATCCATCTTGCCCTCTTTCATCTATCCTATGTAATTACCTTTCAAAGTCCTAACATTCCCTTCAATCATTTAATCCTCATAAAATTACCCTTCCAAAATAGTCCCTCCCTCTTAAATTATCATCACATCAGTTCCAATATTCTACCTAACTTTGTTGGTCTTGGCAAAAAGTATCAACTTTCCTTACCCGTGCATCTAGCCATCTTTTACCTATCCCTTATAATAAAGAGAGTTGGTTATGAAAATTGATCCCTCCCCTGTAATCTGTCCTTATTCCCAGTCTCCTTGATACTAGGCGCCATCACTGAATACAATTGTCCCTTTTCCATGAGCAGCCCCTTTAGAATGTTGACCATAGTAATATTGATAGTCCTAGTCGCCCATTTAAATTGTACAGCCTTTCCCTTCCAGCAAATTATTTTTCCAAAAGCCTAAAAAGTACCTGTCCTGCCTATCAGACACGAGCTCCCCATAACCGCTCTGTATAAATTCCTTCTCCCTTTAACCGCGATATGACCCATTTAGAGTAAGAGTAAAGTCCTCTTTTTAATTTATTTTTTCTTTCCAAATTTATTTTAATTCAATGTCCTTCTCCAAAACCTCCATAATGCATAACTTCAACCTTTCATTTGTAATTTGGGGTATCACCAAATTCTTATTTCTTTAACGAGCTACAAATAACTTATGTTCAGTTTGAAATTAGTTTGTCTGCACAGTCTATCCCATTTTAAATAAATTTATTATAATTAAGATGAAAATCAAATATATTTATTAAATTAAACACTACAACTACTTATTCAACCGTTTGATTATGGATATACAGCATCGAGTAAAATGAAATGAAAACAATATAATACATAACCATTCAAGATTTATTCTTTTTTTCTTCCTTTTCGGCTTAAATCCTCCAACTTTCAGAAAATTCATTTATTCTCGACATGAATTCCTAATGAAAACCAACAGAACCGTAATTATTCGGTAACTTAAGCTTCGATTAATGTGCTTAGAGTGTCGATGATTTATTATGTTTTATTTGATTAGCTTAAGATTTTTATTACAAATTTGATAGATCTAATTTGAGTTTAACAACATTGGTTTTTATTTCGAGATTTTTGTATTGAAATTTCCTCACACTCTCCAATATGGAATCATTCTCAAATCTGTTGAGAAAGCAGAAACTAGATTCATCAGAATCATTTACAATAGAATTATCAGCATCATTGTCATTTCTTTCAAAATTATGTTACTAAAACCCATGCAATTTGTTCTCTGAATCTAGGACACTCTCATCATTAAGTACTTCTTCATTATATATTTTTTCAATGTCAATCCCACTTCTTTTGATTGCTAAAACTAATTTAATTAATTTGGCTTCTTTTTCACTCATTTCTTGTAATTTAATCTGCATAGCATTATGCATATCTTTCAATTAGACTGTATCCTCACTATCAATTTGAATAGCATTAGTGGTATTAAATGTATTAAAGGTATTAAGGGCATTAATGGCTTTAGTTGATTATTATTATTTTGATGATTTAAGTTGATTAATTGAATCAATCAAGAGATCTCTTTCTTTTTCAATAATTTTGTAATTGTTTAAACATAATTCCTTTTCTCGATTGATCTTTTCAATGATTTCGTTGAACTTTGATTCTTATTCACACAGTATCTCAATTGAGATATTGTTCATCATTTCAAATAAATTATTGATAATTCTAATAGATATGTCATTGATAGGAGTAGATTGGATGAATTGATGTTTGTACAAATGCAATAGATTGCTTTATTTTAGTAATTATTCTTTATAGATTTCCCATTTTGAATGATATTTTTTCTTGATGATGATCGATTGAATTTAAGTGTTAAGATTATGCAGTTCCTGATTTTTAGGTTTCCTTTAGGCTGGACTTTGAGAATCATTAGTGAGATTGGTATTTAGATTCTATTTGGATCTATAAAATGAAATTTGAATTACAATTGTTAAAGCAAAGTTGTTGAGAACAGATGACTATCGCCAACAATCTTCCTTAATTTTTAACCATTTTGAGAGGATTGAAGAGAATCATCTTCAAATTATATAGTGCCCATAACACGACTTTTGGAACTACTGTTGGTGCGATTATTGGTGTTTTCTGAGAAGTTGTTTTTGGGTTATTTGTAACGTTTCTCTTCAATTGATTTGGAAGTGGACACAGGTTGTTTGATAGTCAAACGCGATTGTTGAAACTTAGGAGGGATATGAAAGAAATTATTATATTCTGGATAAATGTTGGGTTGAGATGACTATTTGGGTATCACCACTCTAACCAAGGCCTCTTTAACAGTGCTCGGAGGTACTCGTTGCATTTCTGATAATTTAATTAAAAATATTCATTCTAATAGAGGTGGTAATTCTGAACGGCAAGTGGGACACTGCATTTTGATGTCGATCCAACTACGAAGACAAGAGGGATGGAACCAATGATTACAAGGGGTTTGCATGGCTTGTTTGAGTATCAGTTTTTCAGTGGGGACTTCTGCAGTAAAGGGGTCTTCCATTAAGGAGGTCAAACAGATTGCGCATTCTTCCTAGGGAAATGAGAAAATGATTGGTACATGCTCATCTTATATATTCAGTTATCTGTAATAATTGTATTGTTTTGGCAGGAAACATTTAGGGATGAATGATCTTGGACCCAATTTGAATTGGATGTAAAGGACAATAATTTGGAGTAGGTACTCACTCAAATAGATCATGCAAAAAGCTAAGGAGGGTTCAAGGCCATACAAGTTACTTGGACATCCTCTGTTGTAGATCTAAAATATGATAATAATATACTTAGTAGAACATACTTGGAACCAAGATACCAAAAACAAAATAAGAGATGAATTTAGGGTTGTTACCAAGACGAATATTATGGATAATTTGTGGGAGTAGAATTAAGCCAGTTAAACAGATGAACCAATTGTAATTGGAAAGGAAGTACATCAATACAAAATAGATGATGAGACTGAAATCTAATTTAATTTAGAGTGGCTTACAGAATTAAACAAAAAAGTAGGTGATTGCTCTTCTCATTCGTTGTTGGTCGAACAGGTCTTCTAAGTGTCGGCTTCTCCATACTATCCAAATCAACTTCATGTCACAGGTGGTTGCCAATAAGAAGTAAAAGAAAGCAGGTAAGATGAAGTATTAGAAGTATTGCTAGGGTTGATTACATATTTTACATAATTAATTAATGCTTTATAGAGATTTTGAAGACAGATGTAGGAATCTTGAACAGTCAAAAAGCCAACTGCAAAAAAGGAGATCTAACATTAATTTGATAGGTTTTACTTTGTTCGAGTCTTCCACATTCTCAATTAAAGCTTTGCAGAGTTTTGTGACGAACAAGAATTAAGTAAAGCATATCATCACTGACATTGCACAATACATAATAATCCTTAATAAATAGTTTGTGGTGTCTAGAGTCAGATCCAGTTCAATATCAACGTCGCAACTTGAATCCAATGATTTATTATAAGTTTGCAAATGAGCTTTGATCTTAGCATGTTCCTTATCGTAGTTTTCACCTTCAAATTCGATATTGACAGTATATGCTATTTCACATTTCTCTCTCGAATAATGGGTTCTCCTGAATTTGTAGGCCGCAGAATAGTTCAAGACACTGATGTTCTCGAATGAACTAACATTAAATCACTCTTTACATATCGCTCTCTGTGTAATTGGTCAATTTAAATATGCCGAATACCTGTCTCTATTCTTGATATTTGGGATTCAACAACTAAAACTCGAATCTGTCGATGAGATCATCACTATTTTGTTGTGAGCTATTTGGCAAGAATATCATATAAGCATCTCCCTATTCAACTGTCAAGTATTGGAATTATTCTTCCTTTTTCGTTGATGTCCACAATCCCTTGTATTCATACCCATACAGAATCTTAGACAAATCAACAATATTTTATGGACGCTCCCCGAGTCCTACAACTAATTGCAACAAAAATATGCATAACATTATAAAATTATTTATAATCTAATCTTCCCCTTTATTCACACCTATATAATTTAAATTTCAAATAAATGAAAACAATCTCAGAAAACAAGTCATTTGTTCAACACATCAAACAAAAACAAGACGAATTCAAAGTATATTACATACATATCCAAGAAAACCCTTCAATTCCCTGCCAAAAAAGAGCCCCTCCTCCTCCAATAACCTAATTTTAACTCACTCACCTCACCTAATCAACGAAGAGAACAAACTCCCAATCAGAGAAAAGCCAAAATTGAAAGTACTCATCTCTTGTAAGTAGGCGAAAACTCATGCTCTCCTACTCTCTTTCGCACTCCGCAAATCAGTTTGCATTATGAATACAACAAAAAGGGGGCTCATTAGAGATAACCTAGTAACAATAGAAGTCGCAATGAAAATATCTCCACTGTCAAAGAAAGAAGAGAACATAATGCCGATTCTGTTACTAGGGATTACTCCAAAGTCCTAGAAGAAGTCATGAAAAAATATCGCCTACTCAAAACAGAATTACTTACCAAAGACAAAGAAGTCCAAAAAACACAATTCTATAAAGACGAATGGCTTAAAGAAAAGGTATGAACTCCTTCTATTTATTCTATCTAGAAACGCAATGAAATCCTCTAAGACAGAAACAAGAATTTGAAAATGAAAATGCTCAAAATCATAGAACTAGTCCAACAAGATTAATTACAATCAAATTTTGAATCTGAGGTACTTTTATATTTGTATCGTGATAGTTAATAGGGTATCATTGCTAGTCTTTAGACAGAAAATAAATATTTACGTTAGATGTTGCACCTATATGATGTGACTGATGTTTCTGAATAACTCCAATAACTCGAAAGCGAACAAGATCAAGAGGTTGATTACATAGACAACATTCTTAATGTATTCTTAGGCGATCTCAGAACCATTGAGAAAAACAGAAAAGAAAAGAAAGACAACTCATAACTAGGTTTTTATTTACGATTATCTGTAGCCCAATTTAGTTCCTTATCCTTAACAGTACTTAACAAAGAATCCAGTTTCGTTGATTTATCAGAAGATAAATTGTTAATGGAATAATAATGAAGTATTAAATAGCATTTTTATAATTAAACTAAAATAAATTCTTTATTCGTTTCAATTTTAGGATAAGTTTTACAATTAAGATATTAGTCAATAATTGTTTCCAACAATTATTAATAAAATAATCAGAGTATTTAGTTACTCTTAAGATTTTGTTAGACAAATTATTTTGTAAATCCAATATCAATCACCCTCTAAAACTCAATTAGTATAGAAATTAGAATAAATATGATTTTATAACAACTAATATTAAATGATCACTTCAAGATATATATCAACATTATAATAAGTATGGCAAAGTATTATATTTCAAGTTTGACTTGTAGTGCTTGTAGGTAGGGGTTCTTTACTTTTATTATGTAAATGATCTAACTGGCAACGTTTTGTTGGGAGATTAATTAGTTTGAATGGTCATTATTCTTGGTCTAGGCTTAATATATTTGATGGTATGTTTTTATTTAATTTATTTTAATAATATTCCTAATCAATAAATATTTTACATACCTTCATATTTAGTAAAAGAGTCTATATCTCGAAACAATTAATTATACTATATTTTTGAACCCTTGTGTATCTCTTTAAATACATTTTCAGTCTCTTTGTCCTTTGTAATGTTAAATTATTTCTCATTGAAACCAAACTCTTATTTTTTTTTCTCATATTCACTGTTTAAGAAAGTAGTGTATTACTTAACTACATCATCATTTATGGAATCTATCAATTGTAGCGGGTTTAAATGTTTTGAATTTAACTTTTTATCCTCAACAACAATATTTTAAAAGCTGACATTTTATGCATCCACAAAGTAATAATGCCTTAATTTCTCTATGCTCCATTTGAAGATCCCATGTGTTATTTTAATATTCCTTACTTTTTCAAGAAAGTGAATTATTTTGTAAGTGTAATATTAACACAATGACTCTTAAGTTAAGCTTCTTTCATATTGATCTTCCTCTTCATCTGTGATAAATTGAGATGAAGCAATAACAATGTCCTTTGTCAAGATACCTACTTCAATGTATGCTCGTTTGTATAAATTTGTGGAATCATCTAATTCTGCAACATATAGAACTCTTTGATCCACCAAATATTATGACTGCAAATAGAATATTTCCTTCCAAATTGTTTCATTTCTTCTTTTATTGAGTAGAATGTTCAATTCAAAATCTGTCATCATTTAAAGATTCTAATCGACATATTTGCAAATGCAGCCATTTTTAGGCATCAATGCTTTCAGTCTATAATGTGGTAAATTCCTGAGTTATTTATATTGACCATTAAGATTTGTTCTTCTTTACGAGATGAACAATTCTACTTCACCTTAATTAAAAATAGAGATCTCAGGAATATTGAATCTGAATGTCTTGTGACTCTGAGGCTATAGGGCTTTTAGAATTTGTGTATAGGTAAGATGCTGTGATTAATGTTAAACAATTAGAGTCTCTCTTGCAAGTTCATCATTCATTTAATTAATAATGTAATTTCCAGATAAAACTGTTAATATTAAAGATCGTTCAAAACAATCTAAATTATGAAGAAATTAGTAAGGCAACCGATATCCAGAGGATCCACAGTTATCCATTCATTAATATACCTTAAGAAATAGTTGACTAAATGCCTTTTATATCATTTTAGATTATAATTACTGGTTTAAAATACAATCAAATAATATTTATGGTAAAATATATTACATTATAAATTAGTTAGATTTTATTATATTTAAATTAATTGTCACTATAATTTAGACAAAAATAAGGACTCAGAGACTGAATGGATAATTTAATAATTAGACTTTCAATAATTTGTGAAAGAATTATTATAAATTTTCCATTGTAAAAATAAGCAAATTAAGATATATTTAGATAGAATTGTATTAACTATTTCGTTAGAATAACAAAGATTTTAATCTGGAAAAAGTTCACACTTTATACATTTTTCGATTCAGTTTCAGATCTTAGAATATTTCAGAACAAATTAGTCCTCTTTAAAAATAAATTCTTTCTGGTAATTATGTTAATTAAGTCCAAATATTTAATGATTGATATATTTTTAGAGTCCTGTATTTGAAGTGTCTATTGGCAAATATTTTTCAAAATAATAGTTGTTTTTATCTATAATACTATGAATTTGATATTTCTTATAAAAATCTCCAATAAAATAATAATTTATCTACTATGATTCATCAAATTATTAGATGTCAAGCTTGAAATCATTTAAAGCATAAATATTTTCGAGCTCAAATATTATTATTTCATCATTGATAAAATAACTTTGTTTAAAATATTACCTTAATTTAATTTTAACATGTTTTTGAACTAATTCATCTAGAGGAATATCATTATAGTCATACATTTCCATATCGTCATCCAACTATATTTTTATCTGTTTTTTCAAATAATGTTTAATCTCCTTACTCTGATACATTGCAAATTGGAATTTTTCGATAGAATTTTAATTGGGTACTTCATTTGGATCGATTGATTTTACTATAATACCTTTGCCAGTTTAAAACTCTTATATTTATCGAAGATCATATGGTTGAATTTCTGTTCCATCTATAAAAAAAGCCAATGGACGAGCAATTTTGAGTTGAGGATTTTAAAATAATTAGACTAAAATATCATGAAAAACACAGGATATTGGAGTAGTTTGAAATTATTCTATAAATAGTTCTATTTTCTTAACTTTCAACTCCACATGTACTTTATATATTCTTGTATTAAAGACTTTTTATTGGGTTTGTTTTTCTCTCATCTAGAGTGTGCAATTGTTTGTAAAACCCAAATCTATAAGAGATCTTGAGTCATTTAGTTATAACTCAAGATCATTTCCCAGTTAAGCTTTTAATTTAATATAAAAAGGGTAGGATTGAAACTATGCTTCCTATTTCTGCGTATATTTCATTTGCTATTTCAAGCATGACCTTCTTAAATGGCAATTCAGGTTCAATTTCACATTAAAGAGTAATATTTTGGGATCTTAGACTTACAATAACGTAAAAAGTGATCGTTGATTCATTGATTTTGCTTTGTTGTGAATATGAACCTTAAAGCATTTTAATTTTCTTTATTTTTTATACAAATAATATACTTTTGATTAAATAAATTTTAGTTTGAGGAAGAGTATAAAATAAATATATAAAATACAATTAATAAAATAATGTTTGATGAAGATTATTATCGAAGATTAATAGTTTAATCATCAAATTAATCAATGAGAACAATAAATACTGATAGACCATGGTATCCTAAGATGAAATAAAAACCTGCAGTGAGGCCTTTGTTTAGTGAAGATTTTAAATTTTTTGTATTACCTCCTAATAAGATGATTTCATTATTAAAAAGACATAAAATAACAATTCCAACAGATGAATAGATTAGAGAATTTCTTAGGAATCATTCTTTGAAGAATATCGTAAATTATGGAGTCAAACTGCAGAGTAGTACAGAAATAAAAGTGCATCCTCCTTCAGTGATCATTCAAAACCCAAGAAAGAGGGCAAATACTAAATAATAAATAAACATTAATAAAAAGACAATGAATATCTTACCTATTCGTAATGTAACAGAACCCAGTAAACATTCTACTTCCCAATACAAACCTTCATGTCAAAAAACTTTCAGAATGTATAGGAGTGACTATTGTGATAAGGATGTTTATGGGATGTTAAAGAAATTGAACTTTTCGCCTATGCAAATGGATGAATCACCAAGACAAACCAAGGAAGACACGAACTTTAACACTTTGCCATCCTAAACATATGTAAAACCGATAGTACCTAAAAGTGTATTACCTTATCCTCCTCGGTCAAAGAAACAGCTTCGATAATTACTGTTGAGAGCCATTAACAAGATCAAGAAATTGGGCCTGACTATTAAATATGTGATGCAAAATAAGATATTTTCAAAGAAACCATATGAGAAACCACTTTCAAAACAATTTATTCATGCAGCCAAAAAGAATCAAATAGATGAAGTCTCTAACTTTCTATCAATCAATCCTTATCTTGTTTTTGATTTCGATTTTTATAATATGACTGCTCTTCACTGGGCCTGTAAAAAAGGTTATGTACAACTAGTAGAATTGCTTTTGTAATACCATTCCGATGTTGATGGAGTTGATATCTTATACAGAACACCATTAATATTATCTATTGAGGAAAACCATTTGGAAATCACTCATATTCTATTGGCTCACGGTGCATATCCTTGGAGTACTGCTATTACTGATTTGAAAACTGTCTTAGAATCTAATGAAAAGGCTAAAAATCTCTTGACTAAAGTTAGAAGGGTAACATCTATTCTCATTATCTATTTTAGTTGCAAATTATGGCCAAATGGACTTAATAAAAAGATTACCTCAGTTTAATATGATCTTAATTACTTGTTATTTATAAAAAAAAAATATCTAATAATAGTCACAACTTCCTTCTGCGATATGGAACTGGAGAATAACTTCTAGATATAGCAAACCATTTTTTTCGATTCTCAACTATTTCGATATGCTTGCGAAATTCCTTCATTTAATCCTTGAAGTTATAGAAAGGTCTTCTGTCTATTTACGCCAATCTTTTTAGTATCAAGTGGTTGGCTTCCGAAATCTCAACCGAATTAGGGTATTTCCAAGGTTTTAAGGCTTTCATAATAATTATTTTTATATATAATTTTAGTTGTGCACTTGTATAAATACATAAAACAAAAAAATCTATTGAAATGCAATATATTTAAGATATTACAATAAATCATCATGCAATGTTTAACCTTAAACTACATTATAACAAATTAGGAGATGGAAGAGTTACAGAATATTAAAATAATGTTCTTGAGACTAAAAATGTTGCTATTAGACAAAAACAACTATAAGAATTTATTGTAATGTTGGTATGGAATTAGGGAATGGTGATTTAAATATCTTAATAATTTATAATATAGAAATTCACTTGGTGTATTGATAAATAAAATAAAAAAGATAAATATCCCCTAAAAGAGTAATGTTCTATTATTCGTATTAAATGGTGAACATTTGAGATTAGAGAAGCAATACATTCTGATAACATAATTCCTTGAAGTTCATTAAGGTTCACTGAAAGCAATAAAATATTAATCTAAAAATATAATATATGACACTTAAAATAGAAATAAAAATTATAAATTTTAGTAAATAATTTTATATCAAATATAATATAATTTTGAAGAACTTTTGTGGATGTTCTGAAAAAGAAGTAATCAGCTTATATTTTAAGAGGAAATTTAAAATACTTCATTGATTTCTTTTAACTCCTTTTCTAAAATATGAGAGAGATGTAAAAGCAATTATTTATTCAAAATATTTGATATTTCTCTTTACCTATTGATGATATATATTTGTGTAATACATTTTGTCTTGTAAATAAATATAAATATTTATATTAATAATGTTATATGAACACTTAAAATAAGTATTTTGTTAGAAATAGAAAAAGAAGGAAAGTGTTGAATATATTAGTAAAATAGTGGCAGATCTTAGGTTTTTTAAAGAGAAAAGAGAAATATTTGACAGCATTTTGTATTATCAAATGTTGAAAAAGTTAAATTTAATTGAAGCAAAGTAAGAAGATGTTTTATTTCATTATGGTAAAGACATTGCAATAATTATTTAGGATCTAATAACGTTGAGTTGTTTTATATTATAATGTAGGGGAAAGTTGCGATCTTATGTCCGAAAAATAGAATGATAAGTCATAAATAGATTTTGGATGAATATCATTAAAGTGATGTTTAAGGGAGTCCAAAATCTTCAAATGACTCATTGAAAGATATTATCATATAATAGGCATATTCAAACTTTTTGGGAATGAAGAACCTAAAACAGTTTGATTAAGATGCAATTATAGATGAATATAATCATAATCCAAATAACTTTTAAGTTGATAAAGCATTGGATCAATTAATTAAAAAGAGATTTCCCAGCTTGAAGATTGTAAATATGTGTCAATAAGGTGATCAATTTGGAGAAATAGCATTAATAGGTCATGTAAGGAGAACAGCAACAGTCCTATGTGTGACTGATTGTTTACTCTTAACACTAACAAACAATGACTTTTAAAATATTCTATAGCAATATCATTAATAAGTAAGAAATGAAAAGATTCAATTGTTGAGAAATTATTCACTGTTTAGATAATTATCTGATGGTAAATTAAAAGGAATGATCGAACACATTATAGTCTAAAAGTTTTCTATATTTTCAGTGATATATTATGAAAACTCAATACCAGAGTATATTTACTTCATAAAGTCAGGAGAAGTTGAATTGCTTAAGGTAGTAAATAAGACTAAACAAATATCAATTTCTCTATTATAAGTGGGTTGTGTATTTGGACATTAAGATATTGGGCAATAATAATTTCGATAGTACAGAGCCATTTCAAAATCATGCTAATGTGAATTATATTTGATTCCTGTCAATATAGTCTTATAATTTGATTAACAAAATGAGAATAATCAAGCAGAGAAAGAGTTTCATTAATCTAGATTAAAGAGATTGTTGAGTGATCGAATGTCTCTTCATGATAGGAAAAAACAAAATGTGTCTCCGTAATCAATTGAGGAAAGATACAAGGGAGACAAAGATTATGAGTCTTTTCTAAGCTATGCATTTGCTACAAAGAGGTATAATAACTTTAATATAGAGTTCTTTCACCCAAGCATAAAAAACTCATTTCTGAGCCATTTGTTCCATTTTTTGAATTAAATCATTCTAAACAAAAGAAATTCAGACAACACACTTCACTCTCGAAAAACTAAAGTGTTGAAAAATAAACCATTCATAATTTAGATCATTTCTATAATTCTAAGAATTAATTAATACCAACTCAAGTTAATTATCATAGACATCTCTTCAGTCCAAGAACAACTAAAAGACATTTGGATACATTTATGCCATTTAAACGATTATGATCTATTCAAAATTATCTAAATATATTCACATTCAAACAAAACTATGAAATTCTAACTATAAATTGAGGTAATGAACTAAAAAATTAATAATATTATTAAATTTATATTAACAATTTCTAAATAACAATAAATCATTCATTTTTTTAACAATTTATGTCTTTTATAAATCTTTCTCATAATCACTGGAATTTATTTTGGTTAGTTTTCATTTTAGGTTTCATCTTCATTTAAATCTAATTCATCTTCATCTTCATCCATACTCAAATCTATTTCATCCTCATCTGAAAAGTTTCCTTTTTGTAATTCTTTCTCAAACAATTCATCTGCAAATGCATCTTCACTTGTTATGCTACTTTTTCTTTAAGGTTTGCTTTGCTATTTAAGTTAATTGTCCTATTATCTTTATTTTTCATATCTTAATTTAAATTATTCTTCATTAATCACAGATCCTGATAAATTAGATATTCTATTTGTGACTCTATTTTTTGCTTCTACAAATTTAGCCAAAAAGGCACTTTATGAATATTCCAAAAGAGGATTGACCTTCTATGAAATATTTTGATCTTTATCCAAAATCTATTTAGCAATCTATTGCGCTTTATTATGGTAATGTGAAGTAAATGCTCGGATTTCATTCAAAAAAGATGAGGCTCCAGAAAATAATGGATCTCTTTTGTAATATTAATACTCCAATTCTTCATTGGCCTCTTCCAACAATTATGGTAATTCTATGCACAGCTTTTGAACACAAATCAATGCTGTAATTGTAAATGATAGATTAGAATGCATTGATACTTATAGTAATCTCTTGATGATTGCTTTTTATCTCACAATTTCATTATCTTGTTTTATAGACAAAAATAACAAATCAAAGAATAACTCGGCTAAGCTCGTGTTTTGAATTTCCTAGGATAATAACTAAAAATGTATTATAATAATTATACAATCTCATAAAGACTTCTATAAAAGTGAGCATTGAGATCTGATATTTAATACACAAAATAGAGGGTTTAGATCTTTATTTTAAAGTTGTCTGATGTTGCAATTAGTTTATATATGAGTTTTTCATTTTCCTTATATAATTCTTTTAATTAATCTAAGAATGATTGTCCATATGGGAGAGTCTTGTTAATTCCTTTTAAAATCTGACTAAATAATTTAGAGCATTTTTAATCAGCTTGAGGAATCTTCATGATCTTTTTGAAAAAGATGAAGAAAATTTTAAGCATATAAGCTACAGTGCTGGTTTCTTGAGTTTATAAATTAATGGTGTTAATAAAATTAAGGCAATAGTATTAAGCTTCTTGAGATAAATTGGGTCGATACATGAATCCATAAGCCTCTTTTAAGAATGGATAAGTTAATGCAGGTTTTTTCTATTATTAATAAGAAATATTACTGATAATTCTCCTGAAAGCTTCTTTGTCAGTAAAGTGACTAAAGTTTTCTCTTTGTCACCGAATTTATTGACAAGTTCCTTGACTAATTCCTTTGTATAGATTGGATGAGCACAATGCAATTCAAGCATCATTAAAATAATTTGTCTTCGCACATATGGTAAAACATCTTCGGAAGCCTTGATGAGAACTTCACAGGTCTTTATTAACACTTAGTTAATTCCATGCCAATAATATTTCTATAATTCATCGGTTAGGTTGGATTCTTCAAAATTGCATGGAACACCTCTCTTTAAAATTAAATGAACAAATAAATCCTTTAGTTAAAATAAGGCTTTTAAGCTTTTCTCCCTTGAAGGTAATGCAGCCTAAACATATTATAAACGGGTATACAATTTCTAATAGCTTATTTAAGGAGCCTAATGCATGATCTGGGTTTTCTTTGATTGATATTGACAAGGCCGATATTTTATCTGCAATGGTTCCTGAATGAAGTAATTTCTGCATCAATTATGTATCAGAGGCTGGCTTATCCCTCCTTATTTTCTTCTCCTAATACTCATATAGTTTTTAGGCATGATTAAAAGAATCCTCAATTTTTTTTACCATAATTTATATTAATTATGGAATCGGGTCGATTGAGTAAATCTATCAAATTTGAATTTGAGCGAGAATAAATCAAATAAAAGGCTAAACTCCTATCCATCATAGATAAAGAGTTGTAATCAATCAAAGAAAAGCTTGCCACTCAAGTCCTTGAAGAAAATAACAATATACTTAAATACAATCTTCAATTACTCTAACTGGAAAAAAAAAATGCTGAAAAACATGATATAATGGTCGAATAAGAACTGATTTTAAGACAACAAGCTACAATAATGCAGAAATCTTTATTGGTTGAAACCTAAAAGGATTAAAAGGAAATTCAACAGATCAACACGGAGCATCAAGAGGAGATCAACGTTACATAAGATTTAATTGTTGAAATAGAAGGGTTAAAAACAAGAAATTTATATTTATCTCAAAAATTATCTTAATTGCTGTTCTACTTTGTAGATTTGGAATTATACGATAGCGAATTTGCAAAATAAGCTGCACTCGATGATTTCCCCATTGATTAACTTTACAAACCTAGCTTGCCACAATCAATGAACTTATTTTTGAATTTTGAAAACAATGAGAAACAAAAATTTGAAGCAAATATTAAATAGAAAGTATCTTTTTTTAATATCATTTGGAAGTCTTGCTAAAGTAGTAAAAAGTATAAATTGAACAGTTATAACAGCAAAATAGGAAATTGAAGAAACAAGTATTTTTTTTAGACCAAAGCACAGAGATAAAAACTGATTAATAAAAAAAGTCAGTATTCACATACGAAGACGAACACTTAGATGATTAATAGTACATAGAATAATTGTTACAACTAAAAAGAGTAAATATTTACATTTGAGATGATAGGATACACAACCTAAATGCAAGACATTGAATGATATCATATTGAAAAAGAGAAAACATAGTTTTGATACTGCATAGCCAGTATTAGACTTTTATAAATTGAACAGAAGACTAATAGCAGAGAGATTCCAACAGCCATCAATATAATTTGTAAATTACTAACAATTTAGAATTCACTCATAGTCAATTAAACATTAATGAAGTAGTATTATTTTTTTAATTAATTTAATAATAATGATGCTTTTATAATCTTATACTAATCTTTTAGATAGTAGTTCTTATCATATATTATATTGTTTATCATAGACAAATAGAACTTGAATGTTTTCTAGGTTATTTTAATTGGTTATTAAAATTATTTCTTGATTAATAATGGGAGGAGCTTTTGGAAAAAGGAAAGTTTAAGTATTGGTAGTCGGTTTGGATAATTCTGGGAAAACAAGTATCATAAATGCTCTGAAAAATGAGAAAAATGCAACAGTGGCACCCACAGTTGGTTTTAATAAGGATTCTGTAGAGAAATTTAACTTGAACTTTTAATTCTCTGATATGAGTGGGCAGAATTAATATAGAGGGATGTGGGAATAGTACGCAACAAAAGTATTAGAAGATTGATATAGATAGATTGATGGTCTTATTTTTGTAATAGATTCATCTGATAAAATCCGATTTGGCATAGCCCTTGATGAATTCAAATTGCTGTTGGAGACTCCAGGATTCAGTAAAGACCTGCCGATTCTTGTGTATGCTAATAAATAGGATTCTCCAGATGCACAAAATCCATAATTTTTTATTGATTATTTGGAATTGAAGTAGTACAAGAATCCTTCTTAATGCTTTGGAGGAAGTGCTAAGACTGGAGTTGGTTTGGATTAAGGTCTCGAGTGGTTAAGTGCGAAGATTTAGCAGGTCAAACCAAAATGAGATGCTTTTTATTCAAATTTTGGATTAATATTTTACATTACTAATCATCTTGTATAAGTGTTTGAGTGTAAAACTAATTTCTTGATTGCTCATTATTCTAAAATGAGAAAGCATAAAATTAAAAGTTGTCGTTATAAATTTAAATATAAATGATAGACAGTGAAACATTCTTTGCAAAATACTTGTTGTCACCAAGACTCCAACATACTGAATCTGACTAAAGACTTATATCCCTGAATGCTGCCCAAATTAGATTATCTCCAGATAGAAAGATAAAATCCTCTTTTCTTTAGGATGAAATGTCATTCACTTCTAAGAATTCTTAATTGCTCAGTCAAACCATCAGATCACTTCTCAAAAACAGTTGGGACTTTGTTGAAACTGTTCGAGAGAAGAACTTAATTGATCCTCATTTACAATATCATTTAAGGAAATTCAAAAATGATCATGAAAGTGTCAGCGACCTTGTAAACAGAAAGGTTTTCGACAATATCGAACATCTCAACTAATACAAGGATTAGATTAATTCTTTGTAATAGGAAATAGTTAACTTGAATGAAAAATGCAAACACAGAAAAGTATGTTTGAAAAAATTGAATGATATTTTAAACAGGAAAGATGATGAACTATTGCAATTGAATCAATAATTACAAACATTTTAAACAGAAAATTAAGCATTAAAAAACCAACAAGAAGAACTAAATTGTTAAAACATCCAATTAATTGAAGAACTATAAAATGTAATTAGTTCCTCGTAACAAACCATCAATTAACTCAATTTGAAGATCAGAGAAGGAGAAACTCATTATGAATAATTAAAATCAGATAAAGATTAAGAAATATAAAATCAATTAAGTTAAACTGATAAATTAGAAGAAGAGTACGATTCCCTCAAATTGAAACTCAAGAAACAAGAATCTTAAATAGGTCTATTAATTGAAAAAAACTAAGAACAAAAATTTGAAATTGAATCTCTCAACACCTCGTAAATCTAGAATAAAGATTAAATCAAATTAAATGAAGCTGAAATTAAGAGATTAAAAGATTTATGTGCATTTTAAGAAGAATAACTGAACTAATATTGTACTCAACAAACATAGACTCTATTGCAATTTACGTAAAGATAAAATGAATTGACACAACAGTTTAATTAGAAACAAAATGAATTATTATCATAAATTGCGTAGTAAGAAAATGAAAAAGCAGAATTATAAGGAAAACTTACTACATTTATTTAAAAGGATGCTTAATTGCATCAAAAAATCTAGCAATTTGAGGATAGTTAAACTGAACTTGAATAAACTAAAAACTCATACTATGAAACAATACAATAATAAAAGAAATAAATCACACTATTGACATCACAATGTTAATAATATCTTTCAGAATTGGAAAATAATCAAAATGAATAGATTATCTAACAACTACAAAATCAGTTATCGTAATCTAAAGTTACTATTAACGATTTAAACAATAAAATTAAAGAAGAGGAATAAAAGTTAGAAAAATTGAAACAACAAAAGGATGATGACATTTTTGCACAATTAAACCAAATCTACAAGTTAGAAGAAGAATTGGATACTCTAAAATAAAAATTAAAGAAATCAGACTCCTAATTAGTCATTACATCTGAAAAGAATCATGAACTTAAAGAGGAAATTGAGTCATTGCATGCTGAGTCACTATCTTTGAAGGATTAGATAAAGCTTAATGATTTAGAACTTAAAAGATTAAAAGACTTAACTTTAGTTTAAGAGGAATAATTAAAGATGTATTGCAACTAATAAGCATAAACTTATTAATAGTTTAGTGCCAGATAAAATGAATAGGTTCAATAATTTAATACAAAGTAAAATGAATTGTTAGAGTAGATTGCTACTTAATAAAAAGATTATGCTGATTTATAAGGAAAACTATCATAAATTATGTAAAAAGAGATTCTATCCCATTAAAAAATTAAAATTCTAGAAGATTAAGTAAATGAACTTGAAGAATTAAATAAGAATCTACTTGAAACAAATGCAAAATAGAAAAAGCAATTAAGTAATCTTAATTAAGTGTGTTAATAAAATGACGCTTAACTAGAACAATAATAAATTGAAAAATAGAATTTAGATGAAGCTATTCAATAAAATAAATAAAAACTAAAATAATTTGAAGATAAATTAAACTAATCTAATTTAATTATTATGTAATATGAATAATAACTTAATGATTAGCAATTGTAATTATCTATACTTAATTAAACTCAATAAGAATTGCAATAATATTAATAAAAAGTCTAAATTTTAAACAATAATTTGGATGAATCAAGAGTTTAAGCAGAGACTGTATAAAAATAGAAGGAGGATCTTGTAGTACAACTTTAGAATACTCTACATGCAAATAGTTAATTATAATAATCCAATAAAACACTTGAATAGCAATAAAAATTGATTGAAAATAATTATTCAGGTTTGACTTAAGAGAATAGAAGACTTTAAAATTAATTAAGTGAATCTATTTGTGTAAGTAAATAAAAGGAACTTGAAAATTAAGAATTACAGAAATTAAATGAAACTTTTAATTAATAAATATCCTAATTATAACATCAATATACTCAATTAGAATAATCATATCATTAAATAGAATCAGACAAAAATGTGATTAATTAATAATTGAGTGATAATTCCCACTTCTTAGAGTAATCAATGGTAGAAAACGAAAATAAATTAACAAAATTATAGACATAAAATTAAAACTTGAAGGAGGAAATAAAATAGTTAAAAAAAAATTAGAATGAAAAAGAACACCAATTTGCATAGACAGTTAAACAATATCATTAAAAACATTAAGGTATAAAAATATTTTATTATTTTAGAACATAATACAAAAATGAGTGAGATCAATAAATTATTAAAAGAAAGAAATGAAGAAATATAAAAAATGAAGTTGTAAATGGATGATGCTTAGATAAAATCGTAGTTACTTAAAATGAAAGGTAAATTAAAAATATAATTTAGATGAAACATATAGAAGATTATTAAATAGAATAATAAAATCAATTGATCCATTTTGTGATACAAAAAAAATTACTGATGTAGATACTCTACTTGAAACTGCAGTTGAAAAGGTTCAAACTCTTGTTAAACTCAAAAGAAGAAATAAAGAAAATGATGAATTTTCTTTAAATAGTTAAAAAGAACCATTTAATTTGGAATTGTCTCAAATAGTATAAAATTGATTAAATTATCAAATAAAATTCATTTCAATTAAGAATTAAATTTATATTCTTCAAAAAATGTAATTACATTCTTTTTTTTAAATTATTTGTGATATCTTATATTTTACATATTCTATTTGTACGAACTATTTTTTGAATAATAATTAAAATTTATAATCACTTGAATACTATGCTAAATATCTTTTTTATAAATTAATATTAAATTAGTAAATAGCAGTTTGATGTTTAAAAAAAGTTTTGAAAAATAAAAATTGTGGCAATTGCTCAATAAAGAAGAGAACTGAAGATTTTAAGTTTGATTTAATTGCTTATTTGAGCTTAGTATTGAGAACATATTATAGAAAATCTCTAAGTCCGACCTTTACATCAATTGGGAATCACAAATGACTGTAAATTTTAAATTAAAAGTAAATCAAAATGAAAAATATTTGTAACTGATAGCTAATCTGAATTTTTATATTTATAATTCTAAGTTTTTAAAATTATTATTAAGAAAATAGAAATATATCAAATAATTATTCAATATCTATATATATATTATTGAATATATCTTATTTTATTGCTCTGGTCGTTGAAATTTCAACAATTCAATCTTTTTGTGCTAATACGTAGTTTATAAATTATTCTATAGTTTTTAAATATTGAAAATTAAATAAGATAGTAAATTATAATGAATGTGAGACAAAAATTTGGTTAGTCAACTCCACCTAACCATGGATCATAAAACCAATATTCTTCAATTAATTAGGTAAGCAAAATGCATGATAATTTAGCCATGTAGTTAAGACATGTAATAAAATCAAGTGTAAATACCTCAGAACAGTGGATACTATTCAACTATTCCAATGCCTCCACCTGCTAATCCTCAATTAATTAGTCCATAATATTAGGTTATAAATCCCTAACATTAACAATATATTCCAGAATAAAATTTTACTACTTACCACTAGAATCTATAAAATAATTATTAACCAATCTATAAAGAAACTGCAGTTTTTGGATAAGCTAATAATTAAATAGGTTACGATAGTGGCCCAGACATCTATAAATCAGCAGATACATATCATTAGAGCCATAAACATTATAATTATAAACAACCTTTTTAAGTGGAAAGCGTTATCCTGCCTACTAGTGAAGTTATATAATAAACAAAAGAGTATTAATACTCTTCAGTCATTTTGAAAACAGGTGAACTTTCAAATACATAGACTTCATAAATATTAGAGAACATTAAAATAATTTCTAATTCTTAGATTAAAGATATGGAAATAAGCTCAAAAACTCACAATATGATTACAATCTAAGAAAAGTCTAATGAATTTCTAATTTAACCTTTTGATGAAAGTTTGAAAAAGGAGAAACAGAAAAATAAATAATTGGTAATTATTGTTGTTTATCTTAGATTAACTAGAATCTATTAGTAATTTAAAACAAAAATACAAACATACCTAATTTTGAGAGTTTAGAAAGGTTATGTTAAATGCATGAAAAGCCAATTGAAAAAATATGTGCTGAAGAGGAGTGCAAAGAATTGAATGAAATATTGTTGTGTTAAGATTGTGCTAGAGAACATAAAGGACACAATCTATTCGACATTCCAGAAGCATTATTTTTAATACTAAAAAATTAATAAAACCTAGAAAAAGACGATTAATTGATACAAGTTATTTAATAAAAAGCTTAGGAATAATTTAAACATATAAAATAAATTATCACTTGGTAATTAACTCAAATTGAAGAACAATTGCATAATGGGATTGATAATTTTAAAAATTACCTTTTGGAGAAAAAGAGCGCCTATCAAAAAGCCTTTGACGATCTTAAATAAGGAGGTATAAGCAAGATGACTGAATAAGCAAATTTGCTTTTTGAGTAAGGCTTATTCAAAGAAATCAATTTAAATTAAAATGAATAGGAATATCTTAAATTATCAGATGAATTAAATAAGGTAAAATAATCCATGCATAAGTTCTTGTAATTTTTTGAAGAGAACGATTAAGAGCATACATTAATCAAACTCAATAATGTAGATTTATATGTTGAGAGTTAAAAAATAGACGACCTCAATTCGCTCTATTATTAAATAAAAATCGATTCTTTACATCAGAAATTTACAAATATTCTAGATTAAGAACTTCTACTATTGTAAAATAATAAAGCTATAAGATTGAAAGAAAATTATTAGAAAATTAATCTAAAATAATAAGAGAACATTTAAATTGTTTCATATCAACAGATTTGATTATCAAATAAATATCAAAATAAAAACCAAATTTTACAACTTTAATATAAAATATAATATTTTTCCAATTCAGGTGAAAACTGAATTCTTTCTTTTTTTTGCGCTTAAAAATGAATTAAAATAAATATGGAAATAAAGTCTATACCAATTTGTTTGTTTAATATAAATTTAATTGCACTAAAAATTACTCTAATTAAAAAATCATAGTTTTTATTTATATGCTCCTAAGAAATATATGATAATTTGAATAGCATAAAATAATAATATCATCTTTTTCTAATATTGATTATATCTTTTTTATCTATCTCACTTTTTACAATGCTTTATTTTTTAAAAAAGTTTTGTTATCAATAAAAATTATCAGTAAACTTAGTTGGTTATATAGCTTCATTCATTTACTAGCAATAGAGAAACAAAGTTATAATTATTTTCTTATTGATAATTAGTTGTTTATGTTATGAATAAGAATAATTATATAAAATTTTTAGGAAAAATACCAAGTTCTTAATAAATTAAATAATGAAAGTTAATGCTATTGTTAACCAATTAAAAAATATAAAAACTAAAAATAAATCATTAAATGGAGTAAGTTATATAGAAAAAAATTTAAGCTTATTCGCGAGATGATTGCAGATTTAGAGAAACCAGAAGTGAGCAAGGAAATACTTGAAAATCACACCATAAAACTGATCAACAATACCAAGGAACAAGATTTGAAGGTCATTCTTTAATTGTTGATCTAAATACAGCATTTAAATAAGTTAAATAACTTAGATGAGCATATTATATTGTAAGAAAATTTATATAGATTGAAAATAGATTGATAGAAAGAAACCAAAAATAGAATAGCTACCATGCTTAAATCATTTAGTTATTGCATACACTTAAGGAAAATGTTTCAATATAAAATTTACCATACACATATAGATTCCTAAGAATATGTTATAGAATAAAGTAATTATCAAATAATAAAATAATTATTGTGAACATACAAGTATTGAACGATGAAGTGCTTACTCAGATTGGGTAATCATGCAAAGGTTATTTGATGAATAAGCAAGAGACGGAAAAAAATATTTTGGCCATATTAAATTTTTTTATGAGAATAGCAGATGGTTCTTTAGACACAGATTTTGATGATGCTTATGCACTCAGGGCATTGAGTCTGATTTTAGAGGAGTTCTAAAAGTTGAAGATATTGCTGGACATCAAAATAGCAGAATTAATTAATTCTAACTTAAGTGCTTTGCTAAAGAGTAACCTCAATAAACCAACTTAATCAATACAGAAATGTAATCAATTCATGCTAATATAGTGTAAAGTATTTTCAAGTTGATTGAAATCCTATTGTTGGGGAATAGCTGTTACTTTTTTGATTTTCTCGATACACTCAAGAAACACTTGTTTACCGAGTGCCATTCTATATAAAAATAACTTTCTTACTAGACAATAGTGAATTGCACAGATGCTTTCATTGAATATCTGGGGAATGAGAAGTATAAAAATGAAGTTGTAGCATTTTACACTGAATTAACAAAGCAAACATAGATAGATAACATCAACATTCCCCACAAGTTGAAGTAGATACATGAAGTGGTTGGACATTTCATTTAATTAGAAAATATTTATTAGGAGTACTCAGATAATAAATAGATTCTTAAATTTATTGCAGAATTCAATTTACGGTTATCCTAATAGATGCAGAAACCTCAATTGCTATTATAAAAACAAATTAAAAAGTGTATGAAGAATCTATTAAGTAAGATAGAGTTTGAATAAGTTAGCCAAACTTATTACAATTACATATAAGTTATGGATTCTGATGTTAGGAACTCAATGATAATTCACTTGATTGAGCAGAATCAGATTGCGTTTGTGACGTAGCTATTATATTAATTGAATGATATATCTACAAGCACTTGGCAAAAGTATATTCAATACTATTTGAAGATCAAGGAGTCGAATGAATAATTAGAATAGCTAATGAAATAGTTGTTATTGAATGAGAAATTGTAGCAAATTGAGGTACTTCTCTTTAGTCTGTTTTCTTGCAAATGCTATTAACTTATCATCTAATTATGTAATATTCATTATAATGCATTGTAATTTGATTTGGTATTGTAGTTTCTGTATCAAGAACTTATGAATGATATTGAGTAGCAACACACAGTTGAATTAATATGTTCGTTAATTATTTTGATATAGGAAAGATCAAACTACTTCTAATTCGATTATATGTTGAAGATGATACAACTGAAGAATCACAATGAATTGCTGCTGCATTATCTCTAAACAATAGCAAATAAGGTCGGAATGGATCAATTGTTAAGTCTATTAACTTAATGTCTACCTTCTCAGTTAATCTCGACAATCCTGTATGATTGTGTTTAGACGAAAGAGATTGATGAATCCGATTTGGACTTAATCCTATACATTCTATAGAAATAAGATGTTATTGATGATCACTTTATAGCGTATTTAATAGACATGATCGCAAACAAAGAGGAATATGCTGTTACTCTTTTCAATATCATATCATAAAAGAAGGTTCCAGTGAAATTAATATTTTATATTGGACAATAAATTTAGAATTAGAAGTATTACAACAAAGGCACAAACCAACAATTGCAATTCAACCATTAGGTGGACATAAGCTATTTGTATGAGTTATGTCAATTCACATACGGTGCTGGATAAATAGATGCCAATTTCATAGAGAGTTAATTGCCGTACTTTGAAAAGTTGATAGAAACTCAACAGAATGAGTTACTGGAAGAGGTTACCAGAGTAATTAAGTTCTACCTTCAGAACTTCCCAACTTAACAATGTTTGATTAAATTGATTTCAAAATACGAGTATCTATACAATCATGGGAATTCCAATCTCACTTAGACATTGATTCAAATAGTACCTGATTTGAAGATAATTTTGAGTCTTTTGGAGAAGGATGACTAATAATTTTAATAATTCGAAAACAAATTGGATAATCTACACTAGTATGCTGAATTTGCAGAATACATGGAGAAGCATTAGATAGATTTGAATTCTAATACTGAAAGTATTGAACTAAGACCTAAGATTTAACTCTCTGAATTAGAGTAACAATGATATTTGAAAAAATATTTATTTATTAATGTCATATAAAATTTCATTAGTAGGTTTGGAGGGTAGTGGAAAGACCACATTAGCTAAGGTGTTGAATGATCAGCATCAAATAAACAATATACCTTTGGAAGTCAATGAAGATATGCCAAATTCAGATGTGATGATCTTCTGTTTGGATGGGAGCAACATGCAACAGTTGCATCATAGTAAGGCAGCATTAGAGTAAATAAATGGCAAGGAATAATTAATTATCTTGCAAACAAAAGCAGACATTCAGACTATTGAAGAAGGAGAATTGAGAAACTTCTTGGGTGTTGGGGAAGTGCCAATCCTGCCAATTTCTGCGATAAATGGGGATGGATTGCCATAATTATTCACCTTGTTAAGTTAATAGGTATAACCAACACAATAGAACTTCTCAGCAGAACCAAGAGTAGTACCAAGTAGAGGAAAATATAGAATAAACGAATAAAATCAAATATCAAAGCCGATGCAGACTTTTCAAAATTTAATGAAGGATCACGTATGTATGTATAAAAATTGTAGAAAATCAAGTAACGTACTCCTATGGAATAAGAATAAGAATATATACGTTTGGAAAAAGAGCGTATTAAAGTAGAGAATATGTCAGCATAATTGAATAATTTTAAAAGGAAACTAAAAAAAGAAGGTAATTTCTCATTCAATCCTTAGATACTTATGATATCAAAGCCACTGCCAATCCAAGAATACAAGTTAATTTGGAATTCTTTTTAACAGACACTCTAGCTCAATGTGAATAATAAAAAAACACTCTATCCACTCAAACTGATAAATTGTAAAAGAAACCAGAGGATCCTCCTTTCATTCCCAAAAAAACAGGAATAGATGCTGCCACTTAAGTAGAGGATTATGAACTATTCGATTTCGATAGAGAAGTGACTCCAATTCTGAATGTTATTTGCACTAAGACTTTGGAATAGGCCTGCTTAGAAATAGAATAAGAAGAGGAATTCATGGCTATGTATAGATTTAAGGAGGCATTCGAGAAGAGAAGAGTTAATGAGAAAAATAAATAGCAAGTCACAGTGGAGAGAGAAAAACAATTGATTGATTAAAAGACTGAAGTGTTGAAAAAGTATTCTTAGAAATAGGAGAGGATGCAAAAGGTCATCTTTAAGGCTCAAGCTCATGCAATAGCCAAAGAATATTTGAAGCCTTTGTAAGGATAGATAATGCAATAAGTAGTCTCAAGTGGATTTTATCCGAATGAATTCATGAATCAATTATAAACAAAGTTCATGGACTATTTAGTTGGGAAGACTCAAGAAGAAGTCATCAAACTGGTTGATCTTAATAATTCAATGAAAACAGCATTTAATGTTACTAATTTTGAACAAATTCCTAAAGTCAGAAAGCCATTTGATTAGTAAATACAAAAGAAAAAGGATAGGTAGGCATTAAGAATGATCAATTATTCAAACAAAAGAGCCATCCGTATCTTCTATTAGGATTTGGTTCCTCTTTAGAGTGTTGTCTCAATGACATTGCCTAAATTCTTGGACGGGTCATTTGATGAGTGGAAGAGGACTTACGATCAGAGAGTGGCTGAGTTGGAATAAAAGGCTGAGAATAATGAAATAAATGAGGAAGACTTTGCAAATCAAAAACGAGCTGAATATCCTGATTTGTAAGAAGGATACTTTGGAGCATCAGTGAATAATTTTACTAGATTCGCATTTTCAATGGCCCATGATTAATTTTACTTAACGAGTGATAAACGATTACAACTAGTTGCATATGTGTTAAGGAAGGATGGAACATATGAGATTGTAAATCAGGAATCCAAAAATTATGGAAAAGTATTTAAATGGAAAAAATTTAGATTACCAATTAAATAAACTGATGATGAGGCATTGTTATTAAGGTTGCAAGAATTGGATTCCGAAATCATAGCAATAGTTTTTGGATTGCTATTGCCAAATTTATAAAATAACATTAAGGCTTTGGAATGGGTGCAAAATGCTAGATTTGGTTTGTATGATGCATAATATTGTATTCCGTTTGCTCAAACCAATGTAAATAAGGCATTTAAATTAGAAGAACTTGTGAAATAAGTTGACGATCCAGAATTAGCTGAAGCACCTTAAACAGTGTTTATGAGTTGTTTCACATTGCTGAAGCGATTTAAATAATTTGGCGGTTGGTACATAGAAAACACACAAGCTGCCACTAAGGGTATGCTCGCTTAAGAAATCGAACCCTTTTATGAGAAGCTTTCATAATTCCTGATTGAGATGAACGAGTTTACACTTGAGAGAGATAGAGATTTTATCTAAGCCATTTAGGACAAAGAGAAAGAAAGAGACACCTCCTTAACCAATCAAGAATTATAAATGAGTAAATTATTTCCCTTAATATATAGTAATTACTAAATCAAAAATTCCCCAATAAAAAAAAATGCCCACAGAACCTAATGTTACTGATTCTGCTCTGCCCTCATCCAGACCACTTGAAGAACCTTCCGATTACGCTAAATCTTAATTCAATTCCCTGATCCTCGAACCAATAATACTTGATATGAGTGATTCCTTTGAAACTGTGGAATCTTAATTGATAAACCATCTTACTAATGTTGCTTAAAGATTGGTGAACAGTTGTACATGGGGATTTGAGTTGAAGACCAGAGGCAACCCATTCCTCCGAGTGAAATAATTAATTAGAGTAAATAGTCTATCGATTTAAATAGATAAGGAGTGTTGGTGAAATGACCATAGTAAGAAAGCCAGAACCTCCTAAGGAAGAAGTACCAGTGCAATAAGAGGAGAACAAGGACAATGATGATAATGATAATGATTCCTGAAATGATTTAATATTAAATGAATTATTATGAATTATTAGGGGTGGATGACAAATGTTCTGCTGAAAACATTCGGAAAGCCTTTCTCAACAAGATTCGCTTTTGTCATCCCGATAAAAATGGTGATGCCAAGGAAGCTCAATCTTTAATTGAAGCATACAAAGTACTCATGAATTGTAGGGAAGAATATGATTAATCATTGAGATCCCAATTCAAATACTGTTTTGACACTATGACGGTGAAATGCAATTATGTTGAGTATGAATGTGAGCAATGTGGAGAAGAGAACCAAATTGAATTAAATAGTTAGACAAATGTGATTGTTGAATGTCGAAGTTGTAATTTGAAGTTACAAATATTCCAATAGTGAACCATATTGAAGGAATTTGTGAAATTTACAATTAGTATTCCTATTTCATTTACTTTAACAAATAATTTATTTATTTTTATGGATAAATTCGAGAAGCGTCTAAATCAAGTTAATATGATCACGCCCAAAAATACTCTAAACTAGCAATCCACATTCAAACAAAATGATCATGCCAAGAGTTATGCCTCTCTCAATGAATTCAATAGAATTGGAGAGTAATTTGATAGTGAGGTTGTCAATTTGAGATCCTAAGTGCAGATCTTGGAAGGCAAGTTGTAATTTTACGAAAGGGAGTTCTAAATCAAAGTAAATTTACTTGCAAAATACATTCTAGTAATCTTCCTTGGAAAAGCGAATTCAACAATTGATATCTACATCATCATAGCTCACTTAATAAAATACCTAATTAAAATTGTAATACTAAGCTTTATTAAATGAATATCAAATTCAACAAGACAAGATGGCCCACTCTGACAAAGGCCAAAAGGAATATGAAGACAAAGTGAGATCCCAATTAGATAATTTTAATAAATATTAATCTGAAAAAGAACAATTAATACAATACGCAAACAAGTGCAGAGAGAGATCAAAATAAAGAAAAATCAAAATTAAAGAATTAACCACAGCCAATTCTCAACTGATTGAATAAATCTAATAATTAGAATAAGAATTTGAATAAGCAAATCATGAAAAATAATAGATATACGAATAGTGTTAACAATAAATCATGATTCTCACTGAATAAAATGAAGATTGGCAAATGAAATACGAGTCAATTGTTTAAAATTTTAAGAACCATCTTGCTGATCAGAATGAAAGCCAACATGAAGAGTAACTATTAGCCAGTCACACAATACTTGATCAAAGAGAAGCTCAGACAGTCTAATAGCAATTGGAAAACTTTAGCATCTTACAAAAAGACCTAAATACACTCTTAAGCCAAATCAAAAATACTAGTGTGACCAATCCCTCATCATTTGAAATGCAATAAGTTATTGAATTTGCAGAAATCTTCAATAGAATGGCTGAAAAAATCTATGAACTACAATAAAAGAAATCGATTCTTAAGGAGTAACTTAAAGTAAGATTGTTATATCATTGTATTAGGATCTCCAATAAACATAATTATAAACTCAGATGCTCTCAAATAAATCTATTTCCAATAATTAGAGTCCCAATATGATGGATGATAGGACCAAAATGCTCTTTGAATAAAGAATATTAGAATTAGAAGAGTATAATTCTTTTTTAATTAGGTATTATTAGAAAGAGAGATAGCAAGAAAAAAATAAACCTGCTTTAAGAGGAAGAAATTAGGATCGCAAACTCAAATAGATAATTTTAATACTCTCTTAATTCTTGGAGGAATTTTTGTAATAATAAAATCATCTAAAAACACTGAATTATTAAATTAATGATATGCAATTTGAGTTTGCTGATAAAAAATGCAATCGTTCTTTTAAAAAGGCTTCATGGGCAATAATTGCTATTCACAGAATTAAAACAATTTAGAATTAATAGTATTATCAATAAGTAGTATAATTTAATCAACTAAGAATTGAAATGCCTATTGTTAATTCGCTCAATTAATTACTTGAATTAGTGTCGGGATAGTAATAATTAATTGATACATTGTAAAAATAAATGGATCGAAGGGGATCGGATTTATTTTAAGAATAAGACATTCAATCCATAGTTGATTAGGAATTAAGATAATAATTAAAGACTGTATAGATAGAGTTGGATATGAATAATAAAAAGATGCTTGAGTATAAGTTGTAATCGGAAAAATAAATTGAAGAGAGAGACCGTATAATTAATGAATTAGAATAATAATTAAGGGATTTTCCTAATGATTATAATTAATAGCTTCTGGAACATTTAGAAGAACAAACTAATCGAGTAAAAAGCATTGAAAATGAATTTAATGTGTTAAATGAACTTGTTAATTCATTAATCTGATATTGATATATATATTAACTATTATCATCTCTTGTCTAAAGAACTGATCTTCTAAAATATACACTCTATATTTTGATGGACTCTAGTAACAATCTTACTCATTCTCTAGGTTAAAATGTGGATTTATTATGAATAATTGAAGTATTTCTGATTCTATTCGATAATCTCATTAATCACTTGAAATTTATGTTCAATTTTCTTAATTTCAAATAAATATTTTCTCTTTGAAGCGGCCAATTAATATTTTAAAGAGATTAATTTTTCTTCTAGATATAAGCTTTCCCTTTGAGTTTGCTGTGGGTCTAATGTTGAGATGGATTCCCTTTATTACTCGAAATAATCCAATTCATATAACAATCTAAAAGTATTTTCATTCTCATAATGATCTAATTCCTCAATGATTGTCTCCTATTCCAAAAGATTAATGACGAAGAGTTTATCATCTGGACTGACATTCATGGCCTAAATCTTTTAGGTGACCTTATTCTTCTTAGTGTTATTCATAATATATTCAAGGTCGCATCTTAATCCATTGAGTTCCTGGTATATGTTTAAAAGTATTACTTTGTATATGTTTTTGTATTCTAATTGCACTTCGCTTCTAAAATTATTCAATTCTTCAGTTACAAATTATTCTAATCTCTAGATATCTTGAGTATCTGAAAACATTCTGAATTGCTATTCGACTCTTCCTTGACTCTTCTTTTACAATTCCTGCAATTGATTATCCAAGTAGTTCATCTTCAATGTTAAATCATTCAACTGTTTTTCGTATGGCTTGTTTTGGCTATTGCTTTTGAAATCACTGAAACTTGTGTTGGTTGATGTCTCTCTTGATTTGTCTCTGATTTTTTCCAGTTCCTCTTATTTTTTTAGTAGTATTTTTAATTGTTATTCAAGTTTTTAGACATGAGGGATTTCATTGACCATGGGCATCAAGGCATCATGTTACATGCAAACTCTATTCAAATTAGCTAAAATTAATCGACGAAATTACTTTCCAACAGGTTCAATCGGCTGTCAATAGATATATTTTCTTTTTGTTTAATGCTCTTTTTGTTCGACATAAAGTGTTGATCTTTTTATTTTAAATATTTATATTCGTTAAAAACAATAAAACTTTATTTCTCATTTAATTAAATAATTTATTAAGATAATCAAACTAAAATTTAATGAATCTCAAAGTGTAATTATTGAATTAATAAAAATATAATATAACGTATTGTAAGCAGTGGGAAAATTTCTTTGGCTCATTTGATTAATTTAAGAATCCATTCCAATAAATGAAACGAGATTTTAGGAATATTATTATTTCTAAAAATGAGTGTAAAACATACATTTAAATCGTAATAACATAAGTAGAGTTTAGAATCAATTGTAGATAAAAGGGTGTAATAATAATATTCTTTAATTAATATTATTATGAATAAGAATATTATTTATTGATTAAATATAAAGAAATGAATTGAAAAGATATGAAAAAAATTACAAATTAGATGAAAAACAAAAAATCAATTGTCTGTTTTTGGTATGCTGGAGTGGTTATTGAGTTCTGATTCTTGTTGATCTTGATTTTCGACTCTTCGTTTTTTATTATATTGATTGATATAGCAATTCTAACAGAGTCCACCTAAAAGGATTGAGATGATAATTACATGCATATAGTTTTTTGTGTGAACATAACCAAGGCTGTTTGTTTCTGCCTAAACGATGATAGCAATTGTTGCACATTCCCTTGGCGTAATGTTCTTTGTCTGGATGACCACAAGTATTGGTTTTTTTGCTTCTAAGAGATATTTAAACAATATACATTTTCTTGTTGATAGCTTTAGGTTGCTCTTGCTGTTGGGGAAGAGTCTACATTTGCATACCAAGAGGTTTAGAGTCGGCAATGTGTCTTTGTAGTAGTTCCTATTACGTCATTTAATAGATGGGAGGGAGGAGTGGGTCATTCTCTTCAAGTNTTACAAATTATTCTAATCTCTAGATATCTTGAGTATCTGAAAACATTCTGAATTGCTATTCGACTCTTCCTTGACTCTTCTTTTACAATTCCTGCAATTGATTATCCAAGTAGTTCATCTTCAATGTTAAATCATTCAACTGTTTTTCGTATGGCTTGTTTTGGCTATTGCTTTTGAAATCACTGAAACTTGTGTTGGTTGATGTCTCTCTTGATTTGTCTCTGATTTTTTCCAGTTCCTCTTATTTTTTTAGTAGTATTTTTAATTGTTATTCAAGTTTTTAGACATGAGGGATTTCATTGACCATGGGCATCAAGGCATCATGTTACATGCAAACTCTATTCAAATTAGCTAAAATTAATCGACGAAATTACTTTCCAACAGGTTCAATCGGCTGTCAATAGATATATTTTCTTTTTGTTTAATGCTCTTTTTGTTCGACATAAAGTGTTGATCTTTTTATTTTAAATATTTATATTCGTTAAAAACAATAAAACTTTATTTCTCATTTAATTAAATAATTTATTAAGATAATCAAACTAAAATTTAATGAATCTCAAAGTGTAATTATTGAATTAATAAAAATATAATATAACGTATTGTAAGCAGTGGGAAAATTTCTTTGGCTCATTTGATTAATTTAAGAATCCATTCCAATAAATGAAACGAGATTTTAGGAATATTATTATTTCTAAAAATGAGTGTAAAACATACATTTAAATCGTAATAACATAAGTAGAGTTTAGAATCAATTGTAGATAAAAGGGTGTAATAATAATATTCTTTAATTAATATTATTATGAATAAGAATATTATTTATTGATTAAATATAAAGAAATGAATTGAAAAGATATGAAAAAAATTACAAATTAGATGAAAAACAAAAAATCAATTGTCTGTTTTTGGTATGCTGGAGTGGTTATTGAGTTCTGATTCTTGTTGATCTTGATTTTCGACTCTTCGTTTTTTATTATATTGATTGATATAGCAATTCTAACAGAGTCCACCTAAAAGGATTGAGATGATAATTACATGCATATAGTTTTTTGTGTGAACATAACCAAGGCTGTTTGTTTCTGCCTAAACGATGATAGCAATTGTTGCACATTCCCTTGGCGTAATGTTCTTTGTCTGGATGACCACAAGTATTGGTTTTTTTGCTTCTAAGAGATATTTAAACAATATACATTTTCTTGTTGATAGCTTTAGGTTGCTCTTGCTGTTGGGGAAGAGTCTACATTTGCATACCAAGAGGTTTAGAGTCGGCAATGTGTCTTTGTAGTAGTTCCTATTACGTCATTTAATAGATGGGAGGGAGGAGTGGGTCATTCTCTTCAAGTTTGATCTGTGGATTGAGGAGATTAAGAGTAGTTTGTTGTCGATCAGCACTAAGATTGAAACGCATGACTAAAATTAAAAATGCAGATCCTTACATTGCAAAGTTTGTAGAAGTGGATGAAAGAAATTCATTTTTGTGTATTTTTATTAATTAATATATTTTAAATTTTAACGATCATGAATACCTCTTTTCCAAAGATGTCCACTTCATCCTTAAGTTAAACCACATCTCAAACTAACTTTTACGATTCAAGTCCAATGTCCTCATATTCGGCAAAGCAATTAACTTCAAATGACAATTTTAAAGTGGTTGTCCGTGTCAGACCCCCATTGCAGAGAGAAGTGATAGATGGACGATTCATTTCCACTATTCAAGTGTCTCCTGATCACAAAAAAATCTGCCTTTACGAATATTATAACATCGATTTAGTGGATCCTGAGCATCTTGAAGAATACCTCAACAACCCAAATAGTTACACAATGCATACCTTCTCGTTTGATTACGTCTACGATTAAGATAATACACAGGAAGAAGTATATGATAATACAGCAAGACATGCAGTGCTCTCTGCTCTTCAGGGTTTTAACGCTACCATCATGGCATATGGGCAGACTGGTACAGGCAAGACATATACAATGGAGGGATTTAAATACAATTGTATAGATCCTTAAAGAGGCATAATCCCAAGAGCAATCGAAGAAATATTTAAGCACATTTCAAATGGATCCAATGAATCTACAACATTTATGGTTAGAGTGAGTTATCTATAAATATACAATGAAGTCATAAGCGATTTGCTAAGGAGCGATAGACAGAACTTGCATATCCGAGAAGACAAGAAGAGAGGAGTATTTGTTGAAGGTCTGTCTGAATGGGCTGTTCGGAATCCTTCAGAAATTTATTCCTTAATTTAAAAAGGAGCTTAATCTAGAGCCACAGCAAGTACAAAGATGAATGATGTAAGTAGTCGATCTCATGCAGTTTTTATAATAATAGTTGAACAGATGACAGAAATTGATAATCATAAATCTATAAAAGTGGGAAAACTAAATTTAGTAGATTTAGCAGGAAGTGAGAGAGTCAGAGTCACTGGCGCTACAGGTAGAAGATTAGAAGAATCCAAAAAGATAAATTAGTCATTGAGTTGCTTAGGTAACGTTATCTCTGCTTTGATTGAATAAAAGACCCATATTCCCTATAGGGATTCCAAAATTACACGTCTTTTGGAAGATTCCTTGGGTGGTAATTGCAAAACCACTATGATGGGAATGATATCACCAGCTATTGATGCTTTTCTTGAAACCTTGAGTTCAGTCAAGTTTGCCAACAGAGCCAAGAATATTAAAAATAAAGCCACCATTAATGAAGATGTGGATCAAAAAGCACTATTAAGGAAATATGAATGTGAATTATAAAGGCTAAGAAAGGAACTTTCAGAAAAGAATAAAACAATTGTAGATTCCTCAAAATTAAGTCAATTGGAAGAGGATAAGAAAAGAGCAGAGTAGGATAAGAATGCTGCTATGGCTGCACTAGAAGCAAGAAGCAAATAGTTTTTCATCGAAAGAGAGGAGAAGAAAAAGTTAGAAGAGAAGATTAGATAAATTAATAGTTAAATGCTAATTGGTGGATGTAATATTGAAAATAGTCCATAATTCAGAAATGCCATTGAAGAATAATAGAAGTTGATTAGAGCCTAATATGAGAAAAAGATTACAGAATTAGAAAAGGAAAGATCATAATTAGAAGAAGATAAGGTTCAGGTGGATAGGTACAAACAATTAACTCTCAAATAAAGAGATATTATGATTGCCTTGACAACCAGGTTGAATGAAAGAGATGAAACAATAGTCTAATTATAAGATGAACTTGATGCTTATGATCGAATCCATAGAGAAACAGAAACCATGCTTGATTAGAAAATATAACGAGTTTAATAATTAGAAGAGTATGTTAATTCAATGGGTGGCAATCTACCCAACGTTTAATAGATATAATCAATTAGGTAGAGTAAAATTAAAGATTGTGTCACTCAAGATGGCCAAGAAACATACAATATAACAAAGGAGAACTTATAAGATTATGAATCTCAGATTGAATAATTAACTTTAATTAATTAAGAGCAGGATTAAGAGATTTCAAGATTAAACAATCTGTTGTTGAATCATGAGAATTCCAATTTAATGGAATATGTGAAATGTATTTCATTTTCTAATTTTATTAGCTTCTGTTGATAACATAATCGATGCCTTATCCTAACCAAATGATGGATTAAAATTGTAAAGCGTAGCCAAAGACCTAATTAGTCTCTAAAAGATACTCTCAGGAGAATAATAATAATCAAGTCATGCTTTTTCAAACATCTAAAATATTGTTCATTCCAGAAAAGAATCTCCTATGCATACTAATTAATCCAAAAAATCGTTAAATAATTCATAAAATTATGATGATGATGAACAACCTCGTTAGTTAAATAACTTTTACACTTTTTCCAAGTATCTAATATATTCATATTCTAGTAAATCGTAGACTTCTTCAATGAAAAAATAAAAGGATCCTTCTCTTCCTAAACCTTAAATCAATGTTTAAGAAATCATAAAAATGAGAGAAGTAAAAAGAAACCTCTATTCTTGATTTATTAAATATATATAATATTAATATTAATTTAAATTGAGTAATGATGAATGCAATATTGATGCTTTAATGATAGAAGCTTGCTTTTTCATTGATGGCAAGAATGATAGTGAACATTTCTAAATTATGGGTTAGATTGGAAGATGAGTTAAAACTAAATACCTAAGAAAAATATTTGGTATTCAAAATATTTATGTTGTGATAGATTGAGGGAATAATTCAATATGGGCAAGAATTTTCGATTTAAAATAAATTTTACAGTTCAAATTTTCTAAGTTTTTCTCAAGAAGTCGTGATAATTTTTAAATATTTTTATTAAATTTCTATCTATCTATGTATTTTAGAATTATGTTTTTTAATTTCTATATTTATATATTTTAAGTATTTTCATTAAATTTCTAAAGATAATTAACCATGATGAGGTTTGCCTTTTAGTATAGGTTAAAGCACACATAGTTCTTTAATATATAGATCTGTATTTTTAACCTACCTCTTATTAGGGACAGTTCTATGTTAGATTTTGTTCATTAAGGTTGGACTTATATCAATAAATAATCATGATAGATTGAATCTAAGAAGGTTGAAACTGTTTAAGAAACTTCAAATTTAAAAGAAATTCAATCTGACAATAAGAGAATCTATACTCGTAATTTTGTATTAGTAGGATTGCCTAATTTAAGACTAATTTGATTTATTTTATTAATAATTATGTTCACAGAGTAACCCTATTATGAAGCCAAGGTGTTTCTTAAATCTTACAATGATGCTATTGCATGTTTAAAGTAAGTTAATTACAATTGCAATCTTTTAGAGAGGCTGCTGAATAAAAAGCTCACGTTGAATTCTAAGAACATGTGCTCTAATCACTTGCGACTGCTCGCACAAGATAAGAGGTAGATATTGTTATCATGTTAGCTGGATGTGAGAGATGGTTAAGTGGTGCCAGGATTAAATTTTGGGTAATCAAAGTAGACCAAGCTCTTCTAATTTTCAAAGTATAGATTTGTAATAAATAGCAAGTCATGTGTTTTCAAAATATTTCAAAGGATTTGAGGAATATAGCGGCAATTTCAAGGGCTTCCAATAGGTTTTAACAGAAGGACTGAAAAAGATGAAGTCAGATGTGAAATGAGATATGAATAATGAATATATATACATTATCTAAAAGATAATTATATATAAGGATAGAATTAATAATGCTTATTGTCAGAGCCAATTAAATAGGATTGAATGTTGGGGGAGTTCATAAATAGAAAAAGTATTCTAGATTAATTATTGGAAAAAGTGAGGAGTGCAGGAGGGGAGAAGATGGCTGAATAGAAGAAATGAGAGAGAGACATCATGTAATTAATTGATAAATCGCTTATTTAAATTTTGAATATCCTTTATGAGAATATCTAAAAATTATTTAAATAAATAAAATGCTCACAAGGGCATTAGCCAAATAGATGCGTCTAGGTAGATATTTAAGATAACGAGTATAATAGGATTCTCCGCTGCTAAGAAGCAAGCAGAGACAGGCAAAGCAGCAACTGCAACTACAGGATAAATTGCTTAAGTCATCGGTGCTGTCGTCGACGTTCAGTTTGATGGCCCTCTTCCTCCAATCTTGAATGCATTGTAAGTTTAAGGGACAAGTCATAAATTGATCTTGGAAGTGGCTTAACATTTGGGTGATAGCAGAGTTAGAACAATTGCCATGGATTCCACTGAAGGATTGATTCGTGGTTAACCAGTTTCAGACTTGGGAGGTCCTATTACAATTCCAGTTGGTCCAGAGACCTTGGGACGTATTATGAATGTGATTGGTGATCCAATTGATGAAAGAGGCCCAATCGAAACAAAAATCAGATATCCAATTCACAGAGAAGCTCCAAGTTTTGTAGATCAAGGTAGTGGTGCTGAAATTTTGATCACTGGTATCAAAGTCGTCGATTTATTGGCTCCATATGCAAGAGGAGGAAAGATTGGATTATTTGGAGGTGCTGGAGTCGGAAAGACAGTGCTTATTTAAGAATTGATTAATAATGTGGCTAAAGCTCATGGTGGTTATTCAGTATTTGCAGGTGTAGGGGAAAGAACAAGAGAAGGAAACGATCTTTATCACGAAATGGTTGCATCTGGCGTTATCAATTTGAGTGGTGGATCAAGATGTGCTCTTATTTATGGATAAATGAATGAGCCTCCCGGTGCCAGAGCCAGAGTTGGTTTGACTGGTTTGACAGTTGCAGAATATTTCAGAGACGAGGAAGGAAAGGATGTGTTGCTCTTTATTGACAACATTTTCAGATTCACATAAGCATGCTCAGAAGTGTCAGCCTTGTTGGGACGTATTCCATCAGCTGTCGGTTATCAACCAACATTGGCAACAGATTTAGGTCAATTGTAAGAACGTATCACAACAACCAAGAAGGGATCCATTACATCAGTCTAAGCTATTTATGTGCCTGCAGATGATCTTACAGATCCAGCACCAGCTACAACATTTGCTCACTTGGATGCTACCACTGTGTTATCAAGAGCATTGACTGAATTGGGTATCTATCCAGCTGTCGATCCATTGGATTCTTCATCACGTATGATGGACCCAAATATTGTTGGTGAAAAGTAATATTCTACATATATTATAATTTAGACATTATACAGTCACAAGAGGAGTTTAAAAATTGTTATAAGATTACAAGTCACTTCAAGATATCATTGCCATCTTGGGTATGGATGAATTGTCTGAAGATGATAAACTCACAGTCGCCAGAGCCAGAAAAGTATAAAGATTCCTTTCATAACCATTCTTCATGTCTGAAGTCTTCTCAGGAAGAAAGGGTAAATTCGTATCACTCAACGACACCATTGCTGGATTCAGAGGTATTCTAATTATTCTAACATTTTAGCTTTACTTGATGGTGAAGGTGATGAATACCCAGAAAATGCATTCTATATGCAAGGAACATTTGAAGATGTCATTGAAGAAGCTAAAAGAGTTGCTGCAGAAACCACCAAATGAAAAAATAATATATACATTATAACAATTACAATATTTTGTTTCCACTCTTTTCCCATATTATAATATATTAATGTAATTTAATATTAATAAAACTACTCCGTCTCGGTTGGATAACTCCAGTTTAAAAGCTAAACTCACAAAACAATACGAATAACACCCTATTCCTTCTGCTGAGGTTTATAAAAGCACATTGTCCAAATTATACTAAACACAGAGTTTAAGCACCCTCATCAAAGATAAGAAATCTTCCATTTCTAGATAGGTCTCACAAAACAACCCATTCATCAATCCAGCCGTTAGAACTAATACTCCTAAATCTACAAATTCAACACCTTAAGTAATCTACTTTTATTTATATAAGTATTACTTTTATGCCAAGTCGAAAGAGTAAAGTAAGGTGCAAATTTCATAACTTATCAGTAAAACATTGCAGTAAAGTTACACCAAGGCTAGCAATAGCTTGATCAAGGATAATTCTTTTGGCATATCCAGTAAATCCAATACTGATCGAAAATATAATTTACTTTCTTTAGATCAGAACAAACTAATATCCAAACCTAAAACAGAAAAGGTTCAATCCATCGACAGGACTTCAAATAATAACAATCAAATTTCAGATTAAAAATAATCACTTAATATTCATTTAAGCTTAGATGATTTTGTGACTCAAGTTAAAGTCCCAAATTCCTCTAAGAATAATTATACAATTTCTCCATTTAAACAGGCAAAGTCACTTTCGCCAAACAACAGATTATTATCTAACACAAGAAGTAATTTAAGTGTCTATATAGAAAATATCTATTATGTGAGCTCTATGATTGAAGCCATCAATGGAGCCTATGATTCCCAATGTTAACTCTATAGAGATCACGCCTTATAAACTTACAACAGCATTGGATTCTGCTTAAATCAATTAGAACCGAATAGCAGTGTAATTGAAAAGAAACTCATTAATTTACCCTAAAAAAATACCAAATGTAGTTTATTGATTTAATAATTTAGTCCAAAAAACTGTGGTTTTTGATCTTGATGAAACACTCATCCATTGCAATGAAAATTAAAACATAAAATCCGATGTTTATTTGCCAATTACTTTTCCATCTGGGGACACAGTATCAGCAGGAATCAATATTAGGCCATGGGCTAAATAAATACTGAGTCTATTATCTGAAGTTTGTGAAGTCGTGATCTTCACAGCTTCTCATCAATGTTATGCTTCCCAAGTGATTCAGTTTCTTGATCATAAGAAAATCTTGAGTGCTTAATTATTTAGAGAAAGTTGCATAGTAACAAACGATGGAGTACATATCAAAGATCTTCGAGTGCTGGGTAGAGATATGAAAGATATTGTGTTGATTGATAATGCAGCATATAGCTTTGGCTATCATATTGAGAATGGCATTCCGATAATTCCATATTATGATAACAAAGAAGACAAGGAATTAAAGTAATTGTATGATTTCTTAATGTCTGATGTCCTTCCTGCATTTGATTGTAGAAAGGTTATTCAAGAAACATTTAGACTAAGAGAGTTTTAGAATTACAATGGTCCTAAGGTTGCAATTGAAAAATTATATTATTGATTATAATTAAGTGATTGCTCAGCACTTTTGTGATTTTATTTGTCTGGTCATTATTTTTTAATCCAATTTTATCCTTGTCTAAATGTATTTCATAATGAATTAAATGTTACAATTATTGATTTTCTTGATTCAAAGGATTGAATTAATTACTAAGATTGATCCTCTAAATGGCCTATGAAATATATTAAATTATGAAAAACTTCATTCCTCGAAAAAGGCAAGTTCAAGTTAAAATTTGTAATATAAGACAATTAAGTTGATTATTTTTGTGTTCTAAGATTAAATAGTTAAATAAATTAATAATATTGTTAGTTAGACTCATAAGATATTTAAAATATATATAAACCAACTAAGAATTTTAATACAGAATACGTTAGGAGACCATGGACATATTGTATCAGTATTTTTTCAACATCTTTGGTTCAGTAAAATTTAAGAAAAGATTAAGACTTATAAATAATTTGTGTAAATAGGATGAAGAGTGCTTTATTGATAATTATTCATGATGATATTTAATAATAATTAATTATCATGCTTCCGTTTTAATTTATCAACTAAAACCGATCTCATTAAATCCAAAATGTTCAGATATCATTTATTTAGGTTTATCCCCTTAAATCATTGAAATATCATTTATGAAATCCCAATTGTCCTTTTCAACTTCTTTAGTAGGGTACTTCTTTCTTAGGAAATTGGCTAGCTCGTCATTATGCTTGATTTCACTTTTACCACTAATCTAAAGATTGTGATATTATAAAGTAAAGTAATCCAAAGGATCACTACTAGATTTTAAATGCCAGATTGGTTTAGCTTTAATGCATTTGTTTAGATCCATGAGCTGTTTTTTTTATAGGTTATTCATCTTCAAGTTATACTGGATATAAAGATCTTTTGCAGTATTTAACAAAAATTATTTGCATTCTAACTAATTCATTTAAGAATAATTATGCTCTAGCATATTGCTTAATTTTTAATGAGCTTTATTTTAACCATTTTATTAATTGTTCTTTCTAATTTCTGGTGATTGCTCATCTACTGGTTCATCTAAAATACTAACATGTTATTCAGCAGAGTCAGGATCCCTTTCAAAATCAGTTAATATTCTATTATTTTCATTTGTGACTGGAGGTGGAGTAAGTTATTTATTATTAGAAAGTTTATTCAATTGAACTGATAAATTTAAATTAACCACTCTTTTATTTTTAAGAAAATGAATGTAATTTCCATATTAAGTTCTATAATATTGGACTTCGGCTTATAACTATTCTATTTTCTAATCTCTACTCCTGATTGCCTTTATTAATTGCTCATTTTAGCTGTAGCATTAGTTAATTTTCTTTTCCAAATCATCAGTTGATTAAGACAACAATGCTACTTTGTTCTTTTCCTTTTCAAATAGTTCCTTATACCCTTTTAATAAGGTCTCTGTCTTCTGTAATTTTTCTTAATAATTTGCTCTAATCTTATTTATCTAATGAATTACCTCTCATTATTAGTCATATACTTGATACTATTCGGTAATGATTATTGAAATCCCTGATTATTCTAGCATTAAGCAGGTGTGTCATTTGAATTATGATTAAATGGTTAATTTTGATATATTTCCTCATGCAATGAGATATTATCAGCAGAATCACCTGGATCATCATTATAAATGAAATCTTATAATTATGGAGCAAAGCTTACTTTTCATTTTATAATACGCCAAAGGACTCCTCAAGATGATTCGAAGTTTGATTAACTCTCTTTTGAAATTCTAAAAATAAAATGTTAAAAAATACTTGATTGATGTCTTTGAGTTGTCTGTTCTACTCTTATAAGTTTTGTGATTCTTGAGATAACTTATTTAAGATCTATCTGGTTGACTCTAACTCTTCATGTAATCGCAAGGATTGTTCATGCGGTGTTACTATTTCTCTAATCTTTACCATTTGTCCATTATCACTCAAACCTCTGTTTTTCTCAATATCTTGAATGGTATATTCTTTATCTTGAATGCATCTTCGTAACTCTCCTAGTTTCTCTTCCAATTCAACAATTAGATCTTTATAAAACGCTTAATTTTCCTCTGATATCTGTTAAGACAACAAAACCTTGATTTTTAATTGAAATAGTTACTTTATTTTAGGCTATGTTTCTTTCCTCTGTCAATTTCGCCATTTAATTTCTAAGCATTTCATTCTCTTCATGCAGCTTCATTTACAATTGAATTGTTTGAATCTGCTCACTAGAATTCGTCGAGTTGTTTGAATTGTTCAGACTTATGGGATAAATAAGCACTATTACTTTTGCTCAAGGGTTAAACGAAGAACTTCTTTATTCAATTTTAATGCTTTCTCCATATCCTTCAATTATTCCGATAGTTGTTTGTTCTCTTCAAGCAAATATTGGATCTTGGCAGATTAACGATTCACTACAAATTCATTAACCTCAAGTCCAAGAATGGTGTCTGTCATTATTTTTATTTATGATTTTAATACCGGGCTATAATCCAGGGTAATTAACACTACAAGGAACCAATACTTACCTAATGGGGACAGGCAAGAAAAGAATCCTCATAGACACAGGCGAAGGTAAGGAATAGTACAAAATACACTTGAAATAGATTTTAGAACAAGAATAATGTGAAATTTCAATTGTTCTTATAACTCATCATCACTTGGATCACATACTAGGAATACCGTAAGTGCTTGAATTGTGTCCCAATGCCAAAGTATACAAAGATTTAGATCATAATCTGGAAAATGATAAGCTTTATCCTTTCCTCCCACTTTAGGACGGATAAATTTTCTAAGTAGAAAATTGCATCATCACAGCAATCTCATTACCTGGACATTGCGTTGATCATTTTGGTTTCATAACTTAGAGTTCAGAATGGTTTTCAGGTGACTGTTTGTTGGGAGGCTCATCTTGTTATATCCAAAATTTGAAATAGTATTTCTAAAGTATGGAAAAAGTAGAAAAAATGAAAATGTAATTTCTTTACCTATTTATAGCAACACCATCCACCCAGGTCATGGATACTCAATATTAGAAGGAGCTTAAGAAACTATTTAGAAACAAGTGTAGCACAGAAAGAACCGAGAATAACAGATCTATTAAGTAATAAATGGATAATCTGTTGATGAAGTAGTATTGGCTGTCTATCCAGATGTGAATGATCCGTACATGAAGAAATTTGTGAAAATTGCAGTCGAGGCTCACCTGATTAAACTGATTGATGATAATCTCATCAAATGTATTGATAATTTATATTATAAATGCTGATTATTTCATGTTTAAATGAAATTACTATCTAATTCATTTGCATTTGATTTTAAGCTATGTGGCAATATCGGCAAGAAATGATATTATAACGATAATGAAATTGACGGATATGCTGTTTAATGTAATAAATAAACACGTAATGTTATTAAAAAAGATTTATAATAAAATTGTGCTATCAAAATAATAAAATAATGTTATTAGAAATATTTCTATTGGTTATTTTTGTTGGGTTACTAATTGGAATTCGGTGGTTATTCACACCCTATACTAATTGGAAAAACCAGTAAAAAACAGTAAAGAAGGATGATAGCATAGTGATAATATGTGGTGGAAAAGAAATCAAGTATTCCACATATAAAAATAAATCTGATGTTTAATTGAGCATAATCATTCCATCATATAATGAGGAAAATAGATTAGGCAGAACATTAGAGGCTACATTTAAAGTAAGCATAGATACCAATTCGACTAGCACTTTGAAAAATATAACTATGAAATAATAATCATTAATGATGCATCTAAAGATTAGACATTGGAAGTAGCCAAGAAGTATTCGGTAAACAATAAAAACTTTAAGATTATTACTTATAATAGAAATAGAGGGAAAGGAGGAGCAGTTAGATTGGGAATGTTGGCAGCTGCAGGGAAAATTTAGTTAATGATGGATGCAGATTTAGCGACAGATTTAAATGAATATGAGAAATTATCAAAAGAAGTATATATGCAACAAAATTATGATAGCTAATTAAAATAACATAAAATGGATTAGGATTAGTCGCAGGCTCGAGAAACCATTTAGTGAAGGATGTTGTTGTTCAAAGAAAATGGTATAGAAACTTTCTAATGCATTGTTCTAATTTTATCATTAATACTATATGTGGTGTTAGACTAAAGGATACTCAATGTGGATTTAAGTTATTTACCAAAAACACTTCAGCAATATTGTTTAGAGTGTTGCATTTAGAGAGATGGGCATTTGATGTAGAGTTATTTATGATTGCATAAAAATACAAAGTGCCAGTCTCAGAATTACCTGTCAAATGGGAGGATGTAGAGGGTTCCCATTTAAATGTAGTAGAAGCCTCAATTTAGATGGCTAGAGATTTTCTATTGGTCAGAATCTTATATCTATTAAATATTTGGAATTTCAAGGATGACATTGGATTATGATGAGTTATATTAATATGTATAAAATAATTCAATTTTTTATAAATATTTTATAAAATTCCTATTATATCTTTACATCAAACCGCGGGAAATGTTTTTAAACTCAGCGAATGATAATTAATATTGCTTAATTACTCTGACTCAGTGATATCAATTAGTATAGAGTATGTTTTGAATAAGCATCATAAAAATTCCACTAAGAGTTAGAATAAAGAACATTTGAGATTTTTTAACCCTATTTGTCACTCTGGGTTGCGAAGATGATGTATCATAAAATATTATAATATAAATTTTCTAAAATAAAAATATAATAAATTCGCTAATAAATTTTGCAAATGGATTAATAAAGTAAATTCTGATAACGCTATATCCAAAACTTCTAAAAATAGGTTTTTACTCATAAAATTTTATGATGACCCTCCTATTACAACAAAATAAAAGATTTAACTGTTATTCGATATATAAATAATTATAATTTGTAAAAAGTGAGATGATGTAATTAAATTATGTTATTTCAGCTTCTGGTTATATTTTTTGTACTGGTATAAATAAGTGAATAAACTTGCCGGACTGATGACTGTTACAGCTGTTCCCTCCATAAAGATTGTTGTATTACATGTAAGTGCTATAAGAGTTAAAAATTTTAAAGAACAATTGATACCTTCGGGTGTGACTATAAAAAATGTGATAAATATGATGATGGAAAATGTTATTCATGTGTAGATGGTTATTATTTACAGAATTCCATTTGCTACCTATGTACTTATCCATGCATAGAATGCTAGAGTAGTAAGAAATGTAAAAAATGCTCATAAGGATATAAATTAAGCAATGATAAATGTATCTAATGCACAGTTCCATTATGCAAAGATTGTGATAGTAATTCAAACTAATGTTCCTAATGCGTAAATAATGCAACTTATAATTCATCTATTCAAGAATGTGTATGCAATGCGTCATACTTTTAAGTTAGTGGATAATGTAAATAATGCATTTCAATATGTGGGACATGTTCAAATTCATACAATAATTGTGCTACATGCAAGAGTGTTTCAAATATGTCAGCAACTCCAATAAATGGAGTATGTAGTTGTGTAACTGGATATTATTGGAATCAGAGCAATTCGCAATGTAATTAATGTACAGCGCCTTGTTTAACATGCGAAGACGAAGCAACATAATGTACTTCATGTAATGGTGCCTCACTTACAGTGAATGACGATAATCAATGCACTTGTCAAGTTGGATATTTTAGTTCCCCCAATGATCTTTATTAATGCGAGGTATGTTCCAAAAATTGTCTAACATGTGCTGATATCAGTAATAAGTGCACATCGTGCTATGAAAATTATGAATTAAATGATGGCACTAATAGTTGCTTTTGTCCTGATGGATTTTTTGAAATAGATAATATATGCAATAAATGCGACTCATTATGTTCTAAGTGTTCCTCTAATTCAGTGTGCACAGAATGCATTGATAATCAGTTCGTTAAATTTTCAAATCAGTAATGCACCTGCATGGATGGGTATTATTTTGATGCCATCTAATCAACATGTCTATAATGTGATTCAACCTGTAAAACGTGTTAAACTCAAAAAGAAATGTGTAGTTCTTGCAGTTTAGAATCAAATAGAATTCTAAGAGTGAACAAGTGCATTTGTAAACCTGATTTCTTTTTAAATGTAAATTAACTTTGTATCTCTTGTAAGTCCAAAGAAGCTATAGCTATTGAATTTTGCAAGTATAGAGATTGTGCTGATGGAATCTGGTCTTATGGAGAAGAATGTAATGATGCAAATTATTCATCCAGGGATGGTTGTTATAATTGTCTCTTAGAACCCTAATACTATTGCATCAATGAAATACAAAAACCATCTCAGTGTTTTAAATGTCAAGAATATTGTTCTGTTTGTGAGTATGATTACCTTAACAAAAAACAAGTGTGCAAACAAGCTATCGATGGATACTATATTGAAAATTCTATTCGTATCAATAAATGTGGAGACAAATGTTTGCATTGTTAATCAAATGCTAGTCAATGTACCTAATGTAGATTCCTTAATATAAGTAAATCAAATATCAATTGCTAATTATGTGAATACAAATAAGGGTATTATACAGATTATGAAAATAACTCATGTTATTCTAAATGTGGAGATGCAATCTTGGCTGATGTCGAATAATGCGATGATGGAAACAGGATAAATGGAGATGGATGCAGTGATCACTGCTTTTTGGAAAAAAGTTTCGATTGTTTAAATGGAGTTTGTAGTAAAACCAAGAACCCAATTCCTTCGGGATAAGAAAACAAGATTTATGATTTGTATACTCCAAAGAGGTAAGTACTAGTGAAGTATGACTAAGAGTTGAGCCTAAATCAATAATTTGATATCAATGATTAATTGTAAATCTAACTAAATTAACAGGTCAATATTAACTACTTGATCACAACAAATGTAGATTTCGAAGCAAAAAATCTAACCAACTTTTCATTTACCATTAACTTTGAAGTTGATAGATCTATATCAAATGCCAGTTTATTAATTAAATATTTAACACCTTCAATATTTAAAAATGCTCAAAATCAATCTTAAGAAATAGAATTAATAGAAGTTAAAATATCTGATTTCGTAATTATTTCGTAATCAGTGTAAGGATTGACAACTGCTACTGTTAATAGTTCTAATTACATCATCTATAGTTTAATAGCTTTGCTTGGTTGTGGCTTGGTACTAGGAGGTATTGACATCTATTTCAACCTTATTGATACTCTATAATACTTATCGTACTTGTACTACATCAACACCATATTTCCATATAATGTAAACTAATTTTTTGAAAATCTCAACTTTGCTCAATTCACAATAGTTTAGGATTATATTAATCTAGATAATATCTTTCAATATGACTTGGAGTATGATTTAGAATTTCATTCCATTACAGTTCCATTCAAAATTAGAAGTCAAGGTATGTACTCATGCTTCATTCTTAATTTTGCATCCATTTTCTCTTTGTTCATTATTGGCCTTGCATTTTATATTGTAGCCAATATAATAGCTATTAAATTACTTGCATCTAAAGATGAATTATTAATATAAAATGATTCTACTTCAAATATTCAATTGTATTTTCTTAAACTTTAAGCAAAGTTCAAGCATTTTACTTTTTAATGGGCATTAATTACGATTAGGGAATTCCTTTATAGTGATCTGTTAAGAATATTTATGACGACTGCTAATGAATATAGTTTTACATTAGGATTAGGCTTAAAAGGGCTTGACTTCAGCTCTAAATTTGGATTAATTAATTCAGCAATAACATTTCTATTTTTGGGTATTTACATCTGCACAACGTTCCTATCTTTCAAAATTGTGGATCAAAAAAGATTTGCTATTAAGGAGGCATAATACAATATTAAATTTGGATCTGTCTTCTAAGGTTTATAAATAGCAAAATACTAGAAATTGTATAATCCCCTTTTATTGATAAAAAAGTTCCTCTTTATGATATTTTTAATTTATCTTTATGATTAACCTATAATTTAGGTGTTGTAAGTCACTCTATTAAGTCTAGTTACAGTTTTCTTTTTGATTTTTTACTCACCTATCATAGATAGACTAGAGTTGATTAAGTAGATAAGTTGTGAAATTTCATCTTTTATAACTTCATTGTTGTTCACTATATTTTGCATAAATGATCTTTTGAAATTCTTGAATGAAGATTAAAAATTGATTATTGGGTGGGTAGTTATATCTAATGTCTTAACAGGATTGTTTACCTAGTTAGTAATAAATACTATTTAATAATGGAAATATCTCTATTATAAATATGAAATTATAAGAAGAACTGTTAATTCTTGTAATCAACGTTGCAAATCCAAGATGCAGTCTAATTAGGCGCCTCATGATGTATTTTTGTGAGTCTTTAGTTTCATTTAATATTTTTATATATATATTTTCGAATTTTATTTCATTTTTATTTAGAATGACAAACATTTAACATCATTTTAAATTAATCGTCACACAAACAATATTCTTAGCTGATCTGATCGAAACAACCATAAGTTTAAGCGTTTTATTTGTTCTTGTGATGTATTGGATTAATTGTAAATATGTTTCATTTTATGCCTAGCTCAGATATCGAGTAATAATGAGACTATTATTGAAATAATGAAGGCTAATATCACACTAACAGGGATTGATCTCTAACAAACTATTTCCTCTATTGGGTTTTTGTTCAACATTACCAAATTGACTCTTAATCAACAAGTGATTTCCCAACAAAATTCGACTTTACAAACAGTTATAGGCGCATTTACAATTACAGAAAGGTCATAAATTGCATAGATCGAAGAGATTACTTCAATATCAATTCCGAATCTCCCTTATTATGTGATATAACTAACTTCAGACAGCTTATGTACTTCAAACAACACTTTAAATTAGTATAATTTTAAATCAACTCCAAACTGCATAAATAATCCAAAATTCTGTTAATTATTGCAGAACTCATATGACGATTAGGGTAATTTTGATCTATTTTTGTATATGAAAAATCAGAGGTAAGATTAAGTGATATTTTATACTTTGTTTCCTTTCAACATTTAATTAACTTAAATTTGTGGTCTATTAGCAAATGATTCCTTGTTTTAGTGTTTCATCTTGGATTTAGCAGAATATAAATAATCCGAGGGGATTTTGTATTCTACATTGTTTACAATAAATAATTCAGTAGTTTCAGATGTAACTGATGACTGTCTCAATGCTGAAATGAAGTGTAGTGCTGCTACGGAGTTCAATAATATGGATTTAGATTACTCAAACACTTAAGACATCGTTGAGTTTTTAGAGAGTATAGACAAGGCTGATTGGTTGAATTAAATGCACCCTTTGACTCGTTATTATGAATCATCCAATCCAATTATTAGTTTATCAATGATAGATATTAAGGTCTACTTTTATTAATCAATTCACATTGGAACATATGACATCGTAATAATTTATTGATTTCTATTAGAATGATGAATTTTATTCGGAGTACAAAGAAGATTTAATAAATTAAACAAAAGAAGAACAAGATAAACTAAATGCTCTTCAATAGAATTATGATAGATGGCAATTACTTGCCACATTCAACAATAAATTGTACACAAATTTAGTAGAAACCAAACAGGAAGATTATTTTGATTTCTTTCTGTTTTTCTAAGTGTTTATTCTCTTTTTATTGTTGACTCCAATTTTAGTGAATATTATAACTCAAAATGAATTTGATTAAATTAGCATAACATTAAATTAAGTATCCCTGATGATGTAAATGTTTTTTGAGTTGGATTATGATACATTACATAAAGACTTGAATGCATTTAAAGAATACCAAAAAAGTAGTTTAACTGAATTGAATGAATTGCTCTAAATATTTGATGAGTTTTGTTGGTTGATTGATTTCTTAAATCAATTAAACAAGAAGGTTCATGATTTGGAAAAGTTAGAACAAGGATTACATATATTTTAGAAAAGAAACTCTATTGAATGTTTGGAGTTAATCTTAATGAAATTGGTATCGGAACATAGTCGATAAAAGGATTATGAGACCGCTATCACATACAACAAACAACTAATCTCTATACTTGAATAATAAAAGAAAGACACATAACTGATTAAATCTGAAGAGATTATGAGAATAAACTACAAATTGTTTCAATCGCTAAATCAATTATTAGATCTATTATCAAAATTATTAATTCGAAATAAGAGTCGAGATAGAAATGCATTCAACTAAGCAAAAACTTTATTCTCAAACATTATGGATTTTGCAGACACTTTGGAAATAAAGTTCACTTTACAAATTAAGTTATTCTTTAAAAAATGCAAACTGCTCTTCAATCTTAGGAAAATTAAGGAAGCCGAATAATGCATTGACTAAGCTCAATTAATTTTGTAATAAAACTATACCTTAAGTAAAAATGCATCTTACTAAAACAAAACATTCAATTAAGACAAAAAGTTATTGTAGGTAGTTCAATAAAAAATCTATTTCTATCGAGGGTTAATATATATGTCAAGCGGCTAATTACAGCCTGCCATCTAATAATTGATGTTAGCTCTTGATTACGGGAATGTTTATCAGACGAAATTAAGAGTAAAAACAATCAAGATGCTATCAACATTACTTGCAAAATAAGAGAAATTTAAATCTGATAGTTAAATTTTAAAATAACTCCAATACTTTTTCCAAAATTAAAAACGATAGTTTATATTCCTAATTGATTCTACATAAAGAATGGCTGAAAATCAACTTGAAGTTGTAGAAACCATCAAATAAGTATGAATTTAAATTAATATCGTTAGATATTTTAAATTATGAATGACGATGATTTGATATAAGTATCAACTTTTGATGAATATACACATGTATTAATTGAATCTTAATCAAAAATTAGTATACTAGAAACTATGGGTAAAAATTATATGGAAGATGGATTTTTTGATTATTTAAGTGGGAGATAAACTCAAAATCAGCGCAAATTATATTAAGGCATTTTGGAATCCTTAAATCAATCACTTCCTAAAAAATATACTAATTACTTAATTGTAATGACTTTTGGAGAAAATTATGCTGAATAAAATGATAAATTAGTAGAATTGTTGGAAAAGTTGAGAGAAGGATTTTGGCATTTCATATTGTGTAGTACATAAGAAAAGAAGTTTATGAATTAAAGGAATACATTCTATAGATTAACAGATGAGGCCAGAGATGGGACTTATATTGAATTGTTTGCCAATTTTGAAGAAGGTTTAAGTAAGATTATTTCGCTGTGTAATTGATATTATTTTATTAAATTTTTTATAATTTCAGTTAACATGTTTGAGGATGATTTTGATTTAGGGAAATAAGATGATTTGGCCAGGGAAGTGAAAGAGATGGAGGTGAAAGCAAATACATTGCAGTAGAAATCGCAGCAAGATCGATATCTGGGTAATCATTTGATGGATCACTCTTAGAATTCAGCGAAATGGTATTAAATTCCTTTAAAATGATGGAGTAAAAATTTAATGAAATGGAATCTAAATTTAGCAAGGTCTTATAGTCTAAAAATAAAGAAAATACCACAAGCAACATCAGATAAAAAAGTGTTTCGGTTGGGAAGATATACGCGCCTCCAAAAATATCGGTTGGTAAGATTTCTTTACCTAAACATTAACCCCCTCAATTAAAGAAAAGCATATTAAAAACAAAAAAATGAAATGAATTTAGTTACTATTCCAACTATCTATATTTAATATATGTTAAATAATTCTACAATTTATATATTAATATTCCAAATGTATTTAAATTAATATAAATAAAGTAATATTTGTAATGCAATACTACTATGATTTAAAGAATAGATCAAAAAAATAATTATTTTCTATGTTACTCAACTCTCTCTTAACTGGATAANGCTAATTACAGCCTGCCATCTAATAATTGATGTTAGCTCTTGATTACGGGAATGTTTATCAGACGAAATTAAGAGTAAAAACAATCAAGATGCTATCAACATTACTTGCAAAATAAGAGAAATTTAAATCTGATAGTTAAATTTTAAAATAACTCCAATACTTTTTCCAAAATTAAAAACGATAGTTTATATTCCTAATTGATTCTACATAAAGAATGGCTGAAAATCAACTTGAAGTTGTAGAAACCATCAAATAAGTATGAATTTAAATTAATATCGTTAGATATTTTAAATTATGAATGACGATGATTTGATATAAGTATCAACTTTTGATGAATATACACATGTATTAATTGAATCTTAATCAAAAATTAGTATACTAGAAACTATGGGTAAAAATTATATGGAAGATGGATTTTTTGATTATTTAAGTGGGAGATAAACTCAAAATCAGCGCAAATTATATTAAGGCATTTTGGAATCCTTAAATCAATCACTTCCTAAAAAATATACTAATTACTTAATTGTAATGACTTTTGGAGAAAATTATGCTGAATAAAATGATAAATTAGTAGAATTGTTGGAAAAGTTGAGAGAAGGATTTTGGCATTTCATATTGTGTAGTACATAAGAAAAGAAGTTTATGAATTAAAGGAATACATTCTATAGATTAACAGATGAGGCCAGAGATGGGACTTATATTGAATTGTTTGCCAATTTTGAAGAAGGTTTAAGTAAGATTATTTCGCTGTGTAATTGATATTATTTTATTAAATTTTTTATAATTTCAGTTAACATGTTTGAGGATGATTTTGATTTAGGGAAATAAGATGATTTGGCCAGGGAAGTGAAAGAGATGGAGGTGAAAGCAAATACATTGCAGTAGAAATCGCAGCAAGATCGATATCTGGGTAATCATTTGATGGATCACTCTTAGAATTCAGCGAAATGGTATTAAATTCCTTTAAAATGATGGAGTAAAAATTTAATGAAATGGAATCTAAATTTAGCAAGGTCTTATAGTCTAAAAATAAAGAAAATACCACAAGCAACATCAGATAAAAAAGTGTTTCGGTTGGGAAGATATACGCGCCTCCAAAAATATCGGTTGGTAAGATTTCTTTACCTAAACATTAACCCCCTCAATTAAAGAAAAGCATATTAAAAACAAAAAAATGAAATGAATTTAGTTACTATTCCAACTATCTATATTTAATATATGTTAAATAATTCTACAATTTATATATTAATATTCCAAATGTATTTAAATTAATATAAATAAAGTAATATTTGTAATGCAATACTACTATGATTTAAAGAATAGATCAAAAAAATAATTATTTTCTATGTTACTCAACTCTCTCTTAACTGGATAATTTCTGTAAATATCTGTTAAATAGAACATTTCCTTCTCTTCTCAGACTTGATGTGCCGAGATAAATACGTTAATTTATTATTAATTTTAGAACTTTCTAGCAAATTTATGGATGTTTTATAAGTGGTTGATTCTCGAAAAATTTAAACTAATTAATGTCTTAACTTGCTTCAATTGGTATTGACTTTGGTAGTTAGAGATCTGTCATCGCTGCAGCTCTAAAGGGAGGTGTGAAGATCCTAGACAATGAAGGATCACATAGAGAAACATAAAATGTGATTGGATTCACAGTCGAAGAAAGATTCATTGGTGAACAAGGGGCATTACAATAAAAGTCTAATTTCAAAAATTCTGTTGCTTTTTTCAACAGATTCTTAGGATTGCATGGCGAACCTTCATTTAGAGCAGAAGAGACAAAATGGTTGACTGTTCCTACATCTATTAATGATTCTGGTAAAACCTTATTTGAGGTCAATTACCTTGGTTAAAAGAGCACATTCACTTCTGAGCAACTGACAGGTTCAATGTTGAACAAATTAAAGCATGTTATAGTTCACAATGACATAAATGTACAAGCAAGTAATGTTTGTATAAGTGTTCCTGCATATTACACTGAATCAGAGAGAAAGGCCTTGATTGATGCATGCAAGATAGCTGACATTCCATTAGAGAGATTGCTCAATGAAACTACAGCCATTGCAATTAATTATGGTTTATTTAGAAAAGCAGATTTGGATGCTGATAAACCAAGACATGTGGCATTTGTTGATTTTGGACATTCCAAATTTTCAGCGTTTGTAGGCTCATTCTATAAGGAAAAGGCATAGGTTGTTGCTCAAGTGAATGAGAGAAATTTAGGTGCTAGAGATATTGATTGGTTTTTATTTGAAAAATTCGCTACACAATTTGAATAATAATCAGGTGGTTTAAATGTAAGAAAAAATCTCAAAGGAAAATTAAGACTATTGGAATCTATTGAAAAAGCTAGAAAGGTCTTGTCTGCTAATTCTGAAGCTCCAATTAATGTGGAGTATTTGGTGGAAGATGAAGACTTCAATACTTTAATCAAGAGAGAAGATTTTGAATAAATGATCTAACCAGTTTTAATTTAGATTCAATAACAATTAGAATTTTTATTCAATTAAGTTTAGAATTTGAAATTGCAATTACATTCAGTAGAAATTGTGGGAGGAGCAACAAGAATTCCAGCAGTCTAAAGATTAATTGAAAAGATATTCAAAATTGAATAAGTATCCAGAACTTTGAATGCCAGTGAATCCATATCAAGAGGATGTGCAATGATGGCAGCTATGAAGAGTCCAAATTTCAAGGTCACTGAATACAAAATTGAAGATTGCAACTATTATCCAATTAGAGTAGGTTGGCTCTATGGATAATAATTAAGTTAATAAGATCAAAGCTAAGGATTGGTTAGATGTTTTCCTGAAAAACAATGCAAGGTCCTTTTCGATTAAAATAATGCAATTCCATCAATTAAGAGTTTCGCACTCTTAAAAACAGAACCAATCGAAATTACACTATTCTATGACCCAGTGCCTGAAGGCTTTTAGGCTATTTTATGTAACATTAATAGTTAATTAATTTTAGAATAAATTCGGGTGCCTCCATAAAATCCAAAACACTAAGAACATTCAACTAAGATCAAGATCTTATTGAATCACAATGGATTACTACAATTAGAAGAAATTGTATTATAAGAAGAATTTATGGAAGAAGTAAAAGTGCCTGTATTAAATATTTAATTAATTTATTAGATTGAAAAACCAAAACCTGCAGAACCACCTAAGCCAGCAGAACAACCAAAACCAGCCGGTGATGCTTAACAATAACAGCCACAGGCAGCTGAACCTTAATAACCAGCTCCAGATGCTATATAATAAGAATAACTAAAACCAGAAGAACCATAATTTGAAATTAAATAAAAGAAAAAAACTGTTTAAACTTAAATTAATTGCGAAACTACCTCCTTGAATAGTATGTCTAAAAAAGACATAGATCATCTATTCCAATAAGAATGTGAGATGTAAAACTAAGACAAAATGGTTCATGAAACTCATTTCAAAAAGAATCAATTAGAAGCATATATTTATGCTTGGAGAGAAAATGTCAATAATAAATATGCCCAACACGTTAAACCAGATCTCAAAGCACAAATTCTCAAGGATTTAGATGTGTAATATGAATGGCTCTATGGTGATGGTCAAAAGACTACAAAGAGAGAGTACTCTGATAGATATGATAAACTTGTTTAATTGTGTGGACCAATAGTCACAATTGCTGATGAGTTTAGACAAGTCCCTGAAACAATTCAACAAGCATTATAATATACTTCCAATTATGAAACCTTTGTTACTTCATAAGTAATTGAAATTATTTACATATTTAGGAATAACAATATGCTCATATCACAAATGAAGAAAGACAACTAGTTGCAAATGAAGTGAATGCTTTCAAATTATGGTGTAATTAAGTATTGGACGCTTTAAGCAAAGCAGATAAAACAGTCAGATTCACAACTTCAGTTTAATAAATCCAAGCTAGATTTAATGAATTTAAAGATGTAAATATTTTGTAATAACAAAGTAGAAATGTTCTCCAATTGTACTAAAGCCTAAACCTGAACCACCTTAAGAGGAGAAAAAGGTTGAGGAACCTCAACCTTAATAGCAACCATAATAAAACGAGGCCAATAATAATAACAAAATGGAAACAGAATGATGTATAATTAAATATTATTTTTGTTAATGAATAATTCAATAATAGTTTAAATAATAATAGCTAATCTTTTTTTTAGATAATAATATAATATTGTAAAATATCCAATTGCTTTAATGCAAAGTGTATGCAGAAATTAATTTATATGATGAAGAATTTTAGAAAGCTTCAATTAACTATTATCTAAATTTCATAAAGTTCCAACTACTCAATTTAGGAATTCAAAAATTTAAAATGTTCCCCAGATGGAATGCATTTATCGATAGCTAATTACAATGGTTCCATAGTGATTCTGCAGTCCACTAAAGAATTTTATTTAATCAATAAAGATCAATAACTGTATTGATCAATAGCATCTATGATTCCTTGAATATATTTATAGATATCTTTTCTAAAAACCTATCAATTATTATCATCATTTGGGACAACTATATTGAATTCAAATTCAAATAATATATGTTTATTTTGAAATTAATAACATTAAAATTATATTCTGAGTAATAAGTTAATTCAGATAAAAAATTACTCTTTGAATACAATAAAGATAGATAAACTTGATTAAAACCTAATAAATGATGTGATGTAAATAATAACAATAAAAATGAAGATGATTAATACAGATTCATTTATCGAATCATATCATTTAGAAGGAAAAGTTTAACTTAATTTATTTTTATATATTTTGTTTAGACTAATTTAGGAAAATTGTAATCAAAAGGAAGAATATTGAGAATTAACAATTATCAAATTATTCTATTTTTAGACTTGATAAATACGTTCATATATATATATGTATTATTTTCTTCTCATTGCTTTTGTTCTTCATTTTAAAGAGCTTCATCGAACACAAATTCTTCTGGAACTTAATTAGGTGGAGCAGGTTATTAATTTACAACCTGTTCAATAATTGGTTACTTTGGTTTAACAGTGAGAGAAATCACATCAGCGGATTATGAAGGTTCACTATCAATCAGCATTACCAAACCTTATTTACGATCCTTTTTATGAAAATCAAATAAATACTTTGAGAAGTGGTTAATAACGACTTCCTTCTAATAATTAAATATGTTTTTTTTATTTATCTAAAATTCTGCATGGGTTTGTTAAAATATATTGGTTTGGTTCATCCTTTGGTGCTGCTTACTTCTTCTCTTGCTCTTCTATGAGACTTGGTTATCTGATGATTTCACTTGGTTATTACTCTAAACTCATTTTTGATTATTCTCTTGATATGACACCTTAAGATGCAGAATCAATTTGCTTCTTTTCTAGATCCTTTTTATTAGTTCTGGCTCTCACTTTCTAAGTTGTACTTAATTGTACGGTCTTTTTCTCAGCAATTGGCTTTTCAGATTTTTTTTAAGGAGGAGGATAATCGAAAACTGATTATTTAGTGTTACATTATAACTAAAAATCTTTAGGAATATCAAGGCTAAAATAGAATATATAATGATAATACTTTTCATTTAAACCAATAAAGGAAACAGGTTATAAAGCAACAGATATCATACTTAAACAAGGGTACCAGTACCAATAATTTAAGAACCATAACATTCCTACACACGCGTTTAGTTTTGGTACTCCTTATCTACTTTATAATGAGACTGTCAAATTTCTACCTCCACAGTCTAATAAGCCTTAAAAAATGGCTAATCCTAACTTTGTTAAAACAGTCTCGTGTTTTTTTGCAGCAATCTCATTTATAGATTTCATGATTGGTTCGAATTTAGGTTCCTAATCTTTGTTTCCTTAGGATAGAATCATTCCCAAAGCTATCAATGCTCCTTGCCTTACAAAGTCTACTGTATCAGTTAACATTGGCTCTATTGCAGAGAGGGCATCGGCATAAAGAGTGCCAGCACATGCTATACCCAAAGCAATAGCTGTTCCATATCTGATGTGGGGATTATATGACAATGTCAATAATCTCATAATTTTTGGGAGAGATTCGTAATTCTTAAACATCAAGAAACCGAAGGATATGACAGCTGCTCTTCGAACATCTTCAGAAACATCATTAACTGATATAGATAGCAATTTTTAAATAATTTTATTGCTTCCAGTGCCAACATATGCAAAGGCTAAGGTGAAGCAACCACCATATCTAATTAATGGATCATTTGATTGTAACATTTGATCAATAATCACATCAGCCTTGTCCTCTTAATGAAAGAGTATACAAGCAATTGATAATGACAAAGTTCTAACAATCTTATCTTTATCTGATTAACCAGCTAAGACTAATAAACGCTTGCATTATTCAATTGATCCTGATCCAGCATTCAATAAACCAAAACCAATGCTGGCACCTTCTCCATAAACTGATTCATTTTTTGAAACCAAATTATGGTAATCTTAATTCAATTTTTCATCTTCAGAAGCAAATGCTATCAATCCTGATCCTAAACAAGCACCATGAATTATTTGTTCTTTTTAAGATTTCATGTAATCTGATAATTTGAGTAAAAGTTATTAATCTTGAGTTCCAAAATGAATAAGTCCTAAACCATAAAGAGCTCCTCCTATTTCAAATGGATTTGTCTGGGACAAATGTGCTGCCATAATTTATTAGGATTCTTCTATATTGTATTTGTTAATCATTCCCAAAGTAGATGTGGCGGTGAATCTCTACCAATAATTACACTTGGTAGCCCATTATTAATTTGCCTATAAGAATGAGGTATCCTATGTGCCTGCAGTGGCTAAAGCATGGCCAAACATACATGCACCATGTAAAACGCTTGATTGCTTTGGATCATTCGAGCCTTTGATTTTATTCAAGACTTCAACATCAACTTATCTATGATTCTTCAAAAAGTATAGATATGCTTTTCTTTGTTATTCTCCTGATAACAATTTAATTAATTTGTCTCTAACTTCTTGGAATTGTTGATCAATAGGTAATGCTGCTATGATCTTTTGTATAAATTGGGGTTTTTAATTTTATGCTAAGTCTATGCAAAGTTATTCAGCTAGGAGCAATGGAGTACCGGTTTATAATTTGTAATGGTTCTCATTTATTACCAAAGTCCAAAGGATTTCTGCAACTTTTATAGCCTCACCCAATTAAATTAAGACTGTGACGAATTAACCCCATTCTTCATTTGGAATTTGACCTTGCTTTGCTTCCTCATAAATTAGGTCAACTGAGAGTCTTAACAATTACTCTTTGAATTATCCTCTTTGTGTATTGAAGAGATGAAGAACAGATATCATTTTACCAGGGTATTTCCATTTATTAAGAATTTCAGCTACCCAATCAATCCTTTTGCATTCAACTGCTACTCCAATGGCAGATATGTGATTATTTTACCCACACGACAATTCTAAAATATGTTTGATTAGACTTATTCTTTCTTCAGTTGCCTTCCCTGATTAGCGATATTATTCAACACAATGTTTTATTAAACATTGATTAAATTTATCATTCAAATCTGATTACCAATAATGTCCACTCTGCAAAGCATAATTAAGAGACTCGTCAAAGTTATCTAGATGGTATTGAATCTTAGCGCATAAATAAGATGCTAATTATCTTTCTGGAAATTTTGGATCTTCGCTTAATGATTCTCTATAAGAAATATAAATTTTGGATTTACATCTAACTAAGTAACTCAGATATTTCTGACCAGTGTTGATCCACCTAGTTTAACATTTCTTTCAATGCTAATATACGAAGATCATTATCTTTTTCCAATAAAAGAGTATTGAAATTCATAAATTTAAATTGTAAATAATACTAATCTCAACATTCACTTAATTTTTCTTCTTAAATCATGTCAAATAATAATGTAGATAAAATTTATTCATTATCTGATTCAAACTCCAATATTTTGATAGTATTACATATGTCAAAGACATTAAATGATGATAAAAAAAAAAAATTAGTTATCAAAATTAATTATTATTTTTATCTAACATGATAAATCTCAATGACAATTTAAATTTAGAAGATGAATTTGATGGACTCGCAATTGAGAAACTATCAGGTATTAAAAGATCTGCTTTATAATCTCGAGATGTTCATGATTGGTTTAAGAAAAGGTTTATTAGTTTTTTGTAATTTCAGATATAATGATAAAGTGAAAAAGAAATATTTGTATTTCCCTGAAGAGATAAAACAATAGTTGGAAGTTAAGAATTATCTTCTAAAATTTCGACCAAAACAAATCAAGTACCGAAGTTAAAGTTAACTTAGACAATTTGGATATGAGTGAGTTATATGAGATGTTTTAAAAAAATGGTTTCAAAATTATTGAAGAACAATTACAAAAGTTTTTCAAAATTGTTGACAAACATAGAGATAGTAATGATAAATGTAATCAAAGATGCTTTAAATTGGAGCGAATTCAAAAATTCAGCTTTCAATGAATTAGCCGCCCAAGGTATTCCCTTTAATTAACTTTATAGTCTTCTATGAAATCATGAAAGAACTAAGAGAGAATATGGAAAAAGAACAAAAATTAGACAGTTCTTCTCCTGCTGCAAAATACATGCCATTTACTTTTAACAATATGATCTCTTATCTAAGCTATCTGGCAAGTAGAGATGAATTAATAAAAGCCATTGATGTTTCAAATTATCCATTAAATTTTAGGACACTTCCATTTCTCAATTGGAGAAATTCAAGAAATATATGGAAATGATCAATTTAAATTCAACATTAAGTGTCTAAAAACGAAATCAATCAACGCCTGAAGTTGATATCATTCATGAAGAAGCAGGAGAAAACCAAAACCTAGACCAAGAACAAGAATTTATTAAGAGAAATGAACAACGGTTTAACTTATTCAATAACTCCTGTAAAGGCTCTCATATAACTTAGTTTATAATTCTCAAAGTGCCTTCAAAGAGTCCTAAATCCTAAAAATTACCTAATGTGATGCCAAAAGAATAATTATTGAAAGTAGCCAAAAAATTAAGAGAAATTGATACCATTGTAAGATCGCATCAAGTTCCTGAGACTTAAAGTTTATTTAATATAAGGAGAAAACTAATAACTCAATCATAAAATTGAAACAAGACGTATCTAAATATATACATTTAGCTAAAACCTAATATAATATAAATGTTGATGAATTATAAATAGTAAACGCTCCTTAATATTTTTATAGCAAAGCACGAAAAGTAAACCTCCCCTTACTTTGAAAATCAGGAACTTTGAAGAAGACTTTAAAAATGCATTGGCAGCGCACCAAATGTCATAAAGTATTTCTGAACCCTATTTTAAATTCAATGGTTCATCAGTTTAAGAACATCAATTACCAATTCTTGAAGAAAAATCAAAAATTCTTACCAATCCAAACTTGCCTGGAGATCATTTACCAATTACAGTTTTATAAGTATTAAGAAAATTTTAAAGAACATAACAAAATTCTTTTAATTCAAATACATTTAAGTCTTATTTAAAACATAAAGTGATGTATAAGATACAACTTTATTAATAGTTTACAAAAACTGCTATCAGACAAAAATCTAGATCTAAAGGGAGATTCATGAATATTCAAACTCATGAGAAATTCTAATTTATTGCTCCTCAAACTGCTAAACAAAATTAACTGAAAAGTTAATTGTCAACTGCACCTTAATTGAGAGTAGGAACAAATTATGGAATGAAGGTAAGTTATTTAAAAATTTCTCACTAGAATCATCAGAAAGTAGAGATTCAACCTTTACTAGGCAAATCACTGATCAAATAATGAATTATTTTTTTTATTTTTTACAATGAGTGAAGAATTAAAAGACACTTTTGATGGTTATTTAATGTTTGACTTCTCTAATTTTCATGGTTTGATGGCTTAAACATTTGACAATGAGGAGATCGACATTCCTAGAGTAGAAAAACAACCGAAAAGAAAAGCATATAACATTCCTGGTCCTTATCTAGATAGTCCTCCAATTGAATTTGAACGTAAGAAAATCAGTTAAGGAAGGCAGCGGCGATTGTAGTGAAGGAATTTTATTTAATGGGTAACTTGGCGAAGACGATATTCCAGAGGTTAATTTAGATGAAGATTGCTTATCAAATTTCAATTATTCCACTTCTGGGTTTAATTTATTAGCGAATCTTGATTTTGAACCTGATGAAGATGCTTATGATAATGCTATTAACGCTACAAGTGAACCGAACTCTTTACATCATCGAAATTCTAAAATATCAAGAACCAAAAAAATTTCAATTTTTTCTCCTACCCTTTAATTTGATGATAATGTCGATTAAAAAATACAAATGATAACTTTGCAGAATATGGAATTATTAAAAAAAGAAGATCATTATGACATTGATGATTTCTATAAATTTCTTACATCCTTAGATTTTTTGAATGTTTCTAATCAGAAGCATAATGATGATTTGATGAAAGTCGACCAATTATTTCATTTGGTTTAAATAAGATAATTTTTTGACAAAATGGTTGTTATCTTATTTTAAAAGACTGATTAATCTCATTCCATAAGCTATACTTCTAAATTGGACTCCTTTAAGGAAAAAATGGATCACTTCATTAATCTAGTTCAATATATGGTTGATGATGGAACATATAGATAGAAATCTTTGAGAGATCAGCATGTCTTTAAAAAAGATTATACTCTAACAATGTCAGTAGCATTTTTTAAGGGATTAGAAATTATCTCTTTATACAAATCGTTGTTGATGCAAAAAAATATGCAAGATAGATTAAAAAAAGTACTTAGTATTATCTTATGATAGTATACAACAGCAAAGAAGAACCTACATTCATATTGGAGATTGTGGGGACTTATTAAAGAATTTGAGATTTCTTTCGTTTAGAAAAATATTCAAAAGTCCCCTAATCTTACAAATTCTACCTTAGGCAATTAAAAAGAATCAGTTGAATTAGCAATCTTAGATCCTCATGCAAAAATTCAGATTGCAAGAAATAAAGATAATAATAATAAAATATCTTTGTAAGGCTTTGATAAATATCTGAATAAACCTTGTTAAAAAAATACTAATTATTGCTTTGCAGGAAAATGGAATCAGAAAAAACTCCAAACTAGTCAATATTCAATCTATTATTCTAATAACTAATCAGACTAATTGGATTATTGAACTATGATATATCATTATTACACAATTAAAATTTTTATTTTAAATGGCTTTTACTTTGGGCACTGCATGTTATTTTCTCAACAAATCAACTAATATGGAAATTGACTTTAATTAATATTGTGGTATTGTAACATGAATAACTAGAAAAGCATGAATTATAAAGCATGGTAACTGAATGTACAAAATTTTTTGTACGCAAAGCTAACATCCAATCTTAAATAGCTTTTTAGGAATTGTATAAAATTTAATAATATCAATTTGAGTGTTTAATGTTATTTCAAAGGAGAAACAGTGTTGTTAAGACCATATCAATAAATTTGTAATTCAAAAATGAATCGATTGGTTTTCGTGATTAATTTCAATAAAGTAAACTTTTAGAGCTAGTAACAATTAGATTTTTGAAAGTTTCGAAGATAAGTCAGGATTTGATTATTACTAACTAACTAAATTATTATGCTCAGATTTCCCTCGAGAAATAGTTGCTAGTTCGCTTTCCTTATATGCAAATCTTGATGAGGTAATTTGTTTATTATTATAAAGGAATTGCTTTTCAAGAAAACATTCACTTTACAGCAATTCTGTAAAGCCCTCTTATTTGAACTATTATTTGAAAGTATTTTTTAAGAATTAAATGCTAAATTGAATATTAATGGAGTTATTGATAGTGTTTTACCAATTTTAAAGAAATACTACCCCACTAATGATGAATAATTATATTTACCAAATCCAGCTGCTGTTTTTGAATGCCTGATAAAGTTTAGTAATGAAAAAAATAAAGCATGTTTGCATCCAATTCTACCATTTACAGTGGACATGTTTTCAAGTATTTATTTTTGTCATTTTTATAGCTCAATATTTAAATGGAGGGATAGTTGAGTTTACTAGCTTTAAATCACAATTATTTAAAAATACGAAAGTTGATGTTCAACTTACAAAATTGATTAATCTAATTGAAAACTCTAATCAGAGAATATAGGATAGCACACGATTAGATGAGGATGAAAACAAAAAGAAAAAACAAAAATGAAAGTTTATAATTAATTAAATTATTGATATAATATAAATGATTGTTTTGATAAAACCACAACTATCAATTATGTTAGTTAAGTATCTGATTTGGATATTAGGAGTTTGTTTAATTAATTATCAATTCAAGCAGTACTTGTTGAAGTCAAATTAACTTAGAGGTCTCATCAGGAAATTGTGACAATTCAATGGCTCTTGATATATAATTCAAAAAGACGCATTGCAAATTGTGATGAAAAGGGTGAAATATAAGATTCAATCGAAAACAGGCATCTCAAATTGATATGCAAAATGGTAATCTTTATGGTTTTGTTTGAAATATCTTATATTAAATTATGACATCATTTATGTTTATGGGTCATAAGATCATACAATTAAAGGCACTAGATATGATTTAGAAATGCAAAGCGTTCGCTGATTAAAAGTGATTTTTTGTGTTCTTATTTTTAGTGTGAATTCAGCGCCACAGTCACCAAAGCTACAGTATCTAGATTATTGGAAGTTTCAAGCACAGATCAACCTTTCTTTGCAACTTATGACTTTACATAAATACTACAAGCAATACTACTACAAATAAAACTAACACAACAACATCAACAACTGTTACTTTATCAATTTAAACGATGTCTAGGATCATAATTATGTCAATCCCAGCACATTATATATATTTAGGATTGTTAATCGGGTTGAATTATCATCTAAGATATATAAGATTGTGATGAAAATCTAAATTAGAATATCTTAGATTCTATCTTGCCAATCAAACAAAACTTAACTAGATGCTTTTAACGAAATGCTAATAATCAGGCTATTTAGTCGACAAATGGTAGAACCATTAATAAAGAAGGAATAGTTTGTCTACTTTTTCTCCTTTTTTATCGTTAACATTTTTTTTAACTATTTCATATTCAAATTGTTTTGATCATTCAATATAATTAATTCATATTAGATCAGTAAAAATTATTTGGCTATTTTTATAGACATTTTTATGTCCTTCAATTTTTTTGCAAATCTAAATATTTAATTTATGAAAAGAATTTCTTCAAAGTTATTTCTATCAAAATTTTTCCCTAAAATTATTAGTTCAGCCTTAATAAATTAATGTGAGAATATATACATCATTGTTGTTTAGAAAATTTTGTGAAATCGAATATATACATTAATTAATTTGAAAATAGTAAAATTGATTTATATATCATGGATAGATAATTTCATTTTTGGAGATATGCAATAACAATAGATATCTCATCAATAACTTCATCTTCTTCTTACCATCTTTTAGTTGACTCTCCAACGATGAGTTCACATATATCATCTATCTTTTTAGCTGTCATATCAGGACTCCAATGAGTAATAACAAATTTTTAGATTTCTTCATTTGAAAATACCTCCCAAACTCCATCGCTTGCTACAACCAAAAATGCTTAATTAGCTTCCATTTTGTAATGTGTGATTTCAGGTTCTGAACTAACACCTACTGTTGAAGCAACATAATCTCCAAAAGACCTGCTCATAGCTAATCCTGGAATTTATTCATGCAATAGCCAAACTCTTGCTGGACCTATTTTTTCTCCAGTTTCTGCAATATATGGCTCAACTCTTCCACAATTTGATATGATCCTCTTAAATTTTGAGGGTAAATCAGGTTTATGATCATTGGACAACTCCACGAAATGCCACTTATTAAAATTTTGTTGTTCAATAAAAATCTAATAATTAACTATGTCATTCCAGAATCTCCAATATTTGCCCACCATAAATGAGGTCCAGAAACAAAAACCAAAGAAAATTTTGTTCCACTAAATGTTATATCAATTCCAGAATTTGACAAATCCTTTGTCATTTTAATAAAGCTCTATTTCAAAACCTTTGTATTTCAGATTCGTAAGCTTCACATAAAATCTTATTCTTATTTTCCAATAAAAGTTTTTATCGATTGATCAATAGTTGTTGGAAGTACTTTTTTGACTAATTAAGAAACATAGTACCCGTAGACTCCATGTCCATCACAAACTGAGAAAATGTATCTGTTTTTGATTCGCCTAAATTATTAATAATTATAACACTATTTTAATTGGTTTTAGTTTGACCATTTACATTTTAACCAGCTTGAGACCTTAATTTATAACTGTGATACTTTGAAAAGAACAATTACACGTAATCTTACATCTCACATTCATTGGAAAGATTATTCACTAATGTTGCTTAGCTTTAACCATTTATTATTATGGTATTTTGGCTTTATGCTTGTATCTTAATCAACTGTTTGAGTTACCATTTTTGCTCTTGAAACATTAATTTTCTGTTTAGGAGAAGTATCTTGAAGTAATTTAATTATTTATGCTCTGCTCTATAAACATAATATTCAATTATACTGATGGGGTAACTTCATTGCTGGCATCTGTACTTTTACCTCTTTTCTAAGCTAACCCTATATCGATTTTTTATAAAATGTCCTAACTTGATAGACTTTCTGCTATTTTTAAATTTGGTAATTATGTTGGAGATGGTGCCTTTTTAAATTTTATCAATACTTCTTTTTAATTTGAGCTTATCACTTTTTTTTTGGGGAATAACTACTTTCTACACTATAGATAATCGCTTTTATTGGATCAAATACTTATTTGAAATTACTATTTTCACTTTATCATCCTATATACCATTACTTGCTGTTGAAAATCGCTTCTGTTGAATTTTTTTATAATATTAGATTTTTCAGACTATTATTATCCCTATTTTTTATTTTGCGCTGGTGAACAAGCTCTGGATTATTAGTTATTTTATTATAATTGTGACTCATTAAATTTTAAAGGAAACACTTATATAATTTTAACATAACTTTCAGATATAAGAACGTTTAAATTTTTTCTTGATCTTGGATAAAATATGAACATCAATCTTATCAATGCCTCAGAGGCACCTGACTATTGGATCTTCAGTATTGAGAGAATCCTTCAACATTAAGAAGATGCCACTCATAAATTTTGCAATTGAACTCAAAAAAATATGATGGAATAGATAAGTCTCAAATTGGGAAGATTAAAACCTCATAAAAAATACAAAACATAAAATTCAAAGTACAGATTGAATAATCATTCGGATTAAGCAGAAATAGTATATATCTTCTATTTAGAACGAAGAATTATTAGATGGATTTAATTAGCTTGATAAAATGATTTACGAGATAAAAAATCGATAAATTCCCATAACCATGTAATTTGATTTTTATTATTCTGTCTTAACATCCCATAATTGAATAGAATTGTCTGAACTACCAGATGCTAATGTATCAGGAAAGAAATTCCCAATTTTCAAGTTCAAAAAAATACACAAATTTGTAACTGGAATAAGCTAATGACTTAATATTTCGTGAGAAGCACTCAAATTATGCATTCCTCTTACACTTAAAAATAGACTATATATTTCCAGTTCTTGCCCACATTTCCTGAGGTTTGCTGTGAAATATTTCTAATTCTAATATTTTCAAATGATTTTTTCAAATCCTCCTTTATATCAACTAATAAATGAAAAGAATTTGATCTGTCTAAGATGTATGATGAAAAATACATTTAATAATTCTATGATCTTCTTATTCATCTAAGAAGTAATTTTGTTTATTAAAATCATAATTCTTAAGAATCTTCAACCTTTCAAAAAAAAAGCTGACAAATTTTCATCTGCATGTTTAATGAAGTATTTGCCTCATTTAATTCATTTTATTATTCCTTATTATTCTTGATCCTTGAGTTTCCCATAAGAAAATAAAGTTAATATTGAATTTTATATACATTGTTATTTAGATCTTCCATTTTAGAATTAACTCTAGCATTTTACAAATAGAATTAAAAAGTAAGATTTATGAAACAAGATTAGCTTAAAACAGAAAAGTGATGCAAATAACTTGTAAATGAGTTCATCCTCTAGTTTACTATAGGACTACATTTATCTCAAAATGATAAATAGAGTGTTCAAAATTGTAAAGGTTCCAATTGAAGAAGTTCCAAATATTCATGATCTCAATAAAATGCATCAATAGGTTAACTCTACCCTCTGATTATGTTTGTGGTATTCAAAATATAAATTTTTATGTCTTGTGAAAGC